CCAACCCACCACCGCCTCTGCCCAACCCACCGCCGCCCCACGAGAAGAAAAAGATCCAGTACAGATCTATTGGATCTAGCTCCCACCATCGCCGTCTGCTCTACAATTGCAGTTAGCCCCATAGATCTAACACAAATCTAGAAGAAGAAGAAGAAGAAGAAGAAGAAGAAGAGAAAAAAAAAGAGGGACAAAGGCAAGATTTGAGGGAAAACCAAAAAAATAAAAGGAGGTTGAAGATGAGAAGAAGAAAACGACGAAGGAGAAGGGGGGAGAGAGAGATAGAATAAATGTTTTAACCTTTTAGGGTTATTTTAGTTATTACATGTATATTTAAAGTGTGTGGGAAGATGATTTTAGGACGAAAAAAAAGGGAAGTGAGAAGATGATTTTAGAACGGAGGGAGTACTATTTAAATAAATTTTCCTGAGCATAAAAAAGTATTTTGTTTTGATATAAATGTAATATTAATAAATTTTTTTAAATTTAATTTTGAAATACTAAAGTTAAATAAAGATAATCTATATAAATATTGATATTAATAATTATTAAATCGGTGAATAAATTAAAGGACCATGCTACACTTACACCAAAAAAATATACCCCATTTGTACACCACAGGCTTGCACAAACATTTCAATGGTTTACACCGACACAAGTGTTGGTGCGTTAATAAATATTCACGCGGACACAAATGTTGGTACGTTTAACAAAAATTAGTTTTACACCAACACAAAATATTGGTATAAAACTGCGGGGTACAAATTGGGGTACAAACCTTGGAGTACACATGGCATAATCCTAAATTAAATATTAAGATTAAATTTCAAAGAAAGGACCAAAATAAATTGAGAATGAATCCGCCAAATGGTTATTGGGTGGGACCGAAGGGCAATAATAGATGACGGGTCGATCTCAATAACTGGATCCGAGGCACTGACATGGGCGGCCCGGTCCATGCACGCCGTTCCACGCATCAGGCCCCTCCCCACTAAAACATTTGGGCCCCACCTCCGCTCTCTTTCCTACGTGTGCATATACCTTTGTCTCCCCACCTTCTTTTGCCTCCTTCCAAGCACTGTTTATAAATTGAGCAATACTAGGCGTACACTTTTGGTGTACCCTAAATGTACATCACTCTCTTTTTTGTCATCCATTTTTATTTATTTATTTATTTAAAATTTCTTTTCTTTTTTTGTGGATAAGGAGGGAGTGTGGGATAAATGGGGTATACATTTGGTATACCCCTAGCATTTTTCTTATAAATTTGTTACCTCTTCCTCTTTTTTTACAATTTTAACCTTTCTTTCCAAATTATTATCCTATTTTGTAGAACTATATACTTCCTTCTTCCTAAATGTTCTTTCCGGTTATGTTTACAAAGTTTGACCGAGTTTATTTTCAATTCAATTTATTTGATTGTAGGTGTAAAATTAAAAAATAAAATTTATATATTTAAAAACTACATCAAAAGTTCTACAAAATAAGTAGTGACAAGACTATATTATTTAATCAAATACCTAATGAAAATAAGTAAAGAAAGTGATTAAAGTTTGACCGTGTGAAAAGTAAGTGGGAAGAACATTTTAGGACGGAGGGAGTAGCATATAAATTTTTTTTATCTTTTCTAATACATACTCTTGTCAATGGATGTTACTCTCTGAAAAGAAATTAAAATATCATCATTCTAAAAAAATTAATTATAAATTGATACAGAAATAAAAATTTTAAATTATATTTGTTGGAGTCTATCTTATAAATCGATATATAAGCTCTTGAGTTGAACTAACTAATAGATTGGATTCAATCTTTTAATGTGGTTCAACCCAAGTGTCTTATTGCCCAATCCAGTGATCCATACTCCATCCCAAATTCTATCATGGTATCAGAGCCAGTTTTATCCCACCTCGTTTGTCAAGGTGTCCGTCTAGACGTTCATTCCTAGCGGCCCGTTTGTCTTTAGCCCAGTTGTCCGTATGGAGGTTGTACCCAACGGCCTGTGGCCTGTTTAACACGATTGCTCGTCTGGAAGTCCATATCCAGCGGCTCGTGGTCCTTTAGGTGTTGGCGCTCATAAAAAAAAGTTAAGGGAATGGGAGTTCATTTGCAAGTGGTCAACCGGTTAGATTCAAAATGGCCCGGTTGTCCACTTGAGGGGGAGTGTTGGAGTCTATCTTATAAATCGATATATAAGCTCTTGAGTTGAACTAACTAATAGATTGGATTCAATCTTTTAATGTGGTTCAACCCAAGTGTCTTATTGCCCAATCCAGTGATCCATACTCTATCCCAAATTCTATCAATATTGTTTAGAAGTACATCACAATTTCTACAAAATAAGAGGTGACAATAAGGAGTTTATATATGCGGTCGACTTTCCAATTTTGCCTTTGATTTGCGATGAATAGATTATTATGTAAAAAAAGTATGACGTAATAGGTAGGGTAAGAAAAAATATAAATAAAAGTAATTTTTTATTAGAAAGTGGAAGTGTTTTGGTAGAAGAGAATAAAATGAAAGAGGAAATGTGATAGATTATAGGATGGGATAAAGACAACTGGATTGGGCAATAAGACACTTAGCTTGGACCGAACCACATTAAAAGATTGAATCCAATCAATTAGTTAGTTCAACTCAAAAGCTTATATACCGATTATTTTACTCTTGAACTTCCGATGTGGGATGCACTTTAACACTCCCCCCTGAAGTGGACAACCGAGCCATTTTGAATCTAACCGGTTGACCATTTAGGATGGGATAAAGACAGCTAGATTGTGCAATAAGATACTTGGCCGAATCACATTAAAAGATTGAATCCAATCAATTAGTTAGTTCAACTCAAGAGCTTATATACCGATTATTTTACTCTTGAACTTCTGATGTGGGATGCATTTTAACAAAATGTTTTGACTAACAGAAGTAGTAAAATATACAACTTACATAGGGTATTTAGAAAGTGTATAAAAATATCCACAAAATCAAATGGTGGCATGTCTATTTTTGTTGTCAATATATTAATGGAAATCAACACACAAACAAAAACTATCAAAAATCTGAAATAGTAAAGAAGAAGACAATTTTTTTAAATTTTTTATAGTTCAATACTAATCCAATTTTCGTATATTGAGTTTAAGTTAAAGAGAAAAAATAAACAAATTAGCACCAATTTACTAAACTATTATCAATTTATTGTTTTTATTGATATTTTAATTGATTTTATAGAAAGCATAAACATTTATGCTTCGTATAATATCTTTATCCAGACGAGAGAGAAATTAAATCTTATTCCAATTTTCATTTACCTTCTCTTAGTTACCGTTCGAACAAGATTTCTTTATTTAATTAATTATATGTCCTATACTACAGAATACGCGTACACACTGAGAGTGGACGAGAAGAGCGACGTGTACAGCTTCGGAGTGGTGCTGCTGGAACTCCTCACGGGGCGGCGCCCCGTGGGGGACTTCGGGGAGGGGGTGGACATAGTGCAATGGAGCAGGGTGGCGACGGCGGGCGGGCGGCGGGAGGAGGTGGCGGTGGTTTTGGACCCCAAACTGGCCGTCGTCCCCGTGGAGGAAGCCATGCACCTCTTCTTCATCGCCATGCTTTGCGTGCAAGACAACAGCGTGGAGCGGCCCACCATGAGAGAGGTGGTTCAGATGCTCTCTGAGTTCCCCCGCCGCCCGCAGCCGCCGCAGCAGCAGCCTGCCAATAATAATCATAATTATTCACCTAATAATAAAAATGTTGAAAGAGGGAAAAATTAAATTAGCTGTGGGATTATGTTAAAACCACCTCTAAGTAATCTTTTATTTTTTTTTGGTTTTAGATATATAGTCCATTCCTCTTATATGTATCTTTTTGTTTTTTTTTGTGGCTTAACATATATGCTTTTTTAATGTAAGATAAAGTAGATATTCAGTTTTTTTAATGCGGATTATTTGTAATTGTACATACTTGGTGGTGTATGGTATGTAGTGAAAAATAGAGAAAAAAGAGGGAATAATGCTAAAATATAGCTAAAAACGAAAGCATATACACATATTTGGAAAAATTATATAATTTTCACTTTTTATCGTCAACGAAAATCAACTTTCGTCTTTCGGTCTTTAGTTTATCAAAAATTATGCCGTATATTAATGATATAAAATTAGTACATAAAGGCCTCGTTTGGCATCAGCGTTAGAGATTAGTATTAGCATTTTGATAAGATTATCTGACGGTAGCCTTTAGCGTTAGCGTTTTCTGAATTAATCTACACCGTCAATATTTTATCCAAAATGCTAACGCTAATTGAAAACGTTCTTCCCAAACAAGATCAAAGTCATAACAAGATAAATGCATGTGATAGTACTTTGTGTTAGACAATAGTACTAACATTACTTCTAGTAGTATTGGTTATGGTAGTGTTTCATTATTAGTCATCTTCCAAATCCTATTTGTAGTAGATGTTGTATGTTAGTTAGTTTCCATTCTCTATTACTAGTTGTGTTAGAAATCTCTCCTATATATATACTCTATCATGTATTCCATAATTAAAAGAGCAATATTATTATTTCAATATTTCAACATGGTATTAGAGCCACCGCTCTTGGTGACCTAAAACTCTCTGCGCTCGCTTCTGGTGGGCGGCGCCTCCATTAGCCGCCCGCCGGACCGATGTTATTCTTCCTTCAATTTTAAAGATTGGCAACTCCTCAAAAACTTTCTCAACTCATCTCCTTTTTTTTCTCTCAAATCACTCATTCTAATCATCAATCTTTCTTCTCTTTCTCTTTTGTTACCCAAAAAATTCCAAAAAAAAAAAAACACAAAAGCAAAGCCAAGAGAGGAAGTAGTGAAAGAGAAAAAAATATCTCTACACCCCTTCAAGAAAGAAATAGGGCATTGCCCGGATCCAAGAAAAAAGACAAAGAATGTCAAGGATCTTCAGTCAAACAGGCACCTCTAGTAGCCTTCTCTATTCTTCTTCGACGTCAGCAGCTACAAGCGCACGTCAACCTTCTCTCTTCTTCTTCGACGTCAGCAGCTACCAGCCCACGTCAATCTTCTTTCTTCTTCATCGACGTCAGCAGCTACCAGCGCACGTCAATTTCTCTCTTTTCCAACGACGTTAGCAGCTACTAGTGCACGTCATACTTCTCTCTTCTCCAACGACGTCAGCAGCCACCGGCGCACGTCAGACTTGTCTCTTCTCCAACGATGTGAGCAGCCATCGGCGCATGTCAGACTTCTCTCTTCTCAAAGTTTCCAGTTTCCAGCTAGTGTCCAAGCTTCCTCTTGCTTCAGCCAGAGTTCAGCTTGAGGGGGGATGTTAGACAATAGTACTAACATTACTTCTAGTAGTATTGGTTATGGTAGTGTTTCATTATTAGTCATCTTCCAAATCCTATTTGTAGTAGATGTTGTATGTTAGTTAGTTTCCATTCTCTATTACTAGTTGTGTTAGAAATCTCTCCTATATATATACTCTATCATGTATTCCATAATTAAAAGAGCAATATTATCATTCCAATATTTCAACACTTTGTAGTTACCTATTTATCCTAAAAAACGTGAAGTGTAATAGATACTCTCTTCATTCCATATCTTTCCTTATACTCCCTTAATCCTCCTAAGATATTTTTCGTTTTGACTATATGTACTCCCTCCGTCCCAAATTAAATTATCTATTTACGTTTCATAAGGTTAAACTTCATTCTTTTTCTTTATCTATTTTCGTTAGTCATTTGATAAAATAATATAATCATGTCACTACAAGTTTTATACATCTTTTGATATAATTTTTAGATATGTAATTTTTATTTTTAATTTTATACCATTTTACATATAAAATATTTGAAAATAACTACAATCAAACATCATAAACGGAAACAAATAATTTAAATTAGGACGGAGTGAGTAGGTTTTTAAGGAGAATTGAAAAAGGTGAATATTTATCAAAATACTCTTAATAAAAATGAATGGAGTGTATTAAATGAGATGATTGAAGTGTATCCGGTAATAAATAAATAAAGCAAGGTATTTTAAATGTTAAAAAGACAATGAGAAAACCTATAGGTGACAAACAAAAAGGGCTAATGAGAAAAAAATATTTTGGAGGCGTAGAAAGTATTTGACTTTTTATAATTTCCATTTAATTCTATTTTGATATTTAATATCTCTGATTTTATACTTTTTCCGTCCCAAAATGATGTTATGTATATTATTCTAGGCTTTTGACATATTTTGTTTATATATATATATATATATATATATATATATATATATATATATATATATATATATATATATATATATATATATGTGTGGGAGCGTCTAAAATGACACCAGTTGCTTACACCAGTTCGTTTGGGGTACCTACGGTGCTCCGTTTATAAAAACGACGGTTCCAACCCCCCCTAACCCTCCCCCTAAACCCCCCAGCCCAGCCCCACCCCTGCCCCCCTCCGGCCCCCTCCCTATGAAGGGAGAGGTACACATGCACACACATAAATTGATTATTATTACCAATATATCTTTTTTTAAATTTAATTAGTTTGTTCAATATTGATATAGGTGGATGATAAATACCAATACGCGTTAGAAAACAAGGATATTAAAGTGCATGGATGGATTTGACCCAAACCACATGTTGGATTTTGGATCATCACCGGTTCCAACGAGTTTCGCTCTGGAGGCCCAATTAGACAAGATCTCACCTCTCATGTTGGCCCAACCGCATTATCGGTATGTAATTGATCACTAATACTTATATTAATAAGAGTAACACATTGAAGTTGAGTTTATAAAAAAAATCATGGACATGGAATTACAAGTTATTTTGATTACATTTGATTTTCAGATGTTTTTTAGCGGGCATTATGCTGGCGACAACTATAGTGTTAGCTTGAGAAACGGTGAAACTTGGAAAAAGGTCTTTGGACCGGTTTTTATTTATCTTAATTCTGATCTTGGCACTGACCCACGACCTCTTTGGAATGATGCTAAAAGACAGGTGATTAATTTAATTACCATTGTAGTGGATAATTATTAAGAAATTATTTCTGATACAACTTTTACCATAAATTTCATTAGATGGTTGTAGAAAGTAGCAGCTGGCCTTATGACTTTCTCAAGTCAGAAGACTATCCAAGTGCTAGTCAACGTGGTACAGTTACAGGACGATTATTAATACGTGATAGGTGATTTGATTTTCCGGATCTAATTTTTTATTAGTTTATGTCAAATATTACACAAACCAAACCGAATTGGTTTCATTAAACTAATGTGATATTGTGTTTATTTGACAAAAATGGAGTATGTGTTTATTTGACAAAAAAATTTGATTCTTATTGTGTTGGTTTCTTGATATTTATGTATTTCTTTCATGCTTATTGGGTACCTAAGCGACAAAGTTATTCAGGCAAAATCTGCATACATCGGTTTGGCTTCACCGGGCATTGATGGGTATTGACAAGAAGATGCAAAGTTTCACGAGAATAAGTCTTATCTGATCATTTAAATGCATTCTTTTAATTACACATTGTTTTATCGTCTTAATTAAATAATAGTAAATTTCATAATTGATCTTTTATAACAAATTAAATGATTTTCCATATTTAGTCCTATACTATTAAATATTACTTGTGTAATACTTTTATAGTTTTATGGATACCTTTTTCTAAATAGCATAAAAGAATGACTACAACATGGATAATATTTGGTATTATAGAAAACCTTGTGTTATAAAAGACCAGTTATAGAATTTACTCGTTAACAACATAAATTTTCCTCCTCTTGGTTCTTGATAATAAGTTGAATATATATATGATTGAAACAAATATATTTAATTTCTAGGGGTATCAATTTTGGACACAAAGAGATGACAATGGATATTTTCAAATCAGTGCAGTAAGACCAGGAACCTATAACTTGTATGGCTGCTGGGTTCCTGGGATCTTGGGAGACTACAGAAACAAAATTGACATTATAATAAAACCAGGAGAGAAATGGCCCAAGAACCCAAGAAATGGCCCAACAATATGGTCCTCCAAGAAATGGCCCAACAATATGGGAAATTGGCATCCCAGATAGAAAGGCAACAGAGTTCTTCATCCCTGACCCTGCACCTCACCTCAAGAACTATGCACTGCTCAACCAACCTGAAAAGTAAGACCCTAATAAAGTGTAAATAAATTGAACACTTTGAGATTTGACAAGGTTTTGTTGATTAAAATCTTATGTTTTGAAACTAAGGGAATGTTTAGTGAGCCAACAAGATATGGGTTTTGATATCTCCAGATATTTGGGTGTTTGGTGAAGTAAAAAAAGATATCGAATTCGATATCTCCAGATATCATAAATCCTTCAAATAGAGGGTTTCAATATCTCCCGAATTTAACATTGATCATTTTCTACCAGCGCCTGTCATTATTACTGCCAACCATCCCCGTTTCCGTCACCCTCGCTCATTACAAATTAAATCACAATTTTAAATCTCTCCAAACAATTTAATTTCAGATTTCAAAACCCATATCATTTCTCCCAGATCTCATAATTCATATCTTATTATAACTCCAAAACTCATCAAACGGGTCCTAAGTATTTAAGACAAACAGATTTAGGCAGTATGGGCTCTGGGATCGTTATACGGATTTATTCCCTCTCCAAGATTTGGTCTTCACCATTGGGAAAAGAGATTGGTTTTTCGCACATGTCAGCCGGTACTGTGCTTTGTTTGATTTTTAAAAGATGCAAGTCTATTGTGATTTTGATTTTCCAAAAATGTCTTTGCATGTGATGGATAGGTTAATAGTGAATAAATGTGATCCGATAAGTATGTTTTTTTTATTACCTGCAATCAATCATGCAGGAAAGTTGGGGGCAATGTGTATGCACAGACAACGTGGAGAATATCATTTACCATGGACAATGTTAATCCTGCAGGAACCTACACACTTCGAATTGCAATAGCTGCCACCAACTTGGAAAAAATTGATGTACGTATTACTCTCAATATTATTATTAAATTTTCTTAATTTTATAGTATTAAAATGACACAATTGATTTGATTTGTGTGTGTGTGTTTACTCATAGGTTTTGATCAACAATAATCCTAATGGGCGTCCAATGTTCTCAACGGATGGAAGTGTGAGAGACAATGCCATCGCAGATTCTTAAAAGACAAAAATATCTAATTTATCTTCTCTCAGTGACCGTCTGGCCGGATCTGAGAGTGCACTCGGAGATGTGGCTCAACCTTTTTTGTATCCATCATTAGATATATGTATAAAGTTCAACTAAAAACAAAGTGAAAGTATAGTGTACTTCCAAATCATGTACAAAGATTGATATTATGAAAATGATATACAGATTTTTAGAAGAATAAATAGTATATTCACAAAACGGTCCTTTCCAATAAGGTGTTTTCCCAAATTACTCTTTAATAAGCAATAATTACCAATGTAGTCCTTGATATTTTGTCTTGAGAATATATAAGTGTGGCAAATATTTAGGGACGGAGAGAGTATCAATTTGCAAAAACACTTAATTTTAAAGAAGCATTTCGAGAGCATACTTTAAGTCTAATTGATATAAAATACCAAATTACCTTCTAGTTTACTGACATTTAATAGACTTTTTCGAGGGAAGACCATTTAATAGACTAGGGTTATTCACGCTTAGGTCCAGACCCAAAAAAATTGGCTGAACCTGGACCGAATGAATTTTGGGTCGGTCCTCAATCCAGAAAATTTAGGTGTTTGGGTTTCGATCTGGTCCGATCCAAACCCGAAATGATTTAGGTCCAAACCGATTGGACCAAATGGACCTAATAACCCTACTGCACCTAAAAGACTTAAATACTAAAACTCTATTTTTTTAAGTTCTGTATTACACTTTGATGCTCTATTTTAATAGATATTTGAATTTATTTAATTAAAAAGTCTTTTTTAAGGAATTTTTTAAAAAAGTTTTAAAAAATTCCACATTTGGTATTATTCGACCGTTAACTCATTAATTTGTGTTACGCGAGTTGAAGTGTTACAAAAAATCTATATAATTACACTTCCACTCTTTTTCATAAATTTATTTATACTTTTTTTGCATGTCCCAACAAAAAGACTTCACAATTACTTTTATCACGTTGGTTCTCATGACATTGAGATTCAATGTCATGGAATGATCCGAAATCCATACAATGCTCCGTTTAAAAAACTGATAATTCCTATCCCCCTAAGCTGGTAAACCCCCCCACCCCCGGCCGGCTTGAACATACCCCTGCATCCCCGTCAATTGCATTCCACAAGATTTAGTTGACTTTGAAGTTAAAATTTGACTCCAAAGTCAACTAAATCTTGTGGCATGCAATTGGCGGGAGTGCGGGGGTATGTTTGGGTCGGGCCGGGGGTGGGGGGTTTATCGAAGGGGTTAGGGAGGGTAGGAACCATCAATTTTTTGAACGGAACATTGTAGATGTCCTAATCGGGGCCCATGTCGTTGGATGCCATTGGGGGTTCATGCCACACGAACCACCCTTTTCTAAGTAGTACTCCCTCCGTCCCTAAATATTTGTCACACTTGTATTCTCGGGGTAAAATATCAAGTTTTTTCAATTCATTTTATTTACATATTGGTATGGAAATAAAAAATAAAATTTACATATCAAAAAACTATATGAAAATTTCTTCGAAATAAGAGGTGTCAAAAATATTTTATTTTATCAAATAATCAATAAAAACATAAAAATAAAAAAAAGTTCCTACGACTACTGAAATAGCAAATGTTACAAATATTTTAGGGACGAATGAAGTATTTTAATTTTGAAAGTCAATGTGTGACTACCTATAATTTTTAATGCTATTTGGCCCAATTAACAAAATAGCAGCCCAATCAAAAACATGTTCATCGGAAGTTTCAAAAGACACCTGAATTTGAAACTGCAGAGACACAAAGTACACAACTCGTCAGTCCGCTTCTGCTTCGGTTGGGCTTTTTATATACTCCCTACTCTACAAATATCCTTTCTTTTTTTTTGAAGGAATCATCAAATTTACTCTGCAATTTTTTTTTTTTTTTTACAAATTAGTTTGTGGAATTATCTTCGCCGCCGTCACATATTCCGTCGATCCAAATTATCAGCTTTTCATCCTCTCATCTTTAATCTCTATTTTACAGTTTACCCCTTCTTCTTCTTTTGAAGCAGTGAGGTCAGTTTCCTGTTTTTCTTTCAAATTCATTGGCTTTGAATTATTTACAATCAGTTTAAATTCTTGTATGACTTTATTTTTTTTGTGAATCGCTTTTCGATTATAGTTAGCGTTTTGAATGATTTTAATGATAAAGCCAAATGGGTGCGTTTGGAAACCACTTCAACATTTAGCTTTCTGAAAATGCTCTCCAACGGTATCGTTTGTAGTGTTTTCGAAGTTAATTTAAGCCGTTAGAATTTTATTTAGAATGTTAATGCTAATAGAAAACACTATTTTCAAACAAGTTTGGCTTTTTTCAAAACTCTAAAGCGAAACGCTATTACCTGAGTGTCCCACAATATACCCCTCTGAATTTTGATCATGAATTGTATTTTATATTAATAAAATAAAGTGTTTTCTTTTTTGAAATTATTTCCAAGATAAATTTAGTGAACTCATTTTTATACTAAGATCAATTTTTATTTAATTGATGATCAAAGTTTGACGGAAGTAGTAAAAATCTCTTTTTTTATTGTATTGGGTGAAATTGGTTTGTTGAACCTGTAATAATTAAGGATTAATATGCATGGTTCTTAGAAATTTATCTAGTGGCAACACACATTTCTAATTTGCAATCAACTGAAACTAAATTTTAATTTCATTTTATAATTACTTTTGAGTTATGAATAGTTGTCGATACAGAGTATTAGTAATTGGATTAACACTCCGCGTTCTTAGGTATGATGAGGTTACATTTTTTCTTATGATTGATTGAGATTGGCAAATTGTCCCAAAATGAAATTTACCCATAATGTATGATATGAATTTGTTTCTTAGTTTAAAAACTAACTCAAATTGAATCTTTTAGCCGAAACAAGATTGAGCAACTACATTTGACTTGCTTAAGGTTTTTTTTTGTTTTCGCCTATCGTTGACTGCAACGTATTTCAGGTTAAGACTTGGGTTGCAAAGGTTGCCAATGGCCGGAGACAAGATGTTTGAGAAATGTATCCCTTTTTTAGTTTCTGCTTCTTGTTGTTAAGTCAATTCATAGTGGGTAAATTTAAGCAAAGATATAACTTTTCTTTCCCTAAGTAAAGTGTTTTTTTTCCACTTTATTTGGATTCATGGACTATGAAATTCTTGTCAAATTTTAAGCTTTTTTAAGTTGAGGTGTTTTTGCTAATTTTGTGTATAATACTTAGCTTAACTCCACTACCTCTAAGCTCAAACAAGTTATTCTGGATTGGAAACCGAATCGGTTACTGAGTCGACTCGCAAGGTAGTTTGTACTCTAAACATACATATTCTTCTTTGGTTTGAATTTCTTAAAATTTCGGTCTCCTCCCATCGATGTGATTGTCTAGTTTTCTAATCTTTTGTTTGTTTTTTAATTCAAATCTTTATTTATGTAGATTTCCAGAAAAGCAGGAAAACCATATGTTTCACAATCTTCCAGTTCTCCATTGGGCAATGTTGCCACTCGTGTTAAGGGCCCTTCCGATCTACGGACGATCTCCTTTGAACAATATTATGCAGGTTCGTCTGGCCTTCACGAGCTATTCTAGATTCTATCGAAGGACGCTTCTTATATTAATTACTTGTGATAAACAAGGGATAACATGGGGGTATTTATGTAAAAACAAATAGGGTCATTGGTGGAAAAAAACAAAAAAGTTAACACTCCCTCGGTCCCAAAATGAAGTTTACAATTTTCTTTACTTTTAAAGAATGCCTAACGATTATTTGACCTGTTGTTCTTGCAGGATATAACAAAATTTTGAACAATGATCATCACGGTCACTCTAATACGGTATGTTTTTTTTATGGCCTTTTTATGTTCAATAACCAGATCAAATTTTTACATTTTGACATTATAATTTTAACGAATTGCAGGGCATCCAATCAGAAAACGGGTCTTACCGTTATTATCTCCCTGACTATAATCATTATGCCACAAAGTTTATGGGTTCAGATGGGAAACACTTGAAACCACAACCGTATACACCATCGTCAGCATCATCATCATCAGGATATCTTCAGCAACAATGGAGTTCATCAAGGAATTCTACAACCACAGCAACAGGCGGTTCACTAAAGCCGAAAGGTTTTAACTCTTCAAAAACAAACCATGGCTTTTCGACCAGAAACGTGCCTCCCCCTTTGAATTCTGTAAGTCAATATTCTGTTCCAGCAAAAAAGTACTCCTTCTGTCCGGGAAAGATCTTCCCATTACCTTTTTTAACATTTGAAATTCCGCAATTACCCTCACTCTCTTTATTTATTAGTTATTACACCTCATTCAGTATACTCCACCCATTTTAATAAGGGCAATTTGGTAAACTTCTACCTTTTTTTGACTCTCCTTAAAACCATGAAAAGTCAATTGGAGAAGAACTTTACCGGACAGAGGGAATAAAAACAAGGTTTGCGAAACAAGACTTGGCCAAGCATGACTTAGGCCGTGTTCTGTTTGCTTGTCATGTGTGGTCTGATCTGATTATAGTTATTATTAAAGTTGTTTCTCATCTGATTTGGTCCGATCTGGTCTGATTTGATTATAATAAGAATAAGTAATTAGCAGAAAAAATAAGTTGAACGGAACGCTACCTTAAACAGATTCTAATTTTCCCATCCTTTGCAGTTTGGTTCAAACTACCAACCTCAAGGCCAGCCGAACGGGTTTCACCCGGGTTCAAAGTTTCCATCACATACAAGTCAAAACCAAGGCTTTTTGCAGTATGGTCAACTTAACTACCAAACGAACGGCAGAGTCTTCTTGAATGGCAACTTTAAATCCAATCCCAGAGATAATTTCAGTAAGAAGGGAGTAAAAGATGCCTCTTCTTCTGAACTAAATCGCGGGCCCAGGGCGAAAGCAAAGAGCAATAACCCCTCAAAGCCATTGGGTGAAAATGAAAGCGTCCAGCGGAGCCTGTACAACAAAGAAGACTTTTGTACTCACTATGATCATGCCAAGTTTTATGTGATCAAATCATTCACTGAAGACAATGTTCATAGATGTGTTAAATATGATGTTTGGTCAAGCACGCCAATCGGGAATAAGAAACTAGACGATGCTTTCTGCGAAGCTGAAGGGAAAACCAGTGAAACCGGCGCAAAATGCCCGGTCTTCCTCTTCTTTTCTGTAAGTTTAGTTTCCTCTGTTTTTACACTTTCCTTAGGTTGTGTTTGGATAGGCGTATTCCATTTAACATGTTTAGAATCAAATTCTTTGCTTGACAACGACCCTTGTGTTTTTGAGCTCGTTTAGAAGTCCACTTTATACTAGATTTGTCCCAATTCATATTCTAAATTCCACAACTAGCCAAACAAGGGAATTGACTCAATCCGGGATCTACAAATGAAGTTTCTCTATCCAAACGGACCATAAAAAATATTGGAGTTTTATTGCGTCATTTACCCCTAAACTCTATATAAATTGCATGCTTTCCCCTAGGACTTTCAAAAATGCACCAGTAGTCCCTGCACTTTTCATAAATTGCATGTTTTACCCTCGAACTCATTAAAAAGTGCATGTTTCCCACCCGAACTTTTAAAAGTGCACCATTAGTCCCTATATTTTTTTATAAAGTGCGTGATTTCCCGTCATGAGCTTTCAAAAGTGCACCCTGGCTAATTCTTCCACCTCTTTTTGTTGTTTATGCTTTATAAGGTTAATGGAAGTGGGCAATTCCTTGGTGTGGCGGAGATGATAGGGCCAGTTGATTTCAACAAGAAACTGGACTTTTGGCAGCTTGATAAATGGAGTGGCTTCTTCCCGGTGAAGTGGCACATTGTTAAGGATGTCCCCCACCATCAGTTGAAGCACATTATCCTTAAAAACAATGACAATAGGGATGTCACGTACACTCGAGACACTCAAGAGGTAACTCTCCGTGGAAAATTATTTTCTCTAATCGCAAAAAAGCCGTTTTCATGCTAATTTTTGTTTTCGTTTTACCATATGCTCTCTTCATCTTTACGTCTAGCTGCGAGATTTAGTTTTCTACTTATCTAGGTGCTAGTTTTTTTTTGGGGGTGTGTGTTTGCGTGATTTTTTTGTAAAAGAGAGCGGTTATGTCTAATTCGGGTGTTTGCGTCATTAAAATCACTTGAAAAGATAAGTTAGTAATAAGAAAAAAATATTATAATATTATTTTTATGACATTATTAGTTCATACTAAAGTATATTATTTTGAACAACCTTACCTTAGTAGATAAGTCAGATCGAGAAAGAGTTCGGTGAGGTTTGATCTATGTTTAACGAGTCATTTTGGGTTCTGTTAACATTATCTTTGTTCAAAATTCAGTATTTTCAAGTTAAATTTTAGGTCAAAAATAGGTCATGTCAATTTTTGTTAGGTCTAGATTTTATGTGTGCCTTATGGATTTGAATTTTGATTATGTAAGGTTTTGCAATGATTATCAATGATATCATAAGTTTTTTTTAAAAAGAAAACATATGTTTTGTTAACCTATTTGGGGTTGTGAACTTGTTTAGGTGGGCTTGAAAGAAGGTCTGGAGATGCTAAACATCTTTAAAAGTTACCATGAGAAATCGTCGTTGTTGGACGACTTTGATTTCTACGAGGAACAAGAGATGTCCCTCAAAGCCAAACAAAGCGTTGTGTCTCTGGCTCCGGAATATGATGAATCTGAGGCCGTGTCTTCTCTGGTGGGTCCCACAAGAAACCTCTCCCTCGGTTCACAGCCACCAGAGACCATGTGAGTTGGAGGCGCTACAATGGCGTCACTAATATTTTGTGCAACAATGTTGTTTGCTTTGGTGTCCAATGTGTGTGTACTAAATAAATTAGCTTTTTTGCTGCTTTTTTTCTTTCATCCTTCCCAATTAGGTGTCTACTTTGTTTTTGTTTTTGTTTTTTGGAGCTTTTTTCTACCAACATTTGTATTTGTGTAAGAGTAGTGAAAAAGAAAACATTGTAAAAACCAAATCTAAAATTATTGCAAACACCAATATATTTAGTCCTTTATCAAATATTACATTCATGGTTCTTTTATATCCAACTTCTCACATTCTTTTTTTTATCTTAAGTTATGTTAGTGTTAAATTAAAAGCTAAATGTGTGATTTCATATTAGCTCCATATCCAATAACGTATTTTAATGTCGGTTTGATAGACAACACAACAATACTGACTAGGTAGTGGATTAAAATTTTGACTAGAGACATCTGTAAACTATACAGTAGAGAGTAACTTCAATTGACAAATACTACCTTCGTCCCATTTTATAATGCCTATTTCGGTTTACGATGTTTGACTGAAATTATTTCAGTCAAAAATGGTATAGAATTAAAAAAAAATTACATATTAAAAAATTACATCAAAAGATCTACAAAACTAGTAGTGACAATAATATTTTATTTTATCAAATTGCTAACGAAAATAGAGAAAGAAAGTGAATAAAGTTTGACCATGTGAATAGTAAACAAACATTATAATTTGGGACGGAGGGAGTAATACATTAATAGCGACTTCTGGCATAAGTTATAACAAGAAAGATATATGATCATTGAGAAATTAGATTTTTAATCTTTAATTTAATAACAATATTACAGATCAAAATTGAAGAATCCATGAAATAATACCCATAAAAGACTAAGGACGTACTCCCTACGTCCCATTTTATTGCCCGTTTTGATTTTGAGCCATATTTAAGGAAGAAAAAAATGATGTTGACTTTTCAAAATGTCTTACTTTTTTACGGGATTGACGAAGAATGAAAAGATAAACTAGAAAAAAATGACTTATTTTAGGATAGTTTAGGTAATTACCCTTAAAAATTTATTATTATAAGAAATTGGTAACTTTTTATTTTGGCAACTTATTTTGGAACAAATAAAAAAGGATATCCCACAATTTAAAATGAACAGAGGGAATAATATTTAATTATAGAAGACTAATTATAAAAAACTATCTTTTATATTTATTAAATTTACTCTTTGATTCTTTAAAAAAACATACAAAATATAAAATGATTAGTTGCATTTTTAAATGTAAAATAAGAGTAAATACATATATATTCATCCCGATGTATACTGATATGGATCCATCTTGAGATGATATTTCAAGATCAAGATTTATTTGATGCAAAATCAAATACCAAACCAAAATATTCAGTATATAGTATTAATACAAGCTAAATACCTTCACATACCATACCATGTCCACCCATACATAACACAAATAATACTATTGTTCTTTTGACCTTCAAATGACACAAGGCATCTGCAATGCTTTGTTGGTAAAATTGATGATTCATATCTCACTCGCACCCCATTCCAACCCCCTACCACACCCTCTCCTTCCCTGAGATCGCCGATTTGGCTGCCCAAATCAGCAACGAGGGAGGAGAATGGGGTGGGGTGCAAGGGTTTTGTGGAGGTTAAGGGGAATCAAAATCATCAATTTAATCAATAGGGCACAATAGTTGCCTAAAATGCCAAGGTCATTCTAAGTCAAGGTCAAAAGTTCTTGCTGCACAAATAAAGATTTTATTTAAAGTTTGATTCAATTTCATGTATTCCCTCAAATTCCTGAATAAAACTAATACACTTTTCATATAAGGAAATTCCCATTGCAGTTCACTAATCACTACTACAGACAACAAGACCAAAATTGCAGACCAATTGAAGTCAAATAAACAGAGATCAGTGTCCACTTTCATGGACATTAAGGTTGTTTGGCTCATAATCATACAAGTATTACGAGAAGAAAGAATGCAGTTAGTCACAATAGAGCCTGATCACAGAATCACTCCCGGCAGTAAATAACCAAGGTTGTTTAGGATGGAACGTACAGTCGAGAACACCTGAAAGTGCAAGTTTGAATTTGTCAGAAAAAAACAATTTCACAAACTTAATTATTTACTTGAAATGGACCATGCTACAATCACATCACGGGTGAGAGTTGACATTGTTAGTGTTTCACCAACAATAATTTCTCGCATACAATGGTTGTGTGTGTTGTCTCTGATGGTATTCCTAGGGTTAAGGTAGCATTTTTCCTATTCGAAATACCTCTCCCGTTTGTAGTGGTATGTCCTCGGAGAATCTCTAGAGGAACAATAAGGGGATTTTGGTTCAGATCTGAATAAACCATGCCATGGAAGACATATGCAGTGCAATCATCGGAACATGAAGCAAACAAAGGGTAGGAACGATGGAAGGCAACCTTGTTTATGTCTTTTGGATGGCATCTGCAATTTTATAAAAGAAAAATAGTTATCACATTTAGACAAGTGATGTCAAGTTACAATAATGCATTACTCCCTCCTACAGTCCTACCCAAAGAAATAGTCATGTTTAACATTTGATTTTTGGCAAAATATGGACAACTCCAAAATGGCATGGAATATGGCTTATATTTTTCAAGTTCAGAGTACCCAAATATATTTTTTAAGTTAAACTAAATCTATCATAACAAGCATGTTTGTAACTTTTTTGGAGAAAGAAAGCTTTTGAAATTGGTGTGTTTTTGTGTGGTAGGAAGTATATAAATTTTATTTTGAAATAAAGCAATTTGGGTAGGGTGTCAAGCCGCCTTTGGTGATAAGCAATGGAAAATATGGGGTATACTATTATTTGGTTAGCATTCATGGGATATTTTGCTGGTTTTAGAATCACGTTCACTTTTCTGTCTATTTGGTTTGTATTTTTAGCTGGAATAAGGTAAGTGATTCTGATTTCCAAAATGAGATTTTGGGAATCACCCAACCCATGGAATTGGGAGATTTTGGAAACCAACCTACCTCCTTATTAGCACCTAATTCTACCAACTTTAAGAATCACCTGATTCTAAAATTAGAACAACATCTTTTTGAAAATGATCCATAACTTACAACCACAATAGAATTTTCATCTAAATATAAACCCTATACTTACTTGAGAACTCTGTAAGGCTTAGATGAAAGGTCCATGTCAAACCAACCAAGTTTCCCTTCTTTACTTCCAACAATGACATGGTCACCTGCATATGAAGGTATATAGGTGCAATAAAATAACACATCTGTGCTTTAACTTAGTTTCATATGAAAAACCAAGAGCTTTGAAACTTACCGCTTGAGTGGATAGCAACTGATGATACTTCATGAAAATGAGTTTCAAGTTTCTTGATGAGTTTTTGTTTCACCAAATCATAGGCACGGATATTTTTCTTTGTTGACATGAAGAAAACTGAAAGAGAAGGGTGGAAAGCGGTTGATACTGGAATTCCGTGAAGCTTGAATGGTATCTTTTGAGTCTGCTTCTTTGAGAGAGAATGAATAAATGCTGCTCTTGATTCCCGTAAGCATGGGTTAAGAAAGAACATGTAACCAATTAAGAACAAAGAGACTTATACAACTATACAGTATTAGTGTCACGGGTAGCAACTTCTTACGAAACGTATCATTTATTCATTTTGTTACTCCATAGTCAACAACCCTGTAAAATCCCGCAACATTTTTTATGTGTACACAGACCTAACCCCTAATAAAGAGAAGAATATTTTCCTCTTTTGGTTACACGACCCTCAAGGTCATTCCCTCTTTTAGTCCTCCGCTTTCATTTCCCCCTTTTGGTGGATAAAAATGAACTTATCGGGGTAAGGTTGAATACATCTTTACCCGTCTAGACTCTATCTGAGTAGGAATTATACTGAGTTTTTTGTAGGTGGTGCATGAATATCGATATCTTGCAAATGTTTGTTCTTTCAATCGCTTACCCAGCAAAAAGCAACCAAAAATTGTACGAAAAATGGCAGGATGAACAATCAAGAGGATTGAAAGTTGAAAGTTGCAAGAAATCCATAGGCAAGCACCATTTGGAAATAAGCTCTAACGTCAAATTTCTTCAAATAATTTGGGCGTGTTTCTTTGTACTGGTGCTTATTGGCTTATTGCTTATAAGCAAATTTTAACTTATAAGTTGCTTATAAGTCAAATATTCTTTCGTGGAAGTAAAATGACTTTGATAAATAAATCATTTGTAAATATTCATAAACGTTGAGGGACAACTTTGTAAATAATCTGGTCAAAACGGAGAAACAAAAAAAATGGCTTAAAAATAAGTAGTTAAACTTATTTTTTCTCACTTATACTTGGTTATAAGCACAGAGAAACACCCACAAAATGACTTTCCTTTAATCTTAATGGATGCAAATGACGAAGAAGAGATGCATGAATCTCATGAATTCAGAAACTCAGTGCATTCGCTTATAAATGATATGTGTATATTCTGCTGCCAAAAGAAATCCACTGTGAGCTCAAATTGAGAATTTAGTTTCATTAAAAAAAGGATATCAGACGGTGTAAGTGTTGAGAAATAGTCTCCTTTACGGTGCCACTCAACAGATGTAACATTCTGCAAAACACATCAAACATACGAAAGTCAGATTTGCATAACCCATTCAACATACATATAGTGTGTGATGGAGTGGTAAGAACTATATGCACATACCTTAGTGTGCTTTAACCTGACTCCTCCATGCTTATCATCCTTAGACCAGCTCACAATGGAAGAGTTGTTCTCTGAGCCACCGCAAAATAGAATTCAATATAGGTAAAAGTATTGACTTCTCCAAATATTGATAAACACATTTACATCAGACTAACCATGGTCATCTGTTGCTGGTGGTTTCTGAGCACACAAAAGTTCTTCAACCTTCTGTTGTCCCTCTTCATTCCCAAGGCCAGTGTTCAAAAGGTATACATCTAATCCACTGCACATATAATTAAAGTATGGATATTCTCTAGGCAATCACAATCTAACAAAATATGTTCGATCAAGGCGCAACTCAATTTTCATAAGGTATTATGGCTATGTTTTGCATTAGCTTAAGCATTTTGAAAATGTGATCCAACAGTAGCTTTTAGCATTTTCAAAGTTAATCTGCACAATTAGAAATTGATCCAAGACACTAATGCTAATAATAAACATTATTCCCAAATGAAGCCTATATTTAATAGTCATGAAACCTACTAAATTTAGTAATGGAAAGGTGTAACATCTACATCAGTTTGTTCAAAGTAGCTATTCAAAGATATCTTTTAATTTTTATTTTATTACGGAGTACTTTTTTTGGGGGGGGAGGGATAAGTACTCCATTAAGCTTACATGGCGACTGCCAGAATAGGAAGACTGGGCACAGGATTCCAGGAAACAAGCTGAACTGCTTCATCAAACTCCCATATCCTTGCACATCTTCCCGTTTCAACCTCCCATAAACGCACAGTTCCATCGCTAGAACCTTGAGAAACAAAAATTGATAATGATACCATGTATCTATATGACATTACTTATAACTTGTACAAATTGAAATATCTTATCCGAAGACAAACCAGAAGCAATCCATTGCCCGCTAGGTTCTGTACAAATTGAGTTAACTGGACCTTTGTGACCTTTATACTCGAGATAACAAGTAGTTGGGTAAGGTCTGAGATCCTTACGACTTGGCATCTTTGGTTTCAAAGATTCAAGATCAATATTAAGCTGAAAATAGACAAAGATGCAGATGGTTACTTAATGATTAAATAAATGAGTGCAATAGCTATAAAAATCCAGATATCATTTACCTGGTAAATCTTAGACTAAAACATACTCCCTCTCCCCAAATAAACTTCATTGTTTAACTTTCATGGAGTTTAAAAAAAGCTTTGGAATGTGAAAAAAAGTGGTTAGAATTTGATGAGAGAAGAAAGAAATTTTTGGGCCACATAATTCTTTCCTTTTAAGAAAAGTGAAGCTTATTTTGAGACATCCAAAAAAGGAAAGAATGAAGATTATTTACAGACGAAGGGAGTAAAAGCTTTCTATGCACATACCCTCTTTTTACGAGCTCTGGGGCATAGATAAAGATCCAAACATCGATCAAATGTTTCCTTGACGGTTTTGTCATAAGCTGGAACGCTTCTCAAGGAAGTAAACCTGAATAGAACAAAAAAATGATTAATATATTCAGCTAGAAAGAAGCAAAACCAAACACAATATTATTGACCAATTAAATAGGCAGCAAAATGTACTGTTTTGGAATGAATTTAGGCCGATCCTCCTCAAACATAAGTTCATATGATTTGATCTCGTCTTCAGTTGGGATATATTCCAACGAGGGGTTGTACGATTCCTCATGACCTGAAATTACAATTAGGTTAGACACCAAGACCTCCCTTACACTCTACGAAAAGGTAAATTTACAGACTGATTGTTTTGATCGGATAGGAGTGGGAGAATTTTTTGTAGTTGTTTGGATGTTGAAAAAATGGGAGGAGAGAAAAAGAAGAAATATGTGATGATAATAAAAGAAATTACCTCTCATATGGCGATATTTTGGTAGGAAAGGGGGGAGTTCACTAAAAAACGAGTTATCAACCCTATAACTTTATGCTACATAAATACTACGTAAGTTATTAGTAAAAAATATGTCTTCTCAATCCAACAACTCAAAAATATGCAGATTTTATACTATTTTTATCTTCGCTTTAACTTTCTTCCCTACTTTTTTCTTTCCTACTAATCTTCATCTAAACAGTGTACAAGACTACCATGTATAGAGAGTTGGTACCTGGTAGCTTAGTTTTTGGAGCAGGAATATAAGCTAATCCATGTCTTTCCACAGAACTAGAATCATCTCCCCACAAACGATAGAATCTTGGTTCTTCTTTCGGCTTGTCATCAAATTTTATTAGCCCCTTTCTTATTAAACGCACTAACTTAACAACCTGGAACCAAAAGAAATAATAACTCAATAGCTATTCAAAAGCAAGAAATGCTGTTTGAGAATGCACAATACAAGTTATAAGAAGATAAACCCCAAGTCAGGCATGAACTCGCTCTTTATAAGCTTTTTCTAAATAGTTCAACTAAGCAAATGAAAAACAAAGCTGTAATGTGAGAATTGCATAACTGTTACTGGGAACAATATTGAAAGAATTACTATGTAATCAGAAAATGGAGAAGGGAGAAAGGTAAGTATCTCAAAGAAAAATTAGAAGTTTCACATCATATGCAATTAACCCATTGCAGTCTAACCTTTTTCCTCTCCCACTTTGAAGGAATAAAGCGTCTCTTTGGTTCTGGGGCATTTGAAAGTGGATGGTTTGCACCGTCCCAGGCAAACCAGTCAACGTAAGGCTGGGAAAAGGAGATAGAACAACTTAAACATCACTCTTTAAAGGAAAAAGGNTTGAAAGAATTACTATGTAATCAGAAAATGGAGAAGGGAGAAAGGTAAGTATCTCAAAGAAAAATTAGAAGTTTCACATCATATGCAATTAACCCATTGCAGTCTAACCTTTTTCCTCTCCCACTTTGAAGGAATAAAGCGTCTCTTTGGTTCTGGGGCATTTGAAAGTGGATGGTTTGCACCGTCCCAGGCAAACCAGTCAACGTAAGGCTGGGAAAAGGAGATAGAACAACTTAAACATCACTCTTTAAAGGAAAAAGGAAATTTTAGCTAGAAACTCCGTGTGAAATTGGACAAACCGCATAAGGATCGAACCCAGCATGGGGAGCCTTTCCTTTTATCATCCTGCGTATCATTTTGACCTCTTCCTTTGTCAGCTCCACTTCTTCATCATTATATTCATCATAGATCTTACGCCTGAATTTCATGAATGTACATCCTTTCATACTTAGTTTGAAAATCAATTGTAGGCCCATGCAAATTATACACACTCAAATTAATTCATCAATTCACCAATTTTTGGAGTCATCAGCACTGGCTAGGAACGAATCTAATTTGTCTTGTTTCTCTTTCTTCTTGATCTTCATCCCTGCAAGATCATATCCTATATGTTCCTCATCTTTGTACCACTTCAACGGAACATCTCCTACAGTATTGCGAGGAGCAACCTGATTGGAAAAAAAATATGGATAAAACTGTGAGCTTAAATAAGGCCAATAAGTTTATGGCATTGGTAATGATTTGGTGAATAAAATATAACTAATTGAAACGTTTTTTAGCTATTGGCAGTGCATCATATTTTCTTATTAAACAAAAATTGAACCGTACATGCTTAAGATTGAACCCAAAGGCTTGTATCTTTACTTTGAATAAAAGAAATGAATGAGTCTTTTCTTAATTAAGTGATCATCACCACCGCCATCCTTTAATCTCAACTACACTATTGTTGGTGGCATAAATTAATAGTGACAACTAATTTTAAAGAATTAGTTAAAAATATAAAAATATTCATGCAAAAATCAGTGGCAACGTTTTAAGATAGATGCCCTTCTTGCTGCAACCAACCTTATGAAGATGGATTGGTGAGATAAAATTCAAAATCTTGTCATCAATAGTGTTTTCTACTTCCATAGAAAACTATCATGAGAAATTGAAGTAGTGATTTTCCCCCAAAAATTAATGAAATCCATGCTGCAACTTGCTTTCACCCTTCAAAAAAAAACTTCTAGAAATACCCACAGGCAGATAGGCATTTCCTGAAAAAAATTAAAAACGCACCTCATCTTCAGACGAGTCACTCTCCTCAACTTCTGGACGGGAGTCATCGCTTCCACCATCATCTTCTTGACTATGACTCATAGCACCAGTTACATTATTCTTAATAGAGGTATCGTTACCATTATTAGATTTATTACTTGAGTCAAAACCACCCTGAAACAGAAATATGAATTCTAATGAATAACTAACACTAAAAAGAATGCAGAAGAAAACACATAAGGTTCTTTATAAAAACAAGTTAACAAATGCAGTGTTATGAAAGAAGCGCAGAGGCACAAAGGAATGAAATGAGTCCCTTGGTCCCAGCACACAGACAGATGCGCATTTCTTAAAAAAATAGGAATACAAACACACCTCATCTTCAGATGAGTCGCTTTTCTCAACTTCTAGATGGGAGTCATCATTTCCACTATCATTCTCTTCACTGTGACTCACAATACTAGTTAAATTGTCCTCACTAGAGGTATCATCATCATTGCTTGAGGCAAGACTATCCTGCAACAAAAGTAGGAACTCAATTACCTACAGTGAAAAAAATGTAGAAGAAAGCACATAAGGTTCTATATATGATAAGCTAACAAACACGGTGTTATTAAAGGATCACTGAGGCACAAAGGAGTCCCAAAAGTCCTGACCAACATGCAGATGGGCATTTCTAAAAATGGAATAAAAATAACACCTCATTTTCAGATGAGTAACTCTCATCAACTTCTGGATGGAAATCATCACTTGATTCACTTCCACCATCACTTGAGACAGTTTCATCCTGCAACAAAAATATGAACTTCGATCAGTTACTAACAATATAAAGATTAACACACTCCCACCGGTGTATGCCCATATTTATTCAATTTTTCATGTGTGGAGAAAGTCATAATGGACAGTTATAAGAGAACGGGGGGAGAGTAAAGTTCTATGTTCAATAAGTTCGCCAAACACAGTGCTATTAAAGGGCCACTGATGCACAAAGGGGTCCCTGGTGCCAGAGGCTTCATGCCTTCGAGTTCCAAATCAAAACATAAATTTCTGTGTCACCAAACTATACAAGTTTTGGAAACCCTCAACAAAAGATGATTTGCTTTTGCATGACAGATCGACACAGTCCCATTTTGTAAACATGGGACAAAATTTAAGCATCAAAATTTTCATGTCATGTTCAACCTCAGTAGCAGGGTCTTTAGATGTGTCTTGTAAAGCACTGTCCCTTTTTGTCATGGTGCGTAATCAATAGAACAACCTGAAAAAAAATCACAAAATCTTATGTATTAACTTAACATTTTGGGTAGATATAATCTGAAAATTGAGAAAAAATACAATAAAAACTAAACATATACAATTAATTAATCGCATTACACCTAAGGAAAGAGCCAGGAAGCAAATAAATAAAAATACAATAAAGAAAACTGGAAAAAAAACATTTTAAAATACAATAAATATAAAGCAGAATGAGCCTGATTACATAAAATATACTCCCTTCTTATCAAACAAAGAGAAATATTTGAAGTCTTATTTGTCCTAAACAGTCATATATTTGAACAAAAAAACTAATTTTCGTTAAATCTAGGTCATGTTTGGCATGTTAGATGTTTTTGTTAGAGGTTTGTGCCCAAGCCGCCAAGGTTTTCAAAGTTCAAAGGCGCAAAAGTCTTATATAATGTGGAACAGCCACAGAATTCTGTGTAGAAGTGTTTCGGAATTCGATTCTCGTCCATAATCTATCTACAGACGTCAATTTATCTCCGTTTGAGAATATCGAATAAGGTCAGAAGTTTAAGAGCAGAAATACCTGGTGCGCTGCTCGCCGGCGAAGGGAAAAACGGCGAGTTGGAGGCTGGAGAAGAAGAAGACGAGCTAGGTGTGGCACTTGTGTGTAAGAGACGAAGAACTAGGCTACATTTTTGGGCTGAGTGGGAATGTGGGCTGGAGTTTTAACCAGCCCAATTTAAAGTATACCAGCCCGGGCCGTCCGTCTATCCCTCATTATCCTTTAAAACTATTTCAATTTAAATTGTTTAAGGCCCCGTTTGGTACATGGAATTCAAACTATAGAATTGGAATTGGGGACTTCAATTTCAATTCTAGTGTTTGGTAGCACAAAAATTATGTAGATTTGGAATTATTATTTTTTGTATTATTATTACTATAATTATTAATTCTATTATTATTACTATTATTAATTTATTATTAATGTTTATTTTATTATTTATACTATTATGATAACTATAATAATAATAATTTTAATTTAAATTGAATTCATATAATATCAAATCAAATTAGATCAAATCAGATCGAGTTGATTGACAAGATCATACCGAGTATTAGAATTTCAAAAAATCACCCTTTTTCTAGAAAAAATTGGCCAATCGGAGAGCGGGTCCTTCATCGGCCATTGCGAATTTGCGACTTCACTTGTCCCTTTTTTTGACGGTACTTCACTTATCACTAATATGGCGGCAGAAGCATCGTCATCCACGGTGACGTCTCCGGTGACGGAGGAGGAGTTCAGCCTGACGGTGAAGTGGAGCGGCAAAGAGTACACCGTCGGAGTCTGCGGCAGCGACACCGTCAGCGAGCTGAAGCGACGGATTTGTGAAGCCACAAACGTGCTGCCAAAGCGCCAGAAGCTTCTCTACCCCAAAGTCGGATCCAAACTCTCCGATGATTCCCTTCTTCTCTCTCAAATTCCAATCAAGGCCTCCATCAAAATGACAATGATCGGGTATATACATCTCTCTATTGAAAGATTACTGTTTATTCTGTAATGGATTTTACTATTTATTTCTGAATAGTGTAGACCTCAACATAAATTCATGTTTACTCGAATTATGATGGTGAAAAAATGATAACCTAACCAGAAGTTGAATTAACAATCTAATTGAAGTTAGTATTGTTATCATCATTGAAGGACAATCTAATTTCAAGGTTTAATTTTTACATGTGTTCCTTAAATTTGAGTTATTCTGGAAGTGCACAACAAATTCTGAATGGATGGAGTATAACTTACTGAAAATTGCAGGTCAAAGTTGAAGCTTGAAGTTTATTTAGCTCCCCTTATTTATCCAAACTAGGATTTCAACTTAGGTTTCCTAGACATTTCAGTGTCAGTCATGCAATTCACAATTGGATCAGAGTCATGGTGCATATGGGTAAAGCCACTCTTTAGAAGATTAAATCAAATCAATTAGCTAGAGCCACACAATGTCTTATATGGAGTAGTTATAAACATATATGTTTATCTTTAGTATTTCTATTTAGACACACACTAAACTTTTGTGAAATGCATGTAAGGACTAGTATCACTATCATATCTCATGTTTATCTTCTTCTATTGGTATTTTGTTTGATTTGCAGTACTCTTGAAGATGAAATATTTGTGGATCAAGCGGATTCTGCAGATATAGTCGACGATTTTGAAATAGGACAGGAGGAAGCTGTTGATATTAAAGATAAAGAAGTCAACAAACAGAAACTGAGAAGGCGTATTGAAAACTACAAGGTCAGTGGCACCTTTTTACTATCAAGGTGATCTTTACTTTTTACTCCACACGTCCCTATTTTACTGACTCGGTTGACAGTGCTTGAAGTTTAAGATAAGCGTCGAAAGTGAAAAATAAAAAATGTGTAGTTGAAATTTGTTTTGAAGAGACACAGATGTTGCAGGCCACATATCCTTTTCGAGTTCTCCTCCGAAGGAAATGAACATTTATTTTGGGACACATGAAAAAAAGTGTGAAGTTTAAATAGGGGGGAGCATTTATACCTGTGTTATGATGTTACCTTCGTATCTATCAAGAAGTTATTAGGTGCCTACAAGTCAAACATGATTCACGTGGATGGAAAATTGCTAAACAAGTACAATTAGTTCTTATTCTAAGATGAGAGGAAATGCACATATTGCCTACTTTATGTCTCTTTCTGTGTGCACTCTACTTCCGAGTAGGGGTAAGGTTTGCATACACACACCCCATACCATACTTCCGTGGGATTCTACTGGATTGTTGTTGTTGTTGTCTAAGACGAGAGGAAATGCACATATTGTTAAGTGATCACACATAGGAGGGGTAAATTTCAGTAATGGTACCTCAACTTTCACTGGAATTTCGAAGTGGTACCTAAACTTCAAATCCTTTCAAAAAAATCCCTGAACTTACATAATCCTTTCACTAAAAGTCCATTTACCCGTTTCCGGGTAAACTTCCGGTCATTTGGGCTAAAATTAGAATTTTATATATTTTAAAATTTTCAATTTGACCCCGTTTCTTTTTTTCTTTTCTCCCCCCTCCCACTCCCTTCTTTTTCTTCTTCTTCCCCCTACCACTCCCTTTCTTTTTTTTCTTCTTCTTCCCCCTCCCACTCCCTTCCTTTTTTCTTCTTTCACCCCCTTTCTTCTTCTTCTTCTTCTTCAAGAAACTAATTTTATAAAATTAAAATTAATTTTGAAAAAGACCTCATAACTGCACTAACTCATTTCTTACATATATACTCCGTATATGGTTGCTTAAAACAAATTAAATTATACATCAAACCCCCCTCCTTCCTCTCCCCGCCGGAGTACGCTCTTTTCCGCTACCCACTTCCCGGCTTCAACCCACTCCCCGCCGTCGGCGTCTTCTTCGACATTGCCTTTATTCCTTTGCCCCAATCCATTTATTCATTATTCCATTACTAAATAATTTTAATTTAATCTAATTTTAATTTAATTTACAAGAGAATAAATGAGAGAGGAGTAGGGAGAGAGAGTACTGTGGGGGCCGTCGAGGGCGTGGATGGCGTGAAGGAAGGAGGCATGGAGGTGGGGAGACCACTGGAATTTACTCCGTATTTGAAGAAGAGGAAGAAGAAGAAAGGGGGTGAAAGAAGAAGAAAAAGAAGGGATGGGAGGTGGAAGAAGAAGTAAAAAAGAAATGGGGTCAAATTGAAATTTTAAAATATATAAAATTCTAATTTTAGCCCAAATGACCGGAAATTTACCTGGAAACGGGTAAATGGACTTTTAGTGAAAGGATTATGTAAGTTCAGGGATTTTTTTGAAAGGATTTGAAGTTTAGGTACCACTTCAAAATTCCAGTGAAAGTTGAGGTACCATTACTGAAATTTACCCCACATAGGAGAAATGCAAACACACTAACCAAGATATAAAACCTTGGTTTGCTCCGACAGGACTATATTTTGAGATGAAAATTCAAATTGTAATGATTACTAACTTATAATGAAAGATTTGCTATTTTCCTGGAGATAGACATAATCTCAAGACTGCATTTGTGCACAGTGCTGTATTTAAGATATTTACATGTAATTTCTTGCAGCATCTATGTTTTTTTAAAGTTCATGTATGCATCTGACATGCCTGATGTGGTGAAACAATTTTAGATTAAGCTTCGCAATCCATGCCGGGAAGGGAAAAAGCTGCTTGTTCTTGATATCGACTACACTTTATTTGATCACCGATCAACAGCAGAGAACCCACTTGAGCTCATGAGACCTTGTAAGTGTTTTTTTATTGTACTTAGACGTGCTTTATGACCCTCATGACTCATCTTGAATCTTGATGATGGTAACCGTTGTCATACGATGATACAAATGCAGATCTTCATGAGTTTCTCTCTGCCGTTTATGCTGAGTATGATATCATCATATGGTCTGCAACTAGGTCAGAATTCCATATCCCTGGTCATTTTGACCATGTTACATTGTTTGATTTGCTTAAATGAACTCACATATGACAAAAAACTACATATAGGCTGGACTGGACTCAGCAAAGAGTGGGGTGACTAATAAGTAGTACTCCATAAATGAGACAGGACTATTAATATAGATAAAATAAAATCTCAACCAGGCTGCATCTGGAAAGTGGACTTCATATGAAATACATATTTTTAATACTAGATTTTAAAGTCGTGTAATTAGAATTCCAATTTTCTGTCCATTTAGAATTCACAATCCTAGAATTGCAATTGAAATCCTTTTTGGCAAACCTTAAGAATTCTAAACTTGCAAGTCCTTTGTTTTTTTGAAGTCATTAAAAAACTCAAATTTAATTTGAGCATCGTGTGAATACATGATATGAATTTGGGCCAATTCCAAATTTCACGTCTTGTCAAATGGGGAATTAGATCAATCCCAACAGATAATTGAGCAGTTTATAGTGAAAGATTAAGAAAAAGTCCATGGGATACAGTGAATTTGACAAAGGTGTCATTTGACGGTGTCAACTACAGTCCCTCCCCTCTATGTCTCCTTACTCATGAAAGTTTGCCTGTATGGCTCATTGTGCACATCTTCTGTCTGCAGCATGAAATGGGTTGAATTGAAGATGGATCAACTTGGTGTTCTCAGCAATCCTAACTATAAAATTACTGCAATGCTTGATCATCTAGCAATGATAACAGTCCACTCGGACACTCGTGGAATCATTGACTGCAAGCCACTTGGCCTAATTTGGGGCAAATTCCCAGAGGTTTGATAGAGCTCCTTCATCTCTTCATTCTTCCTATCGTACTCAATATCAACTCCCAAAAGACGAAGCATCACTCACTTTTCTACCGGAGGATGGAAACATAATTGATAGAGTTCATACTTGGGCCAGGTCGCAATATTGTGGGGTGTTCGGAAAATTGGAAGCAAGCTTTTGGGGTGCTTTATGGGCAAAATGGGGGATTTTTTGGGCAAAATGGGGTTGATGTTGGTCATACTACTATTTTAAGTGTTTGGCAAACATTATTTAAGTAGAGGTTTTGGTCTGGTTTACAAATATTACAAAAAAATGTTCAGCTTTTTTGGTCAATAGCTTTTTACATAAAACACCGTTTTCACACCACAACAAGAGAAGATTGAATCTAATTGATTAGTTAGTCTAACTCCGTGCCTTGTAAACCCCAACATAACAATGCGTCTCTCTTTTTTTTCCTGACCTGCAGTTTTATGGCCCGAAAAACACAATAATGTTCGACGACTTGAGGAGGAACTTTGTGATGAATCCACAAAATGGGCTGACCATAAAGCCATTCAAGAAGGCACACTCGAGCCGAAGCACTGATCAGGAACTCATGAACCTTACCCAGTATCTGCTCGCCATTGCTGATCTAGACGACTTGAGTGGCCTCAACCACAAGGATTGGGAATCATATAATGAGGACAATGTTAAGCGACGTCGACATTCTTGATGCTCTCAGCCAATCATTCAAATGTATGTGAAGCCAAGGAAGGTATGATTGAATGAACAACCCCCATGGCTTTTACCAAAACGAATACCCGTGGTATAATTGTTTCTAATGTTCTGCCCAACCCAGAACTTGTTAAACATGCCGGAAAATTGGAGAATCAGTTGGCATGCTATCATTATTTTTATACATATTTCTGCAATGCCACATGTGATGACAATGCAAATTATACACCCTCGGTCCCACAACATTTTTCCACTTCCTTTTTCATCTGTCCCAAAATGATTTTATCACAATTTCCTCTTTCCCTTCCTACGAAAGAGTGTGTAGTGCAAAATACTTCTCTCTTCTTAAACAAGTTTAAGTATACAATTTTCATTGTTCAACTTTTTTTTAATTTCTCTGAAGACTGGGAGAAAATTAATTTGCAATGGGGTATTGTACATTTGATGATTTCTTTTAGGGCCCCGTTTTGTGAGTTTTGTAGATATGATAAGATAAGAGTTATGAAATATGAGAGAAATGATATGAGTTTTAAAATTCGAAACAAAATTGCCTGGAGAGGTTTAAAATCATGATTTAATTAGTGATAAGTAGGAGTACCGACGAAGAAGGTGGTTGGCGGTGACAATGTTAGCCGGTGGTGGAGAATTATCAACAGTTGAGAGAGATATCAAACTTCTATATTGGTATCTCTTAATTTTGGGAGATATCGAAACCCTCCATTTAAAGGATTTATGATAATTGGAGATCTTGAATTCGATGTCTTTTGGTTTCTCCAAACACTAAAAAAGGATTCTGATACCTGGAGATATCAAAACTCATATCTTGAATGCTCACAAAACACATCCTTAATGTTTTTATGATTTTTCACTTTTCTTCTAAAGAATGCCCATTTCTTTATCTTTGATCATTTTCTTTGTAGAGAATGCACATATATTTTTCATTTTATCATTTTCTATTTAAAGAATGCATATTTTAATAAAGTATAAGGCATTTTCTGTTGGTAGCTTTGATGGTCTTGAGGGAGGAGTGTTAAGTTTGAGATCTCAGGATCAATTTCTGTTAGCGGCAGTGAGAGTTTTGTTTAATGTGATAGTTTCTTGTACGCACTAAGTACTCGACAATTTCTTGATAGACTAGACTAAATTTATATTGTGATTTATCCCCTCACTACTTTGTAGATATTTATTACTCGTAATACATGTCATTGTTGTGTTAGATTTCTACAAGCACAACTTACTCTTATTAGTTTACAAAATGCAATAATAAATTTAAGGTCTACACTACTTTAAGAGGATCTTCGTATGAGGATGATAAACGAATATTTGCTATCTTTATAAGTTTTTTTTGCTTGCGAAAAAATGCTTCGCAAGGCATCACAGTAACATTGATACCCTTGAAATTTCCCCTACTGGATTATGTTTTTGTAGGAGGTACGTTAATTTTTTAATACTTCGTAGTATTTGACTAGACACGAAAAAAATTGATCCGATCTATTTTCTATTAGAGACACGACCTGAATATACATTGATTTAAACAAAGGTTTTTATGACCGAACCTGAAATGACTCGTGAGAAATGTTCAAACTCGATTGAATTCGAACCTGACTTGATCGCCTCGTACTCGTATGATATTAATGTCATTTAACATGAAATATAATGTGTTATAAATAGTGTTATGGAGTATAATACAAAGAAGTAGTTTTTTCTTATTACACCTTTTTAGTGTATTGACTTATTTTTTCAAATAATCTTTAATGATATCACATAATTCTTCTTTTAGGTGTTTTTCACCATTTTGTACGCATTTCAATTTTTGTTCTCCGTATTATTTATTACAAAGTACTCCGTATATTGTTATATAAATATTTAAAAATTACTCAAAAATTCAAAATAAAGTATTCTAATAGATCTAATATATACGGAGTACTTTTTAATATCTACACCTAATATTTTTTCCATGTCAAACGCAAGTATTATTATGATTTTTTTTAATGCTATTAGAATGACAGAAAATCAATGTTTCTATCACAATATAATATTTGTTTATACTTTTCTTAACTTAATGACACACACAATAAGCCAATGTATCCGCCTTTACTGGAGATTGAACTCGGACGAGCTTTCCTATGAATTCCTGGGGTGGACTTCTACATTTCAAGTCAAGGGAGAAACTTTATGAATTCAAGTACCGGAGTATCTTAAAAGTAAAACTCATAACCCGTTAGGTTAATTCAAACCCAATGACGTAAGGTTATGAACATATAATTTTCTATCCGAACTTGAACCTACTCGAATCCGAAAGAGCCGGAACTTGACGAGATCGAATCTTAAACTTGATTTGACACACGGCGTAAGTAATTCCAAATAATTTGTGCATAGTTTATTTATTTTTGTTAAGGAAGTTGCCATATATCAGGATTCTTGTCATATACTATGATGAAACCAATACTCTATATAAAGAGGACTATATAATTAGGACTAGAACAGTAGAACATATTTTGTATATTAAAAATCTAAAATAAGATATTTTTATGGAAGTACACTTTATAAGACCAAATAATGTCAATACATCATGCCAAAAGATATGATATCGTAAAATGACAATACATAATGTTAGATTGTGATAATTCACAATATTGGCATTTTTATTTAAGAGATAAATACAAAAATACTTGACCCCGCGTTCTTTTCCTTAAAAGTAAAGTGATTTTTTTAGACAGACAACAAAAGGAAAAAAAAAAATAAGAGAGTTGAAATTTATGCGCAAGATGGAGATTGGAGAATGCATATTTTTCATCACTTGGGAAAAAAACTATGCAAAACTCCATGAATGAATGGTGGTAAAAAACCAAATATCACCCATACTACTACTATCACTAAAATTTACCAAATAAAAAATAGAATGAGAATAGCATGCCAAAAAAATGCACACATGAATCTTCTTCATCGTACAAGGAATTACCGAAATGGAAGACGACGATCATGCCTTGAATTAACCCAGCGGGACGCACCACCGCATTAAGGCCATTACATTGTTATTTCGTCTAAAATCCCTTACAAATGGAGTCCTTTACGAAGGTAGGGCACATGATTACCTCAACATGAAGCTTCTCCTTCCATTGCAATTCAATATTGAACTCTGTTACAAACTTAACTAACACAGGAGCTTTTTACACAGTCTTCTTGTTCCCCATATACAGTTCAACAGCATTGGCTCGGTCTGGGTCCCACGGGTTCGTTCACTCCCATGAATCCCGTCTCCTCCGCTGCATGAAAATGTAACAATCCCACAAAGTGGAGGGAAGAACTATTCCTCAGATTCACCATTCCCTCCTACCAAACAAGTGGAATTACGTTTCCCGACCAAACAAGCCTTTAGAACTCGGATTCCACGAGAAAGGTACTCTAGAACTCAGCCATATCTGTTGTTCTTCACAGAAACACTAGTTTTACTCTCCTCTACCAAAACAGCCTGAAAAGGTTCAAGTTTCTACATAAGTAATAAATTGAACAGTAGAAAATAACTCTAAGTTTCAAAAGATAAAGATTGAATAGGAAAGAAAAAGAAATTGTACAATGTCAGTCAGCTCTACTTGACAGTCTTCATACAACCATGTTTATACAACTTGGCTCTCCTTGTCAGTAAAACAATGGTACACTACACACATCTATACAGTTGTACAGTGGGGGCATCATGCTACTCAAAGAAGTTCCTCGCGGATGTGCCTGAATAAACAAATAGGGCCCATCAAATCACCTTGTTGTATTTTTCCCGAACATGTTCATTTGCAGCCTGCGTAAGTGGTACGTCAAGCTTATTCAATGCCTATGACCTCAATAACTAAAAAGAAACGAAAAAGAAAAAAACTTCCAATGATGGTTTTAAAAGCATGTGACAGACTAAGTGTAAATATTTAGTGCCGGGTTGGCAACATTTTCAAAGTTAATATGTACCATTAAAAATTATCAAAAATACTAACGTTGATTGAAAACATTGTTCCCAAACAAGGCCTTAACTTGCCTGCCATCATACATTGAGTGGTGCACCAAGTAACTCGGGAACTGAAAAGTGCAAACACTTGTTAACCCAACGCAGCCTAATCTCCATCCCAATCCGGAGTCCCTTTGCTCTTATGATTTTCCCCCATTTACCAATGAGATTATAGTAGCTCCCGCGCCATCGCAACTTCATTAAGTAGAAATTTCCAGTGTCATCATCTTGGCCGTTAACATCCATCTGACGAGCATTCCTTAGTTCCTCCCTGTCTTGTGGAGTCCAGTAAAAGAGAATATAATCTTCAACTGCTTTCCCTGGAAGGGTAAGGAACGGATGGGTAGTGTCCACGTCAGACAAAGTTAGGGCTTTCTTAATCGGCCAATTATCTACCATTGAACTTCGTGTTGCAGAACAGTGCTCCTGTGGTACTGAAAAGCACAAGCAGTCATCAGCCCAACATATCCGAATCTCGTCGCCAACCCCAAGCCCTTTTTGTCTAATTACTGCCCCCCATTTCCCAACTAAGTTATAGGAATTTCCCTTTGGTTTTATTTTCATTTGATAGACTTCTCCAGTGTCATAATCTCGGGCATTCACGATCGCCTGCTCTTCATTTTTCAACTGTTCTTGCTGCTGAGGTGTCCAGTGCACAAGAATATGATCCTTGACTTGCTGACGTGGCAAAGGAAGAAACGGATGGTTTATGTCAACATCAGACAGAGTCAGCACCTTCTTGATAGGCCATGGATTACCCACTACTGGCGGTGGTCGCACAACCATTTGGACAGGCATCACCATCATAGCAAGCTGCCGAAGTGGCACAGAGAAGTGCAAGATCCCATTATCCCAACGAATTTTGACCTCATGGCCCACGCCGAGTCCTTTGGTTCTGACAACCTTTCCCCATTTGCCAATAAGATTGTAGTAACTCCCTCGCCACTTCAGCTTCATGCTGTAAACCTCACCAGTGTCATCGTCTTGACCATTGAAATCCACGTGGCCTTGGGATCTCAACATCTCTTGCTGTTGTGGGTCCATATGCACAACGATGTGGTTTTCAACTTGTTGCCGAGACAATGTGAGAAAAGGATGTGTTATGTCCACGTCAGACAATGTCAGTGCTTTCTTGATGGGCCATTGTTCCCCAACAACTTCAGGCACATCATTGTAACACATTGTTCTCCTCATGCCTTAACTACAAAAATCTTTAGATGTGAATAAATTATTAAATGCTTATTATTGAATCCATCAATGGCTAATACAACTAATTGTAAGAGATGTAAGGGTATGTGTGTATGCAAGTGCCATTAAACAAGTCTAGCCATCAAGCATAAACAAGTTGCACGGCAACATAGTTAAAAACTCCCTCCAAAAATAAAAACGGTTCCGGGACGGAAAAGAACGACCCAATATAATCCCAACTCCATTATGGATTGGGATGTCAAGTTGCATGCAGTCTTACCCGTGTAGAAAAAGAGGGATTGTTTCGGTAAAAAGGTGCAACACAAGGACTTTCTATGGAAGTAATGAATGGCCATAGTCCATATCTGCATACATGTCACCAAACTTTTTTAAAAAAAAAAAATTGTGGGGAAGGGTTAATGGAGTGTTCAAACCATGATGAGTAAACACCATTTTCACCATAAAAATCCATAATAATAAGCTTAATCCCCTAGCATCAAAGCCCTAACACTTTTCAGCACCTTGGGATCACTGATCACATAAAAGCTTAAACTTTTCATCCCCTATGAGCTTCAGCTCACTGAAAAATTCACCACTCCATGATCAAACCCCAAACAAATTCAGAACAGAAAACAATCACTCAAACCCTAGAAAGTTAACAGTCGGATGAATTAAAGGGGCAGCAAAACAACATCATCACAATTCATATACCTTTGAATCTATTCATCAGCTAATTCAAACAAAACATCAATTTCAAACAATTAATAAATTAAACTGAAGAAGAAGAAGAAGCTTGCCTGGAATTGGTTATTAACTTCAACAAACAAGACGAACTGTGGATCTCGGGCAAGTTTGGGAAGTGCGAATAGGGAAATTTTAAGCTGAAGATTTGGGCTTTATAAAGAAATCACCACCCAAAAATAAAAATAAAATAAAAAAGGGGGAATTTGACGAAGGGGATCACAAGAGTTCGAAGGGCCAACGAGAAGAAGGGGAACTGCGAAGATCACATTTTCTTGAGAAGGTGGAGAATGTGAAGAGATGAGATGGCGGTGGCGCGCTGTGCACCGTCAGATTTGTCATGTTTTCTTGAATCGACGGCGACGATCGCGACCGCGGCGGTGGATGTTTGTGTGAAGAAAAACACGAGCTTCTTCTTCTTCTTCTTCTTCTTCTTCTTCTACCTTTTACGAGGAAACGTATAAATTATGAACAAACAGAAGATTACCAGGTTTTGTTGAAATAGCAAATAGGTCCTTTTATTATTTTAATTTTTAAATGTGTTTTTCTACGGAGTATTTTGTTCTTCACATTTTATAAGTATTTTTTTCCTTTTTTGTTTCTCTTTTTTAAAATGGTTTTTTTAAATTTTTCTTCTAGAAAATTGTTTGTACAATATAAAAAATAAATGAAATAAAAAAATTTCCTATTAAAAAAAATACTGAGTAAAATAAAAGAAAAATGAATTGAAAAATAAATCCAAAAACATTTCTTAGAAAGTTCTTCTTTTTAATTCTTTCTGAGTATTAAGAATAAATAAAAAAAGAAAGGTCATTTGCTTTTTTGAACGTTATAAAAAATTTCTTTTTTATTTTTGAAGAAAAATGAAAATGAAAAATTTAAAATGAAAAAGAGACCTCTTGAGATTTTGCCATTGTTTCTACATGGTCAGGAGATGCTTAAGTATTCTCTCAAATTTTGCCTAAAGAACTAATTATAGAACAAATTTCCAAAATTGAAGACTATTTATGAAATATTTAAGAATTAGAGACTAAATATAAGAAACCATTCGTAATTGGGAACTATTTATGAAACCTACTCTTATTTTTAATTCTCTTGCCCTTTTCATAATTATTTTAAAAAAACTTGTTCTCAAATAATGTTCATATTATTTTCTAAAATTAAAAATCGTTAATGTCTGAAACAAAAAAACAATTAAATAGGAGTGCACATTGGTTTTCATCCATCTCAAACCGTTGGACATATAAATAGAGCCATACTTTTGAACTCAAACTTGAGATTCAAGTACTCCATTGGTACACAAAGTTCAAGCACATAATTTGAAGTGTCTACATTCATTAGCGAAAACTCTCAACGAAGAACGATTCGATAGAACAAGTAAAACGAAACCGCTACAAACAGTATAAGTATGCTGCGCCAAAGCCTCGCTATGAATTCCAATTTCTTCTTCTTATCAATTGCGCATTGTATTTCGGACTCCAATTGCACTTGTCTTCGTCGTAGCTCTTGTAGACGTTCTTAGACGTGGACTACTTCTCTTCGACCCCGATGGACGGTCCCACTAGAGATGCACANATACAAAAACAAACAAATTTGATATGAGGAACTAGGGCATTAAAAATTTGATCTTGGTTCATAATGTTGCATTTGTAGAAACAAACCAGTGTTACCCTAAGAGCCATTCAGAATATAAATGTAGAAATGGTAAGATTTGTGAGGTTTTTGACACCGGATTAGAGCAAATCCAAAACAACAATGTGAGATAGCAAAATAATAAGAACAATGCGCGGAGAAAATATGGCACAACATATATGTTATTTTAACGAAAATAGACAAATAAAGATAATATAGTTCGAATGTATGAATAATATTATAGCAATGTTTATATTGACATGTCACAATGGTATATTTAGGCATCTAAGAGCGATTTGTTCAATCCCGGAGTAGTTCTTACCACTAACCCCTTAAAACCCACATCCCACCAATTTGGAGAGCCTATATTTTACCTCCGGATGTACCTTGAGCTACACTCAGCAAATGTTCATTTTGAATCAACGTAGTGTTCATTCTGAAGTAACGCAGTTTCACACATTTGGTCATTACAAATTACAATTTTAATATTTATTTATGAACAACGTAGTGTTCATTCCAAGTGTGCTCACCCTAGCGTTCATACTGAAATAGCGTAGTGTTCATTCTCAAACAACGTAGTGCTGATTCTGAAATATTTTTTAATCACAAGTTTGTCATGATATACCAAGAAGAAGGTGCATCCGGCTATACCATATAATTTGCCACCGATTTGGGTGACAATCTACTGTCAAAATATTGAATTGTCACCCGAAATGGGGCGAGGCGGTGTGGGGGTTGGGAGGGGGGCTAGGGGTGGGATTAGGGGGGGGGGGGTATGAGCTACTCCAAAATCAAATAGATCACCTTAAAGTGCCATATAATCTGATTTTGGTTTAATACTTTAGAACTAAAGCTAAACTAGGGAGTAATTAAATAAGAATTGGAATTACAATTACAAATCAATTCGATTAGGTTTCCCAATTCAGCTGTTACCGAACAGATTAAAGCACAAAACCAACAAAATTCCAGTCTTGATTATAAAAGTGAGCTCGAATAATTAAAATGGAGGCGCGGCGATCTTTGAAATCGCCGGTTGGGGGAAAATACATGTAAAGTCTGGGACGTGAGCTGGTTCTGATACGTGTTCTACGGCGGAGCGCCTCCCTGTTCTTATCTCTGCGGCGACGCTTTAGGGTTGGGACGGAGGATAGCTTTTCTTCAACCTCCGTCTCTCTGGTAAGAACATCTTCATTTCCGATATTGGGTAGTAAAAAATAGGTTGCTATTGTTAGTTCAAAAAATGATAGGGTGTACCAAAATAAAGGTCCGTCGGTGTTGCACAGTCGACAAGGCAAGAAGTACTAAGGAGGTGAGACTCGAGTTCTTTGCCACCAATCTGCGATTAAAATCTAATTTATCTCATCTTAGTGACCGTCCGGCCGAGTTTGAGGGACCCTCAAGAATGGGGCTCATTCTTTTATTAAGTATTGATATAAGAAATTAATAAATATATAAAAAATGTATGGTGAGAAAGAATAGTGTACGAATGGTGTGTATCCCTAGCATTACTCATTAGTAATTTATAGCGTTAAAAAAATACTACAGAGTAACTTCATTAGGATGTTTGTAAGGGTAAACACTTCATGAGAATAACTTCTCATTTTAATACTCTGAGCTTAATTAGTGAGCTTCCTACTAAATCAAAGAAAGAAGCTCAATCAAATCCTTTAATAGCATTACATTGAAACAATTGAAACAACTAATGACACTTGAAGTATAAACACAATTTCATAGTAAAATGGATGGAGTATTATTATTATCTTAAAAGACAATTAGTCAAATTCTATTCTAAACCAAATCCTACATAGATCATGCTTCTTGAAGTAGTACCCTCAAACCAACTATGGGTACTAAACCAGGGATTTACAGCCTTATTCAATTCAACGAGCACCTGAGAATGGGTATCAAGTCAAGTGAACTTCTCCACTTTCATGTGCACGCTTCACTTGCTTATCATATTCATCTTCATTGTCGTCGTCGTCGTCATCGTCATCATCCTCGTCGTAGTCATCATCTTCTTCTTCTCCTTCTTTCCCCTCGTCTTCTTCGCCTTCCCAGCCAAAACCAGCTCCAAGGGAACGGGAAACTCGGGGAGGGGTCTTGGCTTCATCCACGATCTTCATGATCTCCTCCACGCTTTGCAGCGAAAAGGCTGGGTTTTCTGTCCTATAATAGGCTGCTTGTGCCACTTCTGTTAATTCTCTTGGCAGATTCTTCAAAAACCATGGATGTGACTTGATGTCTTTGATGCTTATTCTCTGCAAAAAAACATTATATATTAATCCCTTTGAACGCAATGCTCTTGATCAGAATGATGTAAACAAAATTAGTTACTCCGTAAAATATAGAGATAGCGAAGAAGGGGGAGAACGAACCTTCATTGGGTGGGCAACAAATATGCTTGAAAGAAGGTTCCTACAATCTTGCGAAATGTGGACGTGGTCAGGAATCTTGTACTGCACGGACATTATACGCTGAAAGAAAGAAAGAAAAAGAAGTGTTTAGAACTTTTTATAATGGTTCCTAAATCGTGGCATGCTGCTTGTACAACTCACTTGAATAGTTTTCCTGAAGTTCTTGGGATCTTCCTGGTCTTCAAAAGGGTACGCGCCAACTAACATCACATAAAGTGTCACTCCGCAAGACCATACATCCGCCATCTGGACAGAACGCAAAAGTCAAACCTTTTTTCCTAAGATTTGAGGTTTCATCTTCAAAAGTCAAGCCTTTTTTTAAATTAAGATTTGAGGTTTCATCCTAAAAGGTCAAAACTTTATACTCCGTATTATGAGAATTCCAAGGCCTAATTCCAAGATTTGAAGTTTTATTTGTACTTTTCATTTGTTTGGCATATTGTGCTTCTGTTGTTTAACAGCCTCTCTACTTCTGGGTAGGGGTAAGGCCTGCCCTACTTTTAATGGGATTTTACTGGGTTTACTGTAAATTGCATTCGTTTGGTGTGAGGCCCCACAAGATGGCGACATTTCTCCCAAATTTGGAAGAGAAAACCACAGAAAGCACGTTAAGGTACACATAACATAAGCATTGCATAAAGGGTTTACCTTGCCATCATACTCTCTCCGAGATAGGACCTCCGGAGCAATATATGCTGGAGTGCCAACAGTAGATTTTGGGCGCGAATGCAACAGAGATGACTTTGTGGAGCACGAGAAGAGAGAAAATGAGTACAAACATCTCTTATATCTAAATCTATTCCCATTTGGTAACGTACATGCATATATATACCTTTGAATAGCCGAAATCACAAATCTTTAAGCGCGGTGCTGGGCTTCCGTCCAATAGTGTATTCTCCAGCTTTAGATCTCTATGACATATTTGCTACAACACCGCAATGAACAACCAAAGGAAACAAAGAGTTAAAGACTGCAATAGTGCAACAAAACAAAGGCAAGTACTCATAAACTCATTAACTCAGTATATATTATAGAGACTAAACTAAACATACCATAGAGTGACAGTAGCTTACTCCTGAAATGAGTTGCTGAAAGAAGTACCTAGCCTGAATGAAACCATGAAGAGAGCTCTCTTAATCAAAAGATTGATCTGGATTCCGGGATGGGATAATCTTGGGGGGGGGGGTAAATTTGCTTTCTTGTGTTTGGTTTTACCGTGGTAAATACAAAGGTAAATGAAACATGGTTTATAATTTTATATTTTTAAATAATTCACATATGTTGAAATTTCTTTTTTAATTTAACATGTTAGACATAATTTACATATGCTTTTGTATCTGAATTGGGGGTTTCTTGAAAATAACATGATAGGCCCTACTTTTTGAGGGATTTACTTGGTTTGTTGTAGTTCTTGATAGGAATAAATAATCTACACATGTTTATGTCTTTCCAAATATGTATATCCCCTATGTTTTCCTCTCTATTTTCTTTCCACGGCATTTTGTGACTTCCAAACAGGCCCTTAGCAGCTTAATTTTGGAAGAATAGTATATTCCAACATGTAGCCCAAGAAGAGCAAGAATAAGTACCTCATCCTCACTGAATCTTCCAGCGCTGCAGATGCGTTCAAAGAGCTCTCCACCTGCTGCATATTCCATGACAATGGCAAGGTGAGTGGGAGTGAGAACCACCTATATACAACAAGAACAAAAGCGAAACATTAGGATAGCCATGTCCGTAACACTTCCTTTCTAGCTAGCTTCCATAGACACCAAGCGGTATGTTATATCAAGTGCAAAAGATCACCTCCTTGAATCGGATGATGTTAGGGTGTTGAAGAGATCTGTGGTTTATGATCTCGCGCGCCACATTCTCATCAATCTACAACCAACCCATACATCAATTAATGGACAATGACTATTGATAATTTCCACATTGAAATATTGAAGAAATACACATGCATTTTTAAGGTCTTGATTTAAACTAGCTAATGGATGAGATTGCATCTTTTAACTTGCTTCAGATCATCCCTCAAGTGACCAACCACAACCCAGTTACGAGTTCTATTTTCAACGAATCAACTCAACCACAAGCTCAAACTTTAGGTTGTTGACCCATGAAAGGTTTTATACTCTAACATCTACCAAAAACATTGATAAAACTTCACACTAATCTAAACTTGTTCAAGTTAATGGTGATTAACAGCAAAAGACAGAACATTATTGATCATACATAACCACAGAAGTAGCATGCAAACCTTATGTCCCCTTTCAATATACTTCATGGCCACAAGCTCCTTCGTCTCCTTGTTCCTCATGAGCCTGGCCACGCCGAAATTGCCAGACCCTATATCCTTAACAAGCTCATATCTCTCCATTTCTCCCCTTCTAATTACAACAAACTTCAATTTAATCCCTTCTTAACCTAACCAGCCCAAACCTCAAACCCCAAAAATAAAAAAACTCAAGATTTCAAAATTACAATGCTAAAGTTTCAATCTTTGGGGATGGGGATAGATACCCAGAAGCTCAAATTTGAAATTCAAAACAAGAAATCACAATGAGCGAGCAGAACTCTAACAATACCGAGCTGAACCAGAAGATTCAAGAGTTAGAGCTAAATGTGGGCAAATAGGGAATGGGGAGGAGTGAAATTCCTGGGGTTTTGAAGCTGCATTTACAAAGAATTCAAAAGGGAAAGAGAAGAATTCTGTAGATCAGCTTCCTTTGGGGATAAGGAGAGGTAGGGACGGTGACTGGAAGAAAGATTCCCAGATTCTTTGTTTCTTTTTTTTTTTTACAGAGGGCTACACAGGTAGATGAGAAGAGTGAGTGAGAGAGATAATGAACTGACGGTGTGGTAAGGATTGAGTATGAGGAAAAGAAGGACAATATGGAGTAGATTGGTATAGACCCAAGGTTGAATTTAGCATGAGAATAAGCTTTTTGAGAAGAAGAAGAAGACTAGAAGCTTTTCCTACTAGAGTATCCCGTATCCGGTATGAATACGGACTACGGACTTTACGGAGTACTCCGTATATACAACTTTTATTAAAACTTTTTTGTTTTTGATACAGAGTACCATTTTATTTTCAGTATGAATATGGATTACGGTTCCCATGACATTGCCCGATAATGTGATCCAAGAGTGTTCTACTGTCTCGTTCATAAAATTGACGGTTCTTATCCCCATAATCTTCCGGTAAACCCCCCACCTTGCCCCGAAACGAACACATTCTTTCAATTGCACCCCAAAAGTTAATTTTGACTTTGGAATCAAGGATGTGTTCGGGTCGAGGTAGGGTGGGAGGGTTTACCGGGGGGTTGAGGGGATAGGAACCGTTAATTTTACAAACGAAGCACTGGAGCACCCCAGGGTCATCCCATTACATGGGATTCCAATATCATGGGAACCCCACCGTAATCTCATATGAGTGTGATAATGAGATGTTTAGTGTTCTGCAAAAGTAAGTTAGAAAAATGAAGGAGAAAATGACAAAAAAAGAGTAAAAACATTGAAAATATATTAAAATCGAAGTTTCAAATTTTTATTTTTTAAATAGAAGTTAAAATATATATACAGTGTCAAATCATGACTATATATATTACTAAAATATATCGTAAAATGTTGATATACAGTGTCACATTATCATAGTTTAAACTCTTATTTTGGCAATAAAAAATATGAAGCTCTTATTTTACTACTTTCTCTATATTTTATTACTATTTAGAGTGATATTTTAAGATGAAATAAAAAAGTACTCCATCGGCTCCTAAAAACCTTTTCCGTTGACTTTTTTGATCAAATATTGACACTCGTTGACCATAAATTAAACATAATTTAAATAAATAAATGACATAAAAATTTGATATATCACAAATACATCCTAAGTTGAATCTAATTTGGTATATTATCACATGTCGCTTACATGCTTTATTCTTTATCACTAATCTGCAATCAAAATCTAATGCTTTATACGTATATACCCCAACTAGTTTTCAACTCAACTACGTTGTATGTATCCATCACCTGTCAGCTAACTTAAATAAATTTGATTCAATTATATTAAGCAATTCAATATGTTAGTTGATTAATCAACATATACTAGTGAATAAAAAGTCAACTGTTTCATTTGTTAATACTCTTTTTGTACATTTTCATTTGCTAATATGAATATGCTTGTTCTAGTATCCCGAGTATAATACACGGAATACGGAGTAATAAATATACTCTCCATCCCGGCATCCCCATTTAACTAATTACTTTTCTCGTCCCGAAGTATTTGTCAATTTTTGATTTTTTGGTCAAAATTGATAAATTTTGATCTCATATTATGTAAAAATAAAATTATATATTGATACAAAAATAGTTTTATTAGATATGTTATATAAAATATTTTTAAAATATTATTTTATTTAATTTATATACAATATATATTTTATTTGATTATAGGTCAAAAATTGAAAACGACTGATTGAAAAGAGTCAACAGGACAAATACACTGTGACGAAGATGGTACTACGTATTATAGTAAAAAAATACTACGTATTTTTTACTAGTATATATATTACGGAGTATATAGTTATATATTTGGTACTCCATCCGTTCCATAAACTCTTCCTCTTTCATTTTTTTTTGAATTCCCTAAAACACTTTCACTTTCTATTAAAAAACCATTTTTACCCTTATTTTTTCATACTCTACCTATCACATCATACTTTTTCACTAATAACAAAACTATCACATCTTACTTTTACTCATCACGTCAGGGGCAAAATTGGAAAGTCAACTAAAATTACACTTTCCTTATTTTTGCCCAAAGTCAAAAGTGGAAGGATTTAAAGAAACGGAGGGAGTATTTTTCTTTTTTTGGAACTTCCATAAATACTTGTTGTTATCTTATGAGCTCGAGACTTTATTAGGTGTTAATAATACAAAGTATCAACGTTATCGTTTTTATTAAATACTCTTTCTGTCCCGTAATCATAATTAAGTCTACAATTAATTTATTTTCAACTAAATTTATATAGAGCATAAATTTATATATCCAAACGCTAACTAAAGACTCTTTGAAGAGTGTTTCTATTGTGCACCTTGGGTGCATATCATTTTTGTAGACATTCTCAAATAAAAAATATTTTTTAAAATTTTTGTATTAAAAAAATAGATGCTTATTTTGCTTGTATGTATATCCATGATGGGCCTTAGATCCACCTCTTCGAAACAGATCATGACGTGGTTATAATATTTTAATAAAGAATTAAAGTAAAAATAAAGAAAAGAAATTTGACTTAAAAATTGAGTTTCTAGAATAATTTTAGAACAGGAAGGAAAGGGCTACTAAAAAAAAGTGGGAAGTAAGAGAGAATTGATACCTCTCTTTTGTTTCTTCACCGATTCTCCCTATTTGGATTGTGGATAGGAATCTTTTGAGGGTGTTTAAGTAACTTTATATATATTTCTTCCCATTCATTCCATTTTATGTTATGGAAAAACTCACACTATTTTTCTTAAAACTATGTGATTTTATATAATCACTTCGATATTCAATAAGTAATACTCCTTCCGTCCGGAAATATTCTGCTCATTTGACTTTTCTTGGTCAAAGTTTGTAAACTTTGACTATGATATGTAGAAAAAATATATTGTATTATGATATAACTTTAATATGAATATATTCATTTTGAAATATAGTTTTCAAATATCAATTTTTTATAAAATATATGCATGTATAAATAAAGATATTAGTGGTCAAAGTGCAATCTTGGAGACCGTAAAATATCAAATGAGAAGAATATTTCTTGACGGAGGGAGTAGTATAGTACCCCAGAGGCCCAGAGTTTAAAACGATGTTCCACATTTGATATACTCCGGGGTATGTTTATATGGGCACTCCCACGTACGTTGAACCAATATAATGGTTTAATCATGTAAAATTTGCACTAAATAAGACTAAAAATAATGACTTTTCCAATGTAGGACTTAAATTTTTTTATTCCCTAAATATGACTTAATAATGACCTAGTGGGAAGAATAATGTCTAGTAATGATGATCATTTACTTGAATAATGACTATTTGTTAATGACCAAAAGTCCTACATTGGGAAATAAAAACATATGGTCTTATATTGGGAAAGTCATTATGTTTTAGTCCTATTTAGGTAAATTTTTCTCCAATCATTCGTAAGTTTGAATGTTTGATTATATAAAGTATATAAATAAAGGTTAAGGTGTAATGAATTTGTTTCCACGTTTATTAGTAACATGAACAATAATCTATGAAAATAATGGATTACTCTTTCTTGGGATTAACACAAGTCTCCCATGCATTCATATCTTCATGACTAAGAAGAAGAAAAAAAATCAAATTGAATTCTTAAATTTGGGGAGACAGTTGAAATATATGCGGCCATGGGAAGAAGTAATCATATTAAATTCTTCAATTGGGTGATGTGACATCTCCTAAGAGTGAAAATTACTTAGGTGCTTGTAACAATAAGCCCAAAAAAATAGTTTCAACCATGCTACGTTTACACCAAAAAGTAAATTTCAAAGTTACACCAAAAGTATACACTAACATTTTGATGGTTTACACTGACATAAAATGTTGGTGTATTAACAAAAATCTGCACTAACATTTTGTGCCTGTGCACTGACACAAAACGTAAGCACACACCCGCGACGTACTCCGTATAAATTATTGTACAAATCTTTTGGGTTGAAATTTTAAAATTGGATGTCAGAAGAAATTGGAAGGACTTGGAAAATACTATATGAAGTTTGAAAACTATCAGCTCGCCACTCTATAATTAATGGTTAAAGTTGGGTTCAAGTTCGATTTAAAGCCCAAACCATCCCCACTACAACCACCCTAATATATAAAAAAGATGAGTCATATTCCCAAGGGCTCTCTCTGTTCTGATCAGACGATCACCGAGAAAAGATAAATTAGATTTTGATCAAAGATTGATGTCAATTCAAAGAATAAAACCTACACCTGCTAATTGCATAGACCCTTACTTAACATATTTGCCTCCCAACACATGTGCCAGAAATCGAACTCGAGTTTTACCCCCTTGGCACTCTTTGTCCTTGATAACTGCACAACGCCCACCGGCAACTACCTTTATATATAGGATTTAAGTCATATGTGTAGAGGTATTAGCATCTTTTAAAGTTCTAAACACTTGGTAAGTACAATGTTTTCTTTCAAAATTAGACTATGCATTTTTAAACATAAATAGTGAGTTGTAATTTGGTAGAAGTAGTCTCCCAAAACACAAGTTTATTATGGAAGATCAGAATCTCCCAGTTGTGGAGAGAATTGTTGGATATTTTACAATGAATTAATCATAAGAAATGCAAAAAGAACATTCATTTGCTGCACTAATTAAAGATCAAGGTTTTTGTTCGGAAAACCATATATATTGTTAGTTCATTTCATCTTCTTACTTTAACAACCTCACCAATATCATCAAGGCGACATCATTAATAACAATCTTGCACATATACTCATTGTATGTGACTGTAACCGTCATTGTTTGTGAGATACTAATGATGTCAAACTTGGTGTGTCTTTATCTCATCATCATCATCATCGTCATCTCTTTCATAATCCATTATTGTTGACGATTGGAGTGATGGCGAGCATATAGGTCTACTAGTTGTACATACTTGCGAAGGCGTACCATATTTTAATCTTTCTCTAACTCTTTTGCACCACGTGTGAAGCGATTCCCGCACACTTTCTGCTATTATTGCCTTTCTGCACCGAGACCCCATCTGATTTGTACGTATATATACATTATATTCAAAGTTACAACTCGTGTAACAAAAAATTGGTATAACTTTAGAATTTGCGACAATATATTTGGAGATGACCTGTGAGATGATAACATTCATTGGAACTGTGCTATAGCTACACCATAGTTGGACAAGAACCCTGCATTATTTTGTCCTTAATGAGATACGTGACGAAAATTGTCGCAACGTAACATATCGTACGGAGTTTTACAATATTTTCATTCATTTTTTATACATAAATCTATGATTCTAACTACTTTCAGACAGAAAAAATTAGGGCTTAATAAGGAGATGATTTTATATACGTACCCCGAGGTCAATCGGACTGATATGATAGAGTGATTTTCCATGAAGCAAGATTGATGCTCATCAAATCCCCACTGCAAAATTTTGTGCAAGTTTTAACATTTAATTAGCTTATTATTTTACTGCAGTGGAGGTAATTAATAAACTTATTGCAACCTTTGATTTTGATTAATTTGGAAGGTACAAACATATAGTTTAGAGACAAGAAATTAAACTCTAACCAAAGACCAGATAAATGTAGCCATCTCAAAAGCATTCTGCATAAAAGACAACACCAACAACTCATTAAAATTTTATGGAAAAATTCTAGCTCGAGAAAAAATGTAGGATATATGTGTGTGTGTGTGTGTGTGTACATATATGCATGCACATGTACAATATTGAACAATAACTCGATCAACTAAAAAACTCAAACTTGTGATTGACTGATGGAACAATATTGTTGAAGTGTATAAATTCTACGTACCTGGAACGACACGAATTGGATCAATCGCAACAAAATTTCGGGCTTCCCAAACCAAAACAAGTCGTCGCGCGGTTTCATCTGAGTTCCGCCATTGACGGGAACCTTTGGTTCCCCAACTTCAAGTGCTAACACGGACATGACATGTTGGAGTTTTGTCCCGACCACCATTACCAGCTTTCAATTCAACATGACAATATAATATGATAATGAAGGCAACGGTATACGGTTTTACTTTCAGTCTTTCACATAACTTTTAATCAAGTACTCACTCCGTCCCAAAAAGAATGGGACGGTTTGACTTTTTGGGAAATTAAGGGAGGGATATTTTGGTATTGACTTTCCAAAAATACCCTTGATGTGATAGGTAAAAGTAGGATGTGATGGGTAGATTATTAGAAAAAAGATATGATGTGATAGGTAGGGTATGAAAAAGTAAGGGGTAAAAGTGGTTTTTTAATAGAAATGTAACGGACTTTACGGGACGCAGTTTTTTCTAAACGTAACAAACTTTTTGGGACGGAGGGAGTAAAAAACTTGCGATTAGAATTTGTTTATTAGATGAGAGAAAATATTAGAAGCCACATTTTTCATTACTAATAAGGAGATTCTGTTCCGACGTCCCAAAAAGAAAAATGTAAAACAATTAATGAGGAAGAGTGTGTGTGTGTGTGTGTGTAGCACAAATGAAAGGTATGGATTAAGATGATGACTTACAATAACAGGTATGAAAGAAAGCCAGAAATAGATATTAAGACCTGCATCAAAATGAAACCTAAGCTTCAAATAACAAAAATGTTAATTGTTCAAGGAGTGCATGCACTACATAAAAAATAGTAGTGACTTAACTCATTTTTAAAAATTAAATAAAAATAATATTGTGCTTAACTAATTACCATGAATATTTACAAAGATGCAAATGATAGCATAACCCCATAGTGGCCAACTGCAGACCAACATGTAGATAAAGTTAGTTGACTCAATTTCTCAATACTTGACTCTTCAATATTTTTATATACTCCCACCGTTTTTTAAAAAGGTTCTTGTTTTGACTTTGGGGCAAAATAAAGAAAGTGTAATTTTAGTTGACTTTCCAATTTTGCCCCTGATGTGATGGATAAAATTAAGAAGTGATAGTTTAGTTATTAGTGAAAAAGTATGATGTGATAGGTAGACTATAAAAAAGTAGTGGTAAAAGTGGTTTTTTAATAGAAAAAGGAAGTGTTTTAAGAAAAACAAAAAAAAAAATGAAAGAGAAAGGATTTTAAGAAACGAAGGGAGTATTATTTTTGATATATTTTTGTATATTTTTATATGTTATCAAAAATTGAATAATGAATCTAGACATGAAATATGTCTAGACATAAATATATAAAAAAAATACTCCATTATTTTTGATGTATATATAAAAAATACTTCCTCCGTTCTCAAAAACACTTCCTTTTTCATTTTTTCCATTTCCAACAAAACACTTCCCTTTTCTATTAAAAAACCACTTTTACCCTTACTTTTTCATACCCTACCTATTACATCATACTTTTTTTCTAATAATCTATCCATCACATCTTACTTTTACCTATCACATCAGGGGCAAAATTGGAAATCAACTATAATTTAACACTTTCTTATTTTTGCCCCAAATCCAAATGGGAAATGTTTTTCCAAACGGAGAGAGTATTATTTTTGTAAATATTTTTGATATATTATTTTTGTAATATATCAAAAATTGAATGAATCTAGACATGAAACATGTCCGCATCCATTAAACTTTTAACGTATATTCGAGTCATAATGATCAGTCAAAATGAATGGAGTGATCGAGTAATACCTGATCCCGACAATTTCATAAAATTCATCTTCCATGCTACGGTTTATGTATTTGTGGAAATTATATGAAAGCGGAAGCTGGTGATTCTGCACACCAAATGTTCAATTTGTACATATAACTTTGATAAAATTTAGCTTTGTAAATAATAAACGAGAAATTTTATTTCGAGACGAACAAAAAAAAGAGTATTAAGAAATTGGAAGAATAGACATGCATTGATAAAACCCAAACGCAGTGCTAAGTAATCAGACATCTGAATGGAACTCCTGAATTGCCTTAAGAAGCATAGCTGCAAATAAATTAAGGTTTATATTATTCTCCCGACCCTAAACACTCTTCATGTTTTGACTTTTTTTAATCGAATAGTGACACTCTTTGATCATAAATAATTACACATAATCTAAATAAATAAATGTTATAAAACTTTCATATATTGAAACTATATCGTCCTAAGATGAAATCAATAATATTGAATTTATATTATGATTATTAAATATACTTTTATCATAATTTATGGGTAAAGAGTATCACTCTTTGACCAAAAAAGTCAGAACATGAAAAGTTTTTAGGACCGGAAAGAGGAAAGATTGAGTATTAAATAGGATGAATGAATATTTTGATAGAATATAAATTTTTTCTTTAGCTTATAATAAAAAACTTTGACCTGATAAATTGACTAGATTAATTATTAATCAAGGTAAAAGTGAAGAATTAATTACATACAATCCAGATTAAAATGGGATTTCTACTCCATGGATGTGATGTGTGATGAAGGGCAAAAGTGGATTGTTGCCTCATCATCCCATTCATCCCCTTCTTCCTCTTTTCTGCATTAATTAATTCCACTTATTCAAAATTGTTTTCATCACCACAACCTTTTGAGGGGCATATTTGGGAAATTAAAAAAAACAAATTACAAAAAAAAACATGCCTTGTAAGTCAAAATAATCAAATTATCATTTTTGAAACATATTTCTTGACTTAACAACATACCTTGTAAGTTACTCTGAGTTCCATTATTTTTGACTTGATTTTCCCAATTCTTCCAACTGTAAATCTAACTTTTTTTTTTACATATATATACATGATACATTAACAACAAATTTAAGGAACAAAAAAAAATATAATCTTGGATTTAATAATTGCCCCCACTACTATACAAACCTTGCTCATAGACAAGCCCACAGCAATGAAAGTGTAGAGGACATGAGTGATGGCCAGAACGAACAAGAAACGATGAAGTTGTTCGAGACCCTCCGCAGAGACAAAAGGCTCTCGACCCTAACAAGAAAGTCAATTCAACCGAAAACTTAAGTTGATGTTTGAAAGTATGTACGTAGAAGATTCTATATTTTGCGACCACTTAATTGAATTGGTTGAACTGTACTAATAAAAGATCGAATTCGATTATCGATACCTCTCCGCATTGGTGATGACGACGACGACGACGATGATGTGATGGATGCCCAAATGTGTTGGGATGATGAGTGTGTGTGTGGTTTGATGGTAATATGGATGATGATGATGATGATGGGTTATTTTGGGTGTGAATTATTGTTGTTTGGGAAGAAGCATAATAATCCTCTTGTGAGCAAATGTAAAATTTAGGGTTGTAGATGGAGGAGGTGACACAAATTTGGGTAATCCATCTTGCCCATTGCCCCAATAGCAATGATATTAGCCCTAGCAACATCAACTCTGTCCCACACATACAATTCACAACAAATCATATTCATAATCAAGTCATTAAAAATTAATAAATAAATAAATCATGCACCTAGATCATTAGTAAAGAGTTTTACTTGTTTAATTTGGCCCTTTTTCACTAAGAAGTACTTCGATCTCCTCTTCGAACTTAAAGTTTTACCGTTTGATTTCACAAAATATGTATCGATGAGTAACAAAATTGTACTCAGAAGATGTAATTAAAAATTTATTTGAAACCACTTTCAATTCGTATTATTATTGAACATTCTTTCTTTCTTTTTCAATAAAAAAGTTATGATAAATTTTACGAGTACAAAGTATCATAATTCATAAATTACTTAAGCTCTCCATATATATATATATATATATATATATATATATATATATATATATATATATATATATATATATATATATATATATATATATATATATAGTAGCTTAGGCAGTTTAGTGACTGGCCTTCCTTAATCTTTTCCCAAGAAGCATAGAGTGCCTTCCTCCTAGTCTTCTCCAACCACTGCATGCAAATATTAATTACACACCCACCGGCCACCACCATATATACATCGGTCCATATATGGTGGTTTGGACCGACCACCATATATACATGATATGTATACAATGAACATTATAATTAAAAATATAATACTTCAAAATATTATTTAAAAATAAATACTCCGTATAATATTATTATATATATTGATTGCAAGAGTTCTATACATGCTAGTGATATATCATTACTTTTACAAATAAAATTTGTGTGAGAATTCCGTTGGCGACAGAAGAAGGAAGCCGGATCGAAGAAAGAAACTGAATCCGTTTGGGATTCGATTTTATATCTTTTCTAGTTTGTTTATTTCTTGTTTTAGTAGAAATAAAAGTTTACTTATATGTTTTACTCTCTTCCTATATAAAAAGGGTACAGAGTAGTATGCAGCTAGCTAGCATGCATTGGCCCAAATGAAAGTTCAAATGAATATAGTGAAAATAAAAGACTTTCTTTCAAAAAAACTTTATATATGTGTGTGTGAAAGGAAATGTAGAGTTACACATCTCAAGTTGTGTAACTCCATGTCACCTACGGTGCATGTTGTGTTTGTAAAATTGACGAATCTTACTTTTACAAATCCCCTACATAAATTCCCACCACCGACCTCGTCCCCTCACGATGACCGTACAAAAGATCCACTTTTGTAGATCTTTAATACATATGCAATTAAAGCATATGTATAAGTGTACGTACCGTTCCGAAGCGGAAAAAGGAGCGTTCGACGAAGAAGCAAAGGAAAACCAAGGCAGTGGTGACGGATGCCACTGACCACGTCGGCGTTTCCTCCAATGACCTCCCCACTCTCATTCTCGATCATCCCCTCTCCCACCCTTTCACTATATTCTTCTTCTTCACCTTCTTTATCATATATATATATATATATATATATATATACACTCTCCCCGTCCAATAAGAATATTCTCATTCACAATTCACATGCATGGTCAAATTTTATTCACTTTGTTGGTATATTTTCGTTACTCATTTGATAAAATAATATAGTCATGTCACATCCACTTTTGTGTATCTTTTCATGTAGTTTTGAAATATGTAATTTTTATTTTTAAATTCCATACAATTTTTCATATAAAATAATTTGAAAATAATTTTAGTCAAATATCATAACGCGCAACGAGAACATTATTGTTGGACAAAGAGAATACAAGGGACTCGCTAATTGAGAGGAATGAAGGGGGGAATAAGATGATACGGGAGGAAAAAGAATAGAAGAATGATTCGTAAATGGAGGGAAAAAGAGGAAAGAGATGAGAAGGGGGAATATTATTCTCTTAGAGAGAAAAAAATATCGGTGAATTATTTTTTTAATTTTTTTTTGTACAAATGAAGAGATGACACGTGGAAAAAATAATTAAAAAAGTAGGAGAATGATTATTAGAGAAGGGTGAAGAAAATTGAAGGAGTAAGTGATGTAATATTAAAAGTAGATGATGTGGAAGAGGAATAAAGAACAATAAACTTTTTTAAGATTTCTGGAGAAGATGAAAGAATATGTCAAATAACTTGATTTAATTATTAATGTATACAAATGATATTTTAGAATAGGTAATACTTCTTCCGTCCCATAAAATTTTCAAATATGAAAAAAGTCACTCCTTAATAATGAATAATTTTGATATTATTTTCTAATTTTTCCCTTACTTGATAATTAGGTAGGATATGATGTGTATGATAGATGAGAGTCTCATGAGACATAATTAGAATATAATATCAAAATTACTCATTTTAAGATACACTTTTTTTCTTCTTTGAAAAGTTTTTTTATGGGCAGGGAAAGTATATAATACTGCTTAAAATTTATAGTTGCACTACAAGGATGTGTCTTCAGGGGCGGATCTACAGGTATAAATACAGGGTCAGTTGCCCCCAATCAACTTTTTTTTCCTTTGTAATATACAGTATTAAAATAACTTTTTGTAGAAAATTAAAAGAATGATCCCAATACAAAAAGTAGTTTGCACCCACTAAAAGTAAAAATTAATCACTGAAAAAAGATATACATGTAAAATATTTAAAATATCCTAATTATATTAAGTAATGACATATTCCGTATTTTATATTTTATTTGTTTACTTTAAAAATATTTTTTTCTTATTTGAATACTTGTTTGAAATTAAATTTATTCATTTTTTATCATAACCGAATGCTTTAAAAAGATCAGGAGCGCTACATTGAACCCCCAATGTACTCTTTTGTGTGTGTTTGCAATCAGTATATTTTCTTGATCCGCCACTGCGTGTCTTCAACGCACTTGAAAAGTATAAACGATCACAGTACATTTTAAAAATTTAAAAAAATGTACATTTTTTAACCTGAATTTATATATATAGTACTAATACATATTTAGTTTTCCAATGTTGTACACATATATTTTAATTTCCTAATATAGTACCGCTATTTAATATACACTACACATTGTTTTAAAAAACATTCATCGTCACTGGACAGTGGACACTGTCCAAATACTATTTAGAGAATAGATTTTTTAGGTATTACATGAAAAAAGATATATTTTAGTACTACCTTCGTCCCAAAAAAAGGTTCTCATTTTGACCATAAATTGGTCAAACTGTTGCACACTTTGACCCTAAATTAAATATAATTTAAATAAAGAAATGCTAAAAAAATTTGAGATATTAAAACTAGATCCTAAGATGAATCCAATTATATAAAATTTATTCCATAATTCAATATACCTTTTTTACAATTTATAGTTAAAACGTGTAAATATTTAACTAAATACTATTCAAAATGAGAACTTTTTTTTGTGGGACGGATGGAGTATTATTTAGTGCACATTTCTTCGTTTATGAAGGGTGGATGAAGCCCACGAGTTATCTAACGTCCGTTATTGCCCCACGTGGAGTGTAGGGTGAGAATTGTAAATTTTGCATTATGTGTGTATATATATGGGTATGGTCGTGCGTGGGCGGGCTTCCCAATGTGAACCAACCCAACCAAACTTGGGCAACCCACATGGGCATTTAGCCTCAACAAAATAATGCAAACGGGGACCCGCCCAGTCCATCTCGACCCATGGATGAAAAGAGTCAGAAAATACATGCCCACCACACTCTTGTACGGTCACGTCTTTTAACTACATTTGTCTCTATACCAATTTAGCTTTGGAAATAGGGGATCCAAAAATACACACTTCCTTTCTCTTTGAGAATTTATTTACTTTCAATTTTTGAATTAAAATTGGTAAACTTTGATATCAATTTAAATAAAAATAATATTAGATATTAATATAAAAATAATTTTATCAAATTTATTATATCAAAGATTTTCAAAATATTATTTTATCTAATTAATATACAATATATATTTTATTTAATTCTAAGTCAAAAGTTATAAAAATTGATCGAAAAAAGTTAAAACTGGAAAAATACTCAGGGACGGAGGTAGTATGACAAGTTAGTAGAGAAGGGTTTGGGTAGGGGGTGGGGGGGCTAGTGCCAAGTTTTTTTCAAGCTAATTTAAATATAAAATCACCCTAAATAGGACTAAAACATAGAGAAAAATATCAAATTAGGACTTTCGTGTTTTTTTTCTCGAAATAGGACTTTGCACTATGGTAATGTGACTTTGCTCTGTTGTAATGTGTCAGTTTACATGTGCAAATTGCTATACTTTTTTGGTAATGTATATGACCATGTATGGTAATACAAGTCCTATTTCGAAAATAAAAACATGAAAGTCATATTTTGATATATTTTCAATATTTTAGTCATTTTTTAGTCTTTCTCCCTAATTTAAAGTTATGATTAAGAAAAGAGGATAATTTCAAATAAGTAGCAAAAAGAGATTCAAAACTAGACAAATATAATACCCAATGAAGTTATGAAGTACAATAAGCTTTTTCTATTTTTAAAAAACCAGAATATCATAACTTAATATAACTCTAGTGCGAGTATTTCAAAAAGTTACCATTAGATTCTATTTAAACATTTATTTTATTTTATTTTTTTTGGATGAAAAACTTTTTGTAATTTTTGGTGTTTGGCCGGTTGAAGTTGATCAGCAGCTTTTTTTTCTTTTTACTTTTTAATTAATAATTATGTCTTATTTTAATAGGAAAAATGAGTCCTATGTTAATCAATTTTCTATGTTTTACTACATTTTTTTTGAACTTGCCATTTAACAAGGGATGAAGGATTGTGACCAACTTGCATCATATTGTTAATTGTTAGTGAGTTGGAAGTTGTAATGGAAAACAATACCAACCCGACCGCATAGCGCAGTGGATTAGCGCGTCTGACTTCGGATCAGAAGGTCGTGGGTTCGACTCCCACTGTGGTCGTACAATTTCTTTTTTTGTTTCTGGTTATTTCTCATTTTCTCCTCTTTCGTTCATTCTTAATACTATAAACTCTTAATAATATACACACATATAAACTCCCTCCATCTCAATATAAGGTTCATGTTCAGTTTACAGTTTACGATATTTGGCTGAATTTATTTTCTAATCATTATAAGTAAATATTGGTGTAGAATTGAAAATTAAAATTACAAAATATATTTAAAAACTATATCAAACTTTCTACAAAATAAATAGAAACAATATTATTTTATTTTATCAAATGATTAATGAAAACGTATAAAGAGTTTCCTTACGTACTAAACTAGCTATAAAGTAGAGTTTCCCAACGTACTAAATTTCTATGCGTTGGTATAAACTATTACCTCCGTCTCTGAATGTTTGTCCAGTTTTGATTTTTTTCAGTCAACCATTTTCAACCTTTGACCTATAAGAAAATAAAATATGTTTTGTATATTAATTAGATTAAATAATATTTTGAAAATATCTTATGTAATAAACTTAATAGAACTATTTTTATATGTTGGTCGAGTTACTTATAGTATGTCCGTGGATGCTCTCTTTTATTTCTTAACATACACATGTATTTCCTCCATTTCTTTTTAACAATGTGTTTCCCTTTGTATGTCACAAATTTGACTAACAATAAATAAAAATATACAATAAATTAAAATATAAAAATCAGTTCATGTTAAATGAAATAAAAATCACAAATCTTAAATAAAATAATTTACTACTAATTCATAGACATGAAATCCACCTTGAGTTAATGAATCGTGATGTTATTTTAGTTTTTTTTTGGTAAATAGGTAGTTGTATTGTTATTTAATGTATTATCCGGTTTTAAAAAAACCTTGGTATTGTTATTCTTGTATTTTAATATACATATTAATTATCTCTTATATTGTTCATATAAATCAAGATTAAAAGAAATCTCTAATTTTATATTAATTAGATTTATTCGAAGTGTATAATCCTGAAATTTCTGTTTTTTTAAATCATTTATTCAAATTGAATTAATGAAAAAGTAATGCAAAAGTAATACTTCGTATTTAACTACAATAATAACATTTTAACAATAATACCATCCCGGCGATGACATATAAATTGGACTTTAATCCGTCAATATTCAAGAATGTGAAAATCAAGCCTAAATATGAAAATAAGAAAAAATAATACGAACAATGAACACATAGATGTTTACGGGGAAAAAAATTGATAAAAACCACGGGCCTTTTCCATTAAGTGCACTCAAATTTCGGATTATTGGTGGCAAATTTGAAGGGATCAGACAAAGATGTAAAATCTAACATTGTATATGAAGAAATCAGATGGAAAGAAATTCAAAGATAACAAAGTTAATTGTACAGATTGACTTAAAAGTGTGTGTTATAAAAGCCTCAGCATTCAGTAGGACTCCATCTGATCTATATCCTCTAAAACTAGCACACTACGTAACGCCACATTTCGTTTGCGCGACCAAAAAATGGTTTTCCCGAATTTGTGTAACAAAAGCACGAGAAATGAAACCGTGCGCAGTCAGTCATTGGCTTCTAATTGTTTGGTGTTGTTTTTTAAGGTTGCAAAAACATGTCTTTTCATAGTTCTGCCTTTGATTCTGCATCTTCTATCGGGTCATCGGATGTTTTAGCGGGTAGAAGAGACGGTTCTTGAGAGATCTCTTCGCCTAAGATTTTAGCCGTGAAACTTCTTGCTTCCAAGTCAAGTTCTGGCCACTCTGCAACTATCCTTTTGGCACCCTACATGGTTTAAAATATGATTGGAAAAAAAATATTAATTCATATGAGAAATTCTCAAACTCGGGCAGTTTTGAGCACGTTATACATTCAAAAGGAGAGAAATAACGGCTTATTTATTAGTCACCTGAAGCTTCGGCTCCTTCGTCATGGGATTGTTGCAGAGATCGATAGTTTTTGCCCTAGACTTAGTTGTGTTGCCACACCATGACTCACACCACAGCCATTCTTGGGGGAGCGAAAATATGGGCACAGTGTGCTGGGCATAATTGGGAAGATCCTGAGATCATATTAAGCAAGTGTGAGATGTTTTTTTTGAGATGTCCAAAAAGGATTAGTGTAAATAGTTTTTTGAGTAAATTTCATAAATAGTCCCCAATTCTGAGATATTACATTCATGGTCCTTAATTTTTAAAAACTATTCCATAATCAGTTCTTTGAAGACTATATGTGGGAAAAGAAATATTTGCTCATATTTGGCCTAAAGGACTAATTATGGAATAGTTTTCAAAAATTAAGAACCACGAATGTAGTATCTTAGAATTGGGGACTGAATATGGAAAATCACCTATTATAGAAGACCATTTACGGAATTTAGACTCAAAGAAAACTGAATCCAAAAAGGAGTTTAACTTGCCTGATCCAGATTAGATAAACTGTTTGGGTCTTTGCTTAGCGTCTCATAGAACACTCTCAAGTTGTCTCCGGCAGCAGTCTCTCGGAACTTGACCAGGTCAACGACATATAGAGCACTGCAAATAGTACACCACATGTTAGAGCTTCAAGCCTTAAAAAGGATATCTAAAAAAAAAAGAACGGTAGCTTTGCCTGATATGATACGGTTTTCCCCTCAAATGGTCCTTCCAGAAGCCCTACAGTGGAGAAAAAAGTGCGAAGAATCATGAAAGAGGGGTTTTGTTATTATAAAAATGCAATCTTTTACACATATTTACTCAAAGTGTTTTACTTGTTTCCAAAAACGATAGCCATCCATATCTTTGTTGTTGTCACAGAAAGGGGTATAGGCAAGCGGTTTCCCTCTCAAGTTCATGTCATACAGTTCTCCCATGTCTGTTCTCACTATCTGATCTGCATCAACAAATATAACCTGCACAAGTAGATAAGTGATATTATGAGCTGTTATGAGGCGTTTGGATCTCAAAATCTAGGGAAAGGAAATAGGGAGTGAATAGAGAGAAAATCTAAATGGAAGTTTTTTTAAAAAAATATTTTATTTTTCACAAGCTTAATTTTTCACATATTTTATTTTTTAATGTCAACCATACACACAATAAATAATCTAAATACGTGTAAAAAATTAAAATGAATCATGTTTCATTTTCCAAAGTAAAGCGAAGCCTACGAAAAAAACATTTCTTGGCTTTTTTTCCTTTGCCCTAGCATTTTTTGCTAACCACATATACCCTTATGGAAACACAATTTAGTATATGTTTGGGTGCTTTTCTAAAACAGGATTTGCCCAAATGTGGATCCAAAATCCATAACCTACTCGCCATAGAATCATAGCTTCTCCGTAAATGTTATTTTTGTTTTAGCTTGATATTTGGAAGATGGAATCTAAGCATCACCGTCAAGGATTATAAAACTCTTAGCAATTTGGGCCAGAAAAAGAAAAGTACCTTCTCAAGAGCAAGAGGGAAAATGACATCGAGAAAGAGAATCTTGTATGCCCATATGATTCTTTGTTTTTCTTTCTGTTTATGCAACCACGTTGGCCATTTGTAAGTGATTAACTCATACTCAAAACCATATTCCCGTGCCATGTGTGGAATCACATCCTGAGAAAGATCTCAACATTACACTTCAAATTTAAAGGGATAATATGGTAAGGGAAGAGAATGACCAGAGAAGTAAATGAACCTTGAACTGGGGTGAAAGATAATTCTTTATGAACCAAAACTTAACGGGCCGGTTTGTGTTCTTCAGGACACTCAAAATCATAATTTTTAGGAACCGTTCATACCTGCACAAATAAACTCACTTTGTTTTAGAAATTGATGACATTATGCCAAGTTTCCTTTCAAAATGTAGGTAAATAAAGAAAACGGTGAAAATAAAACATAAGATCTACAAACTCATTTGCTATGTTAATTTCCCTATTATGATCAATGAATATGAAATTGAGGATGGAGAAACTTTACAAGTGCCCAGAAGCAACAGAAAATATATTGATTGTTTTTCCATGGCGACCACCTCTTGCCAGCTCCTATAAAGATACAATAGAAATTTTCAGTTCTTATCTCAAACCTTTTTTTACTTGGTATCAGTTGCTAAAAAGAAAACAACTTTCCATAAAAATGATGATGATGATGTGATTATGATGACGATGATAATAAAAACCATTATTATAATTACTTGGGTGCTTTCATTCTTTGACTGATCACTAGAACCAATTAACCCAGAAGCCCATTTGAGAAAATTAGAATTCCATCTGTTCTGATTTCCCTGCACAATCAACAGATAGGAAAGCAGTTTCAGAGATGCCATTTTTCAAGGCTTGTATGGATATTCCATTTTTTAAAGCAGCTTTAAGAAAAAGTGTTTTTCATAGAAGTGGTTCTACTAAAAGAGCAACATAACATTTGGTGACACTGTTACAAAGTGTTTCTTGAGCTAGAAGTTCAAAAAAAATCTTACAAAAGCACTTTTGGAAGAAGCACCACACATATCAAGTGATGCTTTCAAAGGCACTATTAAGCTCTTTTACTCTTATTAACAACGTTAAAAAAATGATGCCCAAACATCATTTTAACATCTAAAAGCACTCTTGAGTCTTGACCTGCTTTTGAATCTGTCTAGGATCACATCAAAGTATACTTTTAATAATTGCAACCTTACCAAGCACGGAGTATTAGCCAGATTTGGATTTTGAATCCGAAGAGTCAGAGGTGCTTTTGAATCCCCAAAACTGCTTTTAACATATAAACAGCTGTTTTTTATTCTTCTTTAAAAAAAATAAAAGTACTTTCTGAAAGTAAATTCAGCAAAAGCTAATCTGAATTCATTTCAGAAAGTAACTTTGCTTTTGGACCACTTCAGGTTATTTTCCTTTCAAAACCACATTTGGTACCTTCTTACTGTCTTGAGAATGGCTATCTGCATCAGTGGGCACTAGTAAATTCTCGTGTTCCTTTCCTTTCTTCTTCACCACTTCCAAGTGAACAAGTTTACCTCGCAAATCGTCTATAGTGATACGCTTTGACAAAATTGACCCCTGGACACCACCATCTTTTTTCATCAAGTAAAGCTCTGAGCTTCTGCCGGGAGCTAGTTGGAGGTACCAGACTCCCGGAGAGACTTTCATTTGCCAGTAACCCAAATTGGCCATGACCAGTGTATCAACCAGGTGAGGTCTACTTTTGGTTCCAAGGATCAGTTGAAGACCTCGTGGAGGATCATGATCCTTCTCCGAACAATGACCTGATTTAAAAGTTATTTTTCAACAAGTACCCTAAGAATCTGTTTGGGACTATAGAAAGAAACTGCAGGAAAAATACAACATTTGTCACTTCTATCAGACTGTGCACCTCATTTGTCAGAATAGTCTCCTCCAAAGTTCTCATGATCACTACTCCACTTTGGGGTATATATGAGGAGTTGTACTTTTTTTCTGAGTTTCATTTTCACTTTCTTTTCTCAAATCTGGTTTTACATTCATTGTAAACACATATAACCTATTCCCGGTACTCAATTTTTCATTAGAACAAAAATTATATCAACTCTGGAAATAAAAGTATCTGAAAATAACCTGTTAGAACAAGAGCTTCAAGTTCATAAACTGCTTGGAGTGTCCTGGTATCACCAAGGTTTTCAAGCAATATATTGTCCAGGTCATGGCTGCAGAGATACTGAGACATTATACTTGCACACACACAAAGAGAGAGGGAGAGAGAGAGAGGGAGAGGAAGAGGGAGAGAGAGAGAGAGTAAAGCAGACATGTAAATATTCATTGAGAGAGAAGTGGTTATTTCAAACATACACAGCAATGACAGGTTCAATCAGCCATGGCTCAGGTACATCGAGGTTCATAGTTAGTGTCTTTGATGGTGGCATATTTGCGAAAAATGCTTGTGGACCATACACTGTGAAATCTGTCCTGCTAAAATCATCCTGCAATATTACAAATTAAAAAGAGGGATGAGAAAATAAAATATCTTGGGAAAATGACTTAAGGCTTGTTTGGTGGAGGGATACTAGAGAGGCGTTGAGTGGAGCGGAGGAAATGAAAATTGTGTTCCCAATTTATCTCTGTTTATGAGCTCACTAATGTATATCTATAGAATTTTTTATTTAACTTTATTGTGAACAGTTTAAATGTATGACCAAATTAATAAAATAAATATCATCTCCTTCCCACCCCCTTTGAAACACCCATCCAAACAAGGTCTAACAGATGATGTGCACTGGACTATACCATTGTTGGGGCTACATATCTGTAGTAATTCTTCAAAGGAAGATCAACAAGAGAACTCTGCCAAGAAAAAATAGAACAGTAATTCTCATCAATTTGGGTTTTGGAATTAACCAGTAAGATAAATTCTCCAGCAATTTCATAAATTTCAGGACACCGTTGAGAATTGATAACAATTACCATTGGATTCAGTACAAGCCTCATGCTAGGGTGAATGGATTTTGACAGTAGATAAAGAAGAGAAGCCAGCTTTTGACCAGATGCACTCAAAGGATCAATAACAGCATCAATATGAACACTAGCATTTTCATTTTCCAACAAAACAGCACTGTAACAAAAATTAAGCACCTAGGTTATATGGGTGAATGAAGAATGCAATTGCAGAAGCATATTCAGAAACTTCAATGATTAAGTTGGACTTATCATGAGCATATATCTAACAGAATAAGTATGGATCTGACCTGTATGTTGCAGACAAAAGTTCAAAGCGAGCACTTTCTGAACTTCGATCCCGTGAAGAAATTGAAGAAGAGATGGACAAGATGATGTCACTGATGAATTTACTGTGATAGGAAACACATTTATGAAAAGCTGTAGCAAATTCTAATAGAAACTTTAGAAGAAAAAGATACTGCTGGAAAATAGGAAGAAGACCAAACAAACAAAGCTTTAGCAAATAACCTCGTTAACATGTCCGGGTCCAAATCTTCCCATTTCACCTCTTCTACAATGTCCACAATGTGCTTTATCCTTTGCTTATATTCCATAGACTCTAGAAGCTGCAAATCATGGCTTAAGAATGTGGTGCCCTCGTCAAGGTTAATCACCTATCAATATTCATTAAGACTTACAATTAGAATGTTTTATTACAAAATGCATCATAGCACATGAAATTATTTGATAATTGTCATTGTAATGAATAAACCCATATCTTTCATAGTTTCATATCAAGTAAGAGAGGCCAAATAAAACAAACCCTTCCATTTGTAATGACAACACCACCACCAGATTCAACCCCAACTTGCCTAAACAAAAATCGAGCCACCTGCACATGCACCAAATAATAAATAATGGAGATAAATCCAAAATGCAAAAAAGAAAGATGAAATGCAGAAAATTTGGAGTAGCTTATAGTTAAGAGAGGTTTTCTTCACATCTTTTATAAAAGAGTGATAAACATATGAATAACTATGGAGAATGACAGTCAAGATGAGGCACCTTAGACATGTATGTCTTAATCATGTCATCCGAAAGCCCTGGAAGAGCAGATTCATAGCCTTTAGAAGGCAATCCATTTTCATTTGCCATTTCAAAGACCTTATTGATAAACAATCGATTGTCTTCAGTAGGTGGAGTGAGTAATTGCATGTGTTCACGCTCATAGAACAAGCAAAGTTGATCCAGAAACTCCAACACTTTCTTTTTGTGGCTGCATGACATTGTTATGGTTGTGTAATGAAGGAACATTACACGAGTTTGAAAGTAACCACCATATGACCATATTTGTCAATAAGAAGATAAGGGGTATCAATCTACCTGTATGATGAGGCAGTAATTTTGAAGATTTTGATAAAAAGAATGCTTGGCCAATGAGTATCCTGAACATCACTAAATAGCACACCAAGGCGTGCATTTCTAGTACCTTCCATCTGCAGAAGAGTTTAATTCCAACAAAAATACCAGATTACAAATATAGCAATTAATTCAAGGTATCAATATATTTACCAGGGAAGAACATTTTAACATAGAGAGGAACATACCAGATAATGGATTCCTTCGCGAAGCAATTTTATCCCTTTCTTCGATGAGATATTGACAGCAATGAGATGAGTCACGGGCTTTAAATCATCAATGGCTGGACAAAAAATACAGCAGACAGTAAAAGAATCAAATGATGGATTTACCCCCAATTTAGTATGGAAACAGATCATTTTAGGGGAACTGTACAGCTTACTTTCTGGAGTGTGCAAGTAGCTGATGTCGTTTAAAATTGATTCCTTTTCAAGAAGTGCTGCAGAGAGAGATACAAACCTTGGTTTGGCCTTCCCATCAGATATTATCTACATCATCAAAGGATATAGATACTTAGCGAGAGAGCTAATGATAAATTTATAGCAAAAGGAATCACGATACTAATGGTAAATACAGATATTACCAGAGGATTATAGCGCTGAACACCACCTTCTGATAGGAACTTATCTAGAATATCTGTGTGAGAAGTTATCTGTCCATAGTAGACTTGTTCCTGTACTCTGGGAAGCTCTTCATTCATGGCATTCATAAGAGCATCCTTAAAATAATAGTTAAAACTTATTATTGTCATGGGATATCATAATAGCAAATGGAAATGAAGGCATAGAAGATTAAGTGATTACTTGTGGAGGATAGCATTCCCAAAATATACTTGATGCTGATTCAGTCAACACAGTTTGTACAGATTAAAGAAAACAAATTGCAATGTTGCAACATTTTGCTGACAAGTAATTCTATTATTCTCATTTAGTCAATTGTGTAGGCCCAGTCAAGATAAACAGACTATTATACACACTTTTGCCTTTCTATAAATTCCTAAAATAAGCTCAATCAGCTTTAAATGGTCTCATATTTCAACTGGCATCTAAGATTACTATTTTTTTGAAGTTATTCTGATATGCTCTTTGAAATAGTTTATTAAATAAACTCAGACCAATGTTATCATAAGCTAACCGATCTTCACATAAGCTCATCCAATGCAAAAAAAAATATGAGTGCATGGCCTTACTAATCTGAAATAACTGAAATTGGGCATAAAGCATAAAGTATCAATACCTCACTCGGATCATTGACGAGGCCATTCATCAGAAGAGAACACTGAAGCTTAGACAACCCGAGCTTATGGACAAACAAGGAACTTTCCTCTGCAGCTTCTTTGAAAGTATGCTCCTTTTCAAGTTTCAGCAAAGTATCCTGAGGTGGTGACTTTGCTTGTGGTCTACAGAAAGAAGAATGTTAACATATTTATTTATAAAAAAAGGATTTGTGACAGTGTGAGCCTAATAATTTATTTGATGAAAACTCCATTACATGACCAGCCTAAATAAACAGAAGAAAAAGAGATATGGAATTTACATCTATCATGATGCTCAGTGTTTAAAATGTTCGACTTACAGAACAGTTTCAACAAATGCCCCCTCAACATGGTGCATTTCAGGAGCATCTTCAGCACTCGACTCTATTCGCAATTTGTTAACCTACAGTCCAGAGGAATAATTAATTAGCTTGGAAAATTGCATATCAATGCAAACTACAAATATAGTTCAGACATTCATCAGGAGCAAAATACATTGGAGTTCATACATTGCTCAAAAACTTGAAAGCCATTGCATTTCCATGATTTTCCTTCAAATAGATGAAAAGTCTAATGATCTGCAAAATTAAGTTGTCAAACATATTTAATCAGTTCATTGATGAATCATAAATCGAATCAAGGCAAGTTGATATTATAGAAAAAAAGATATACAAGACCAGATTTTTTTCACAACATCCCATATGCACATGGATTTACTCAGGAAATATGGAAGGTATCAAGATATCTTATCTAGAATTTCCTCAAATCCCATTGATAAATGTTCCCGTCATGTTGTCATACATCAATAACAAATAAGAACAATTACCAGATTGGAAATATCCTCTTGAACTTGACTATCTTCTTTCTTTTGAGGAAAGAGAAGTTCACCCTCATTTGATTCAATCTGATTGATAAACTTTGCAGAGTACAGTATAACACCAAACCGTATAGGCAAATGATTCTCATACAGAGAAATAATCATGTCAATTGTCTGCAAGTTTCAAAAGATGGTTATTTTGATATGAATAATAATTTGATCACTTCTTTCTTTTAGCCAGCTTTGAACTGAAATAGGAGCAATAATTTTGATGCATAATCAGTAGCCAAATCAATATTTCAAATCTTAGAAAAAGATGAATGTACCTCAAGTCCATGAATGGAGGCAGGATCTAGTACATAAACAGCATGGAATATGTTTTTCCTGATGTAACGCATTTGTCCGGGGAAGACAGGCATCAGAATCTACAGCAGCAAGATGAAATGAAAAAGAAAGTATGCAAAATGTAACTGTAGAAAAAATCTGAGTTTTAAAATATTTAAAGATAAGTGGAGATATACCTCATTAATGTTACTTCGCCAACGCCGATACATCACATCAACCTCCAAATCATTCACATAATGAACATGGTGAGAGCGAAAATCAATGCGAAGTGAGTTTCCATCAGATGGGGGGAGTGTAGAAAGAAGCCTCTTTATAGTTGTTGGAGGAATCTGACATTTTTATGAGCAATGCTTAGCAGAGAAATATAATACCATATTTACACCAGGAAGTATGTAATATATACCAAGCAAATCATGCATCTTAACTAATGTATGGATGCCTAACTACAGCTTGGATCAAGTTTAATAATAATGTACCTTCAATTCTGAATATTGGTCAGCTAATGATAACTCGCAATGAACAATTTCAATCAGCCTGAAAAAACATGCCAGATTAATATGCAAAGGAACAGCGAAAAATGGATTGTAAACACAAAGAAATACTAAGGTGACAACTGACAGGTCAGGAAAATTGCTAACTTTAAAAAAAATGCCCACTACCAAGTTCATTGTAGATTTAAGTTCATAAAGCACTCAAAGTCATCGGTGTGAGAGCACAAGTTCGATATCTATAAATATATATTTACTCGGCATTTCAAATAAGCAATGAAATGGGAAGATCAGAATTACGAAACTATAAATAGTAACAAAAGCCTTACAAATAGAGGTCAATATCTTCAATATTGATTAAAGCACCATTTAGGGCCATTAGTGACTTCCCGGGAGGAATCATTCGCTGGTTTTCAATAATTTCATCCTTGATGGACTCATTGAGCTGCATGAAGTTCAAACACGTACCAAAAGGCAAGACATCAAACAAGATCAATTAAACATTACCATGGAATATTTCATTATAAGCAATTCTTGATTACAATTTGATATGGACCAGTCATTAGTTCATCGTGAAAGTCTTATTCAGACATGTTATTGTGTAACAAGGTTTCACCTTCATTCGCGACAAAGAAGAGACCACGCTAGGAAAATTTTGATTAATTCCTTGCATTGCCAGTAAAGGATCAGCGGCATGAATTATTCTCTGGGCTGTTTGGTGTCCCAAATCTATTTTTGGTGGTTTGAATAGGATCAGTATTCTGGAAGAGCAAAGGCAGCTGCCAAAATTTTTAAAATATGTCACAAAATCTTTGAATCAATACCTTTTAGTTCCCAGACATCAAGTGTATCGGAAACTGTTGATGATAAAAGGTAGTCCCTGAAAGCCATGATATCGGATTTTAACTCTGGTTTGCGTTCCTGCAAAAAAGCAAGCAAGACAAGACATGTGTCAAAACATAAGCTTTGAGGATTCCTCGCTTCATTTTGATATCCGTATTAAAGGTGACAATTGAGTCTAAAACCTACAACATATAGTTTGTGTAAATGAAAGTAATGCTTTGTGATGATGACAAAAAGAAATTTGTGAAGGAAGTATCATATGAATACAACAGCAGCCTTAAGTATCATAATACCAGAATTCTCGAAAATATAAATCCTCTGACTTCTTGGCTAAGATCTTCAGTTTGAGGATCTTCAAGAGTGACCCCTGCATTACAAAATTTGTTATGTTGATGTCTAAGAAACACAAAGCTTCTTGTTGTTAGTTGTGATGTTGCACGACACTAACAAAAAAAATAAGCTGACTATGTACGCACCAAATATTCAAAATACATAATTATTTTTAATAGCTAAATATATGAAGTATAGAGAACAGAGCTCTTGCATCTTTTTCCAATTTCCACTACATATCCTACAGAAATCAAACTTTGGGATGCAATTTTCTTTAAACAAACCAAAGATCTCAAATCAATCAAATACTGTAGTAGTACTAACTGGTTCTAGACTAGCAGAAAAAGAATATCTGCTAACAAGTTAAATAGAAAGGCAAAAATATGATACTACACAAATATGTTCAAAGTTAAAACTGGAAAAGGAGAAAAGAAGTAAACTGCTGGTGGATAGTTTGACTTTTGAATAGACGATGCTGTCAAGTAAAATGAATAATTCATCCATGAAGCAAAAGAATAACCTTTTTTCACTGTGCTGTCATCCATAGCCTTATATTCCATGTTTTTCAATGCAAGTTCCACACCATAGCCACCCAGGTTTACGGAGTCTCTTGTGCCAATAAAACCACAAGAGCCACTCTTTGATTCACATCCTGAGGGCAATACAGGTCTAACAACATAGCAAACTTTCCCCTGTGAAAGCAATAGGAATTGGCAGCAGATCATGTAAAACCCAGCTAGGAAAAACATCCTTTTTTTTCTTTTTCAGAAATAAATAAAGACTGCAAACAATAAGGCTACACATTAAAACTACAAGGTTGCAAAGATAGAGGTGTTTTTGAAGGCAAAAAGAGTTCTTGATAATGTACTTCCAAGAAAAGATTATTACTGCCTACTCCATAATGTTCAGTTCATTTATTACAGGATTTACAGCTCCTTTAAAAGTATTTGTGCAGCTTTTGGCCTTTACCCATAACACCCTCTACCCTGAGATGTTCATATCTTGTAGCTTAAAGGTATGACTTAAAATCTTTATGTGAAACATTGAAGACCATATATTTTATTCAATGCAATTATGCACAACGATACAAAGAATATCTCAAGGATCAGAAACATACAAAACAATATATACAAAGTCCTCAATTAGTATCATTGCCAACTGGATTTAATTAGACCATGAGAGTAGACCAGGAAAAAGAAATGAAAATTTTCAACTTCAGAAATAAATTTATGAGAGTTTACCTCTCTGGCAGCATTCACCAATATATGATGAAATTTTTTAAAGCACTCAGTCCCAAGGGCTCCATACAATATAGTGGTCGGACTTCCTATACTTGAATCGGGATGTACATGATCAAATTCATATAGTTCAGGCTGCTGAAATGTTTCACCAGTTCTGCAACAGAAGACGAATTAAGAAATATATGAACTATGAGCACTAAAAATAAAAAATTGACCTGACTTTACCGCATTTTAGTTGGGAATTTCAGAGGGGAGGGGTGATATTTATTTATTTTAAAATTTATTCTCACATTATAATGGTTTGAAATCAATTGAAGATAAAAAAAATATCAGGAAATACATATTGTTTAGCCCAAGACAAACATATAGAGAGGAATTATTTAACTAAACAAGCCCTAAAAGTTGTGCATGTGTGACAATATGAACGAATGTGCATGGAGCAACAGAGAAGCTTGACATACACTGCTTTTGGGCTATTAATCCATAATAGTAACTCTGGAACATCAAAAAACAGTGATCCACCAGTATCAACCCAACAACACTTTTTCTCCTTAAAACTTCTAGGTTCCACTATTGTAGAGTCTGAGGTATTATCATCAACCAGAGGAAACGAAGAAATGGATTCTTCAGCTAATTGTCGATATAGAACTATTCTAGGGGATGCCGATCGAAGTGTAAGTGAAAATTCAAAGACCGATGCAAGAGATTCACTCAGGAATGATTTTCCATATTCAACCATCTTCTTTACACAATCTTGGGCTGATTTACACTCATAATCTCCTTCAGCTAAACCAATCCACGTGTCAATGAAGTCCCAATAAAGACCTTTCCATTCCTTGGATAGCAATTCCCTGTCAAGCATATGAGCATTATAAGATACTTCCTCTTTCCCATTTCATATATCCTACTCATGCAAGGACGCAAAACTAAAGATGATCAATTTACTTTTTGTAATATTTCGTTTAATACACACATGTAAAGTTACATACTAGTATCTAAAACACTTGGACAGATAAAATGCACAAAAGGTACTTTTATAAAAATGCATTGCAAAAAAAGTAACCGTCTTTGGGAAATTTTTCTGCCATTTACAAGTTCAATGGAAGTATCCATGATCAGCCAAAGAATAGTAAAAGTATTTCAACTGGTAATTATTCTTCATACTTTAAAAAATGGCATACTATACTACACCATCCAGAAGCAATCTTTGGTTTAAACTATTCATTTCAAGTACAGTAGCACCCAACAACATGGAAGAACAGCTAACAAGAGCTCCAATATATAAAAACAAAACACAATTGGTAACCAGGAAATAAAGTACTGAAAAAGATTTAGGCTAAAATCCACCATTGGTCCTTCAACTTTATCAATTGTGCACGATTAGTCCTTCAAGTTTCAAAAGTCTATAAATAGTCCTTCAACTTTATGAGTTCTGCACCATTGGCCCTTCAAGTTTCAAAAGTCCATAAGTAGTCCTTCATGTACACGTCAGCCCTCCAGATGAAGTCCTTTTGAAAGTAAATATTAAAAGTTAGACGAAATACTAGTTTCATATAATACGAGTAAATTCCACTAGGTACGACTACTCCGTATTATATGGAACTAGTATTCCATTTAGCTTTTAACATTTACTGTCAAAAGGACCTCATCTGGAGGGCTGACGTGTACTTGAAGGACTATTTATGCACTTTTAAAACTTGAAGGACCAATCGTGCATAACTCATAAAGTCGAAGGACTATTTATGGACTTTTAAAACTTGAAGGATCTGATAAAGTTGAAGGACGAAGTTTAGCCAAAGATTTAACAATGTATGAATAAAAATTATATTTTGCAGCTAAATTTAGACTTAAGAAACTGTTGGGTGCTGAAAAGAAAGATACCCAGCTTCCAAAAGTATGGAGGTGCCAGGCCACTTGGCTCTTAGAGCCACCTGCACATTTTTGGGCCTACTGTTAGCTGCAGAAACTGAGTGCCCGGAAAATAGAACCAAAACGATAACCGCCCATAGCCCGAATCCGAAAGGGGTCCAGTTTCTGCCCATTCTTGACCTTTTGATGAAATCCACGTTGATTACAACAAGTTCATTGATGAAATTGCAATCCAAGATTCAATCTTTTCCAGTTTCTCGATGCCTCTCCGACCTTCTGGACGATTTTTTCTTCTTCTTTTTCTCGGGATTTTTAGAAGAAATATGCAGATTTATTTGTAGATTTGCAGTGGTTTAGGCAAATTGTGCACCCTCAGCTCGAATTGTCCTCCCTCAACAATTGGACTTTTGTATGGGGGTAAAAGTGTCAAACTGCAGATGTTACAAATCACCAAATTTTTTTCTTAAATGAAAATGTAATTTATCATTTGGGGTATCCCATTTGTACACCATCAACCTTAAATATTCATTTCTTTTTTCATTTTTAAATTTTTTTTCTTCTCTTGCTTTTGTGTGGTAGAGATGGAGGGGTTACAAATGGAATACCCCAAATGGTGTATCCTAACTTTTTTCTTATTATTAATAGAATAGACAATTTTATTATCTTGTACGGAATATATATTTGTCAAATTTAATTTATTTAGATAAAGAAAACAAGTTTTTTTTATTAAAGAAGACAAGTTTTAATAATTAATTAATTAATTACATCATATAATAAGATAAAAGAAAAAAATATCAAAATAAAAGTATAACATAAAACATGGAGTAAGTGCCAAAATAAGATTTTTGTATTTTTTATTCTCAAAATATAAGTTGCAATGTTAACAATATCAATAAATCGCAAAATACAATATCACGATACATTGTATAAACTCTTATTTTGAGATAAGGGTAAAAGGGTTATATTTTACACTTATTTGAGGCTATTTTTTAAGGTAAATTTAGAATTTGAATAAAAATTTATACTCCATATTTGATTATTGATCAAAATTTATCAAATTTGATTAAAAAATCAACATGAGGTGTGATTGAAATAGTACTTTTCTCTATATAAGAAAACTATTCAAATAAGAATAAAATATGAAACTTAAATAAAGTATATAAAAAAAACTTCATATGTTTTATTATCAAAATATGAGAGTTGTCATTGTGAAACATCATCATAAAAGTATTAAAGTTCTTATTTTGATATAGAAATCATGTATTGATAATTTTATTCATATATTTCTTTTTTTTGATTAGTTTTCTTAAGCTTTTGAACTCTTTTACGTGCTTACTTTTCTTAAAAATACTCGTTTTGATAAGTGTCTAAATGTAACTCATTCGATACTTATACAGTTAATTACATTTAATCAAATTACTCTGCATACAAAATTAGTTAATTTCAAGGTAAAAAATTTTCATTATTTCAAACTTTTGTTAATAAGTTGTCAAAATGACATTATTTTATTTAAAATTTAATTTATCTTGAACATAATTTTTTTTGAGGTTTTGTGTCAATATTTAAATAAATTCAATTAGTATTATTTTATTATTCCGGAATAAGATACTCAATTAATTTGAGAGATAATCTTTCAAAAAAAATTGAGACATAAGAGTGAATTAAGGTAATTATTCATTGACATTTGTTAAATGAGTAATAATTGTTTGAAAAAACCACGTCATTATCCGATGTGGCAATATCCTATTGGACTTCAACTTTAGTTTTATTTTTCAGCTTTTTATCGTCTTCATTAAATCGCACAAAAAAAATCTTCATCAGATCGAACACAAACTCTCCGGCCGTTTGATCCTCTCTTTACAGCCGGCGGCGAAGCGTGAAAATGGATGCTCTGGATTCGGTGTTCGATCCGCTGAGAGACTTCGCCAAGGATAGCGTCCGTCTAGTCAAGAGGTGCCACAAGCCCGACCGCAAAGGTAACCATTTCCACGATTTCGATGCGTTATTTCCCAGCAGATTCGTTATCTCGTCCGATCGTGGTTGATTTTTGATTCAGTGCTTGATTAATTGTGTTGATGGTGTGGTGAATTTTGATTCCGCGCAGAATTCTCGAAAGTGGCTGTTCGTACTGCGATCGGATTCGTGGTGATGGGATTTGTAGGGTTCTTCGTCAAGCTGATCTTCATTCCCATCAACAACATCATCGTCGGAACTTTGTGATTCTGGTAATTGCTCTCCAAAGATCTAGTTTTTTTGTTTTTTTTAAAGTTTAGCACCCCTACCAATCAACTGATAATGATTTCATATAACCTGAAACCATTGTGAATAATAAGATTTTTATAACAATGAGTCGATTGACTGGCCATGAGGTGTTAAATTTTTGGCATAGTGTGTATGTTAGAGGATCATGATCTTTGTATCATTGTATGAAGATTTTTACAACAATGAGTCAATGACTACCTCGTATAAGGGTGATTTGATGCACCTGTTCTTCATGCCCATTAAAGTCAATATGAAATGGTCCCGGTTGGTACGGGTTGTTTGGATGAAATAGTTGAAACTACTACGGAGTAGATTTTAAGAGTGTTGGAGTGTTTTGTAAGTTGTAATATCGATTTGTGTCAATTAAAACGATACATATCAGCAGAATAGGCTGATGCATTTGGTCTGTAAATGGATGAAAGTTTGGTGAGTATAATTTTTGAGCTGGAAAAACAAACCAAATGCTTCGTTCATTTTTTGACAATTTTGTGAGCATCATTTTTTTGTGAGACTGCCAAGTTTTTGTTAAAGTAACATGCTTCAAATACAAAGTGCACCGTGATTGATGTTTACACTTTACACCGGGATACAAAGAAGCCCCTAAAATATTCAAGTACATACACTGGTTGAATGATCGAAATGAACTCTTGGTGTTTGGGGTTGAGGTACAATGATGGTTTATTTTCAAATGTCATGGGTTTATTTGAACATTTCACAAATAAACATTAATGGTGTATATTTGTACTTACGATAACTTTGGGGGCTTACTTGTACTTGGGAGTAAACATTTGCTTCGTTTGTTTCTACCCTTTTCCATGTTTTTTCAAGGTGTTCTTATTGGTAGAATGGTAACCACTCCCAACAAAATAAGATCAATGACATTTTTTTTGTGCTCATTGGACTTTCTTGATAAATGGCAGGTCTTCGATGGCATTCACTAGTATGGGGAACTTCCATTGTTGCTGCTTTTATTCTCTTCTGTTTTTCAGGCTAAAATTTTCCAGGTTTCTGCTCAGTAGTTTACTGTACTTTGCTTGTTGATGTGTTAGCTACCCTTAAAGTGTAAGCAATTACCTTTGTTTTGAACTTTTTTTTATATTGTACTTTGATGATCCACTAAGCCAATCAAAGGTCTTTTGAATTTAGTTAATCATGGTCCTGAAATTAAATATATCTGTGCTCTCATATATCACTAATTCTTCAATTGCCTTTCTCTTTTATGTTTTAAAATTCTAATGTCATTTTATTTGTGTACTCCGTATATTTTAAGGGCTTCTTTTTTGTCAAAATTTTATTTGAAATTTGAGGTCTGATACTTGATATTTGGAAACTGGTTACTGGAACATTTATTAAATGTTCTGTATAACGCAACACTATAATAATTGTTATAAGTGAAAATTGATAACTAGAACATACAAACTATAACAAATTTTAGTTGGAAATTGAAACTGGATACCTTAAGTGAAGATTTGCAACAGGTTTTGGTTCTTTTGTGCTGAAATTACAGCAATAATCTCCTAAACTGAACTTGGAATTCTTGGAGTAATAATAGCTGAGTTTCACATGGAAGGGTTCCAATAATACTTATTGGTCTTTATGATTTTTTTTAAAGTTTGTTTTACCCTCTTATTAGTAGAGTAATATGGTTGTCTTGTTATAACAAGTAGCAATTCAGCATCAGTCAAGTGCTTTGTTTCTTTGTTATGTTATTAACAAGTACTGCTTCCGCCCGAGTATATTTTTATCAACTTTAACCTTTTCAAGTCAAACTGGATGAATTTTAGACTTTAATTAGATAATGTGTAATGTATATTAATATAAAATTTATTTCATTAGATTTCTCTTGTTTAGAGTTTTTATAATTTATAATTTTATATTAATGTGCAATACAAATTAAGAGTAGTTGATGATTAAGATTTGTCCCGTTTAATTCGGAAAAGTTAAATAGGACAAATACACTGGGACAGACAAGAGAGCAAATAATCTTAAAAAATCACCCTTAATAGGAGCGAGATTGTTTTTATTTTCTAAATAGAAGTTTGCACTGTGGTAATGTAGCAAATGTACATGGGCATTTTACTTTACTTTTTTGTAATGTACATAATCATAATTGGTAATATAAATGTATTTAACTCTTATTTCGGGAATAAAGAACTCTTATTTTGGTATAGGCTAAAATCCACCATTGGTCCTTCAACTTTATCAATTTTGCACGATTGGTCCTTCAAGTTTCAAAAGTCCATAAATAGTCCTTCAACTTTATGAGTTCTGCATCATTGGTCCTTCAATTTTCAAAAGTCCATAAGTAGTCCTTCAGGTACACGTCAGCCCCCCATATGAAGTCCTTTTGATAGTAAATATTAAAAGTTAAACGAAATACTAGTTTCATATAATACGAGTAAATTCCACTAGGTACGACTACTGCGTATTATATGGAGCTAGTCATCCATTTAGTTTTTAACATTTACTGTCAAAAGGACCTCATCTGGAGGGCTGATGTGTACTTGAAGGACTATTTATGCACTTTTAAAACTTGAAGGACCAATCGTGCATAACTCATAAAGTCGAAGGACTATTTATGGACTTTTAAAACTTGAAGGACCAATCGTGCATAATTGATAAAGTTGAAGGACCAATGGTGGAGTTTAACCTTTTGGTATATTTTTAATGTTTTATTTTTCTTTTAGGCCATGTTTGGAAAATGACTTTTCAACCGGCATTTAGCAATTTTGACCATTGCTTTGACTAGTTAATCACCCAAAAAGAATGTTTGGGTTTGAAATTGGTTGTTTGCTCTCAACAGCTGAGTTTCTAAAGGCCGTGAAGAGGAGCGTTTCCAATTTGCCTTTCCGTTTATTCCTTTTTTACCCTTCGTCCTCCCTATCCTCTTATGCTCATTTTCTCCCTTTTATTTCCTTTTTAATTATTATAGTCCTCCGTATTATCTTCTATTTTTTTGTGTGTTCATATTTTGTAATATATCCTCCCTATCATTTATTTCATTCACTGTTTTTTAAAAGGATTTGAAAAAAAAATGATGACTAGAAGTTTATGGAAAATCTTAATTGGAAATGTTTTATGGAAACAAAAAAAAAGCCGAATTATGATTAGAATCCAAACGAGGCATGTTTTGTATTTGATTTTTTCTTATTAGATTTCGAATTTTATGCTTTCATCTAAAATCGAGTGAATTTTCTTAAATCGAGTGAATTCCAATTGAGTATGTTTTTATCAAAATTTATAAAAAAAACTAATTAAAATAAAATATTAATTAACATACGGAAGCATGTCGAAAAATGTAATTTTTACTATGGATAGTTGTTTATAAACAACTAAATTTGCCAAACAATTTTTTCTTAACTAATACAACCAGCCTGTTTTGGTTTGTACATAGTATAATACTTTAAATCTTTTCTAAACTTCATTTTGTAAGTATTACTCCCTCCGTCCTAATTTAAATCACCTATTTTGGTTTACGATGTTTGAATGAAATTATTTTTAAATCATTTTATATAAAAATGGTATAGAATTAAAAAATAAAAATTACATAGCTACATCAAAAGATCTACTCGTATAAAACTAGTAGTAACATGGCTATACTATTTTATCAAATTACTAACGAAAATAGAGAAAGAAGATTAATTAAGTTTGACCGTGTAAATAGTAAACATGCAATTTAATTTGGGACGGGGGGAGTATGTTAAATTTTTCATACGCTCCCTTTTAAATACACCGGTACTCTTAAAATTTTTATACCATACATTTTTTTAAATATCATTTCGAATATTTTCTGCACGTAATTCCATGTTTTCGTATATTGATTGGTGTCTAATTACTTTGCGAAAAATCTAGTCTACACCAATGAAACATTCATGCGTCGATTCGTATGGGTCGCCGCCTTCTTCTCTATATTGTCGACAATTCGGGACATGCTGTCCATTTTTTTATGCTACAATCAGATGCCGAGTGGATTTTACAAGTGTACAAAAGTGCACTACGGTGATTCGGCAATCATAGGTGTCCCAATTTAACTGATGTCAAATCAAACAATGACTCGTTTAATGTTTTATATAACGACGATAGTAGATTAGATAAATTTTCTACAGTGTAATTTTTTCCTTTGGTGAAAATCATGTATGACACAAAATACATCTATATCTTTTTTTCAACACAATGTAGGCCGTAATTTCTTCACCTGATCAGATTAGATCTGATTGGAACAAGTTCTGATGTGATTAGATTGTAAATGTATTTAAAATTGTTTCTGATCTAATCTGGTCTGATTCGAATAAAAATAAGTAATTACTCATTTATATTGGTCAAACACTATTCACATGGCCAAACTTTATATACTTTGTTTTCTTATTTTCATTACTCATTTGATAATATAATATAATCATACCGCCTCTAGTTTTGTAGATCTTTTGATTTAGTTTCTTAAAATATATTTTTTATTTTACACCGATAATCAAATAAATTGAATTAAAAAAAATTGGTCAAACATTTTAATGCGGACTCGAAAGATTCAAATGGAACGAAGGGAGCAAGTAACAAAAATAAATGAGGAGAAGGCTGTACTTACTCCGATTTCATTTTTCAATATCTTTTTACCATTAGGTTTCTTCATGAAATCAAATTAAAAATAGCAAGACAAATTTTGGACGAGAAGTATTTGATATTATCACGTCTCGTTTCATCCGTAAAACTTATATCAAATTAAGAGTAAAATCCACCCTATCTGGGGTATAGTATTCATCACTCACAAATTGATATTGTGTTGTCATTTTACAATATTTTAATTTCAACTCTTCGAAATTTAAAAAAAAAATAAAAGGTCATATTTTAACATTGTAAGGTTTGTAACTGTCAAAGTTTATTTTGCATTGGGAAGAAACTTTATTTATAAAAAAAAAAAGAAATCAAAAAAGGGAAAAACTGTCTTAATTAACACAGACATATTTCTAATAAATTAAAGGCAGAAAAAGGCCTGCATCTCTAAAACTTCTCCATTCCATTTTTTTAATTTTTTTTATTTTTGATAATACTATCGCCACTGCCTCCCAAATCAATCTCATCACCATCCCCGCGGCCAACGGCTGCCGCGTACGACGCCGGAAAAAGCAGCGTCGTCGAATGCACATATATATGGGAGATCCTCCGAAGTCTCCGAGGACGACGACGAATTTTTATTATAACATTCTAGGGATCTCAAAAACCGCATCGCTTGCGGATATATGCAAGGCCTACAAATGTCTTGCCCGGAAATGGCATCCCGATCGGAATTCCTCCAATCGGGATGAAGCTCAGGTCAAGTTCACCTCCATTAATGAGGCCTATAGGGTACGTTAAACATTTTCATTCTTCTCCAATTATTTATCACATGCATGAACATGCATTTAATTAAGGAAGAAAAAATCATTCAATTTTTTGTAAAAATGTTGAATTTCTGGAAGCGCAAATGATACTCTATAATTATGCGATTTTGGAATATTCTTATAAAATCTCAATTTTCTGAAGATATTTGCATGAATTTTTCCTCAATCCTTATTCTTTTTAATAATGATTTTTTTCTTTGTTTTAATGTCTAAGTCAAACAAAATATTGTATATATAGCTGAATTCAGGAATGCATTTCATGAATGTCTGTAATGTAAACTTTAGGTTCTTAGTATGAAAAAGAGGGAAGAAGCATGCAACAGGACGACATCCTTAACGGACGAAGAAGAAGAAAAGACACCGAAAAAGACGGAGAAGAAGAGGAGGGAGAAGAGTTTGTGATTTCGAGTCCGAGGCTTTTGTCTCGGACGACGAGCCAAGTCGTGCCCCCAGAAATCAGCCGGAAAATGTCAAAAAGCGCTAGCCGGAGGGGGAAGACTCCGCCGCCTACGCCGATGGACTTTTATGCCCACCTGCAGAAATCGACGCAGGGGGCAACCGGAAGCGGGCCGAACACCCCTTCTTCGTCATCGTCAGCGGCAGCACCATCGACACCCACGGGAGCGGGAAATAACCCGGCGTCGCTCTCGAAAATAACGAGCAGAAGAAACAACATGCCGCCAATTATATTCTCACAGTCGATTGCCCGGAGAAAGCCGCCGGCGGTGGAGAGGAAGCTGGAGTGCACGCTGGAGGAGCTATGCCATGGACGTGCTAAGGTGGTCAAGATTACAAGAGAGGTCATTTCCAACACTGGGTACGTATTCTTATCCCCTCCCTCCCAGAAAAAGATTAGATTAAGAACATATGAAGTACAATAGAAATTCTATGTTTTTATTTTCAAAATAGAGTATTTAACAGAGGAACCGCCCTGTTTATTTAAAGATAAGAACCACATTTTACTCTTTTATTTTGGGTGATTTGTACTACCAATTTGACTACTACATGTTACCAAAATAACGAAAACAAAAAATGTGAATTTTTTTTGAATGGGATGCTGCAGGTTAATAGTGGAAGAAGAAGAGTACGTGACAATAGTGGTGAAACCAGGGTGGAAGAAGGGGACGAAGATCACATTCGAAGGGAAGGGGGACGAGAAGCCGGGGATGCTCCCGGCGGACATAACCTTCGTGATCGAAGAGAAGAGGCACCCTGTGTTCAAGAGGGAAGGCGACGACCTTGAGCTGGGCGTCGAAATCCCTCTTGTTCAGGCCCTCGCCGGTGGCAGCACCATAACGGTGCCGCTACTGGGAGGGGAGAGCATGACTCTTGACTTGGACGATGATGTCATCTTTCCGGGATACGAGAAGATCATACCTGGCCAAGGGATGCCCAGACCCAAGAAGGGCATTGTTGATGGTGGTGGAGGACACAGGGGTGACCTTAGGCTTAGATTCATGGTTGGGTTTCCTGCCAACTTGAGTGACCAACAGAGAGCCGAGGTTGCAAGAATACTACAAGACTGTTCTTATTAATTAAATAAAAAGTCAAAAAAAATGAAAATTACAATCATTTTAACATGATGTAAGGATTGTTCCAAACATTTTTAGATGTCGATCTGGCAATGCATATTTCAATGGAACATAGTACTCCCTCCGTCCCATTTTAAATTGCCTGTTTGCCTTTTTTCTCCGTCCCAAAATAAATTGCCTGTTAGTTGTTTTCGTAAACTATTAAAAATAAAATACCTAAACTACCATTAAAATAAGTCATTCTTTTTCACATTATCTTCTCATTCATCATTACCCCTCTTAAAAAATAATGTCAATTTTGAAAAATCAACTCTATTTTTTATTTTCCTTAAATATGTCCAAAATCAAAACGGGCGATATAAATTGGGACGGAGGGAGTAACTTTTAAGAATCATCTCATTAGTCAACCAATGAATTTTTGGTGAAAAACACAAAAATTTGATTCTTACACACAACCTTATAGAACTATAATCATTTCCAAACACACACTCCTAAAACTCTATAGATAAATAGACTGAGAAGACAGCTTTTGAGTGAATGAAGGAACTTGCATCAAGAAAAAAACAAAATTTGAATCATAAAAATAAAAAATAGTGTATCAAAACTGACAAACAAGACAGTCCCCACAAAGGAGAACCCGGAGACGGGATACCAAAGCCTGCAAAATAACAAGACGGACTGTGTAGCATGATTTCGGAGTAATCGAAGGACTCAAATGGCGATTCTCCCTTAAATGAATGAATGCATACCTGTATAAAATCAAACCTATAAGAGTCTGAACTTATGTCTAGAAGACATAAATACCAAGTTGTGTATAGTTTACTGGTTCTTGAATTGGCCTCAGCTTTTAGGGGAAATTGCAGAAAGGGCATTGGCATGTGCGGGAGAAAGATTTCCCAAGAGAGGTTGCATTTGGTGGCCATAAATGTTAAACAATTGAGAGAATGATCTGCCAACGAGCGCCTTGACCTCAGGGGTTTCAACAGGTGAAACCGCAACCTGAGCAAAAATGTTTACCATTTCCGGAACTAAAGATAGGATCTGGATGATGAAAGGAAAACAATGTGTTAGGAGTGTCATAGAGAAGGGGAGGAAATTAATTTGGGTAAAAGTGAAAGAGAGAGGAGAGAGTGTGGGTACGTGGGAGTTGGACGATAAAACAAGACTACAGATGCAGCTATATACAGCCATTGATTCCTCAAGATCCTCTTTAAGGGGAAGCACTTTCAAGAAAACAGGTAACACCTATAAAAAATGATTTTAGCAAAGAACTATCAGGCTGAAATATTGAGAAAAAAAAAACACATATTGGGCAAGATGTCAACCTGATTCAATGGGATTGACTCTGGATGTGCCATGATCATCCTTGCTACTGCACCAGCAGCATTGTCTCTAACTGCATTATCTGGCTCAGATCCTCCCAATAAAGGGTAAAGACAACGCAAGACTTCACCGTAGTATCTAGCACGGATGTAACAAGAACAATGTCGAAAATAGAGACGACCCAAAAAAACAGAATGAGATGCGAAACATAAGAGATATATACAACTGAATACATGTTAGTTTGGGCTAACTTTATTGTGTAAATGCTTTTGCAGTTAAGCAGTTGAAAGTGCTTTTTAAATACTTAAAAGCATTTGTTTTCATTAGGTCCAACGCTTTTTTTACTTATCTTCCTCCAAAAAGAGCATGTTATTGTAAAATAAGTAATCCCAAACGCTCTCTACAATCTCTATCTAACGAGAGGGAACATTTGCAACAGAAAAAGTCCACTGGGTTCGGAATTAGTTCTTCACTTTGTAAATGCTCACTTTAACAATTGAGTTTAAAATGTCAATTAAGTCCTTCAAATATCACTCAAATAGTTTAGACAATTCATCATAATTTCTTTATTAAATATGAAAAGTGGACAACTAAGTGCCAAGGATACTTCAAAGCAGATTCGCCACCATTTTTGCACATTTCCCCGGCACAAAAAGCAGCATTCCTACGATTTGTTGGCTCGGGAGATGCTAATTCCTTGAGTACAAGGGGCATCACAGCCTGATGCATAAATTATTTTTCAAATATATGAAAACAAAGTTGAATATTAATGTAAAATGGAAAACTTGATTAAATTTACATGGATATAGTTGGCAATTGGGGCACCCATATGCTGAGTGACTTCTGCAAGACTTGCAACCACCATAGTCCGATCTTGTGGAGGACGAGTTGCTCTCTGCAATGACAAATAGTACATATTGTATTAAAGAGTTAATACTGATATCTCTGACCATGAACTATTTTCAATTTGGTTCTTGACTTTCTTGAGAGCTCAATTTGGTCTGCAACTATGCAATTTAGACTCTGTTTGATACTTACGTATGCTTTGCTTTAATTAAGGACAATTAATACCTCACTTATCTAGGACCAAATATGCAAGAAGACTAAAATGGGTCCACATTTCATTGTTGATAACGAAATTCAGTTAATAAAAAAGTTAAGACCTAATTGAGTAGGTGTTTAGTGGAGGGACTAAATCACATATTAACTTTGTGTTAAAGATGCAAACATAATTGGAAATGCTCAAAGGAAGGGCAGGATACAGCAGGCAGCTACTGCTGAATTACCGCAAACTTCATCAATGGATCATACAGCGTTGCAAATATAGGAGCAAACTGAGAACCCATTGCCTTGGCAAACGCAGGAAGGAGATCTGAAACAGCATCCATAAGCACTTCATCGTGTGCAGTGTCATCATCCTCCTCACTGTCTGATTCAAATGCCTGACAAGCAGACTGCTCATTGAGCAGCACTAAGGTTGCCTTTACAAGCTCATCCATATCTGCATTTGAAACATGAACAAAATAACATAGCTTATAAGTCTTTTTTTGTAGAAGAAAATAGATTTTAAGAAAGATTCCTAGACACTTTAAATTTACATGGCTCAATAGTCAGATATCCAAAATCCCTCATAATGTCAGCAATGCCTATGCAAGCTTGAGCAACAACTTCCTTATCATCATCTTCAGTCATTGCCTTGATATAGAAACCCATCACAGTAGCTGCCAAGAAGATATAAATGCAAATAGTGATTATAATAGCTCTAATGGTGAAGCCAAGATATTCTCAAGTGGGGGGATAACATCTCACCAAGCACATTGTTCGCATTCACTGTATCTTTCTGCAAAACAAAAGGAACAATAACAGAGAATCATTCACAAGAAATACAAAATTAAAATTTGTCCACTACTTGGCCAAAATTTCATTGCTGAAATAAAATTATAGCCAACCAAATGGTGCTTGATGAAATAATTAACATAAGTGATTCAATAGAAGAACGCATTGAAGATTCCTGATTTCCTATTAATAACTTAACCACGAGGTAACTGGAACAGGAAGGCATGATCACTTTGCGATTTGCAATATTTAAGTCAAAAAGTTGGTACAAGAGGATCATTTGCACATACATTATGATCTTGGACAATTGCATGAGTGGCTGTCAAAACATCTGCAAAAGAATGTAGATAGATTGACTGTTAGTTGCAGCCTATACTATTGTTACCATCAAACTTCAATACTGCAAAGCTGTACCCAAACATACAAAAGATAGAAAATTGGGTCTCTCCATTGGTTCATTAACAATGACATGGCCAATTCTAGTGTATTTTATGTGATATATTAAAAATAATAATGTTCCAAAGATGGTATGGAGATCAAATGAATTGAAATTCAAATACAACAAACTGCATAAAATAGTTGTGAATACATATATAAACACACACAGAGGTTAGAATCCAGAGTACAGAGCAATTGGAAGGTGGTATACTGGTATAAATCACGCAGTTCACTGCAACTTACGTTTAAGACCAATAATTGCCTGCAAACGAACATCCTCATGAAAGTATGCAGAATGCTTTACCATAATCCTCAATGTTTCTTCCAAGTATCTTGTAATAAATTAAGGGATTTAAAAAAACCCATAGTTACTACATTGTAGTAGTAGTGGTAGCAAGATAATCTCAAATATTTCCCTTTTAGGAAAGAATTGGGTGGTTCATATTCTTCCTAGCCTTCCTAAATAAATCTCAAATAACAATTCCATTTTCTCAAGCATTGTGCCAAAAGCAATTGTCAAGATAAACTTGGGACAACAACCTAGTTGAATCCCACCAAACTAGGGTCCGCAGAGGGTATGTGTACGCAGACCTTACCCTACTAGAAAGTAATAACAATAACAACAAGGATACGGTGCATAGAACTTCTTTGTGTGTAGAGCAAATAGGCCAAGGGCTTGAGTTGCAGCTGCCTTTTCATCCAATACACCAGTTCTTATACTGATATTTCGAACCCGTGCTTCATCATGTGCTTCATCATCAGATGAAACCCCGCCAAAACCATGAATATTCTCATCTCCATCAGAGTCATCGACATCCACAGCAGAACCATCATCAAGATTGCACGATGAAAAGGCCAAATGAACAACATGAGGAAGATACTGCCACAATACGACATAATGGCAAGTGACATCTTACAGGTGAACAGTAAAGAATATGTATACGAATCAAAAGGTTCATTAGCCAATGATACCTGAGCAAAACCATCACCTAAAATTTCTGCTACATTACTGAAGAACCCATGAGTATACTCCCGAAGTTCACTGAATTCTAAAGAAAACCCCTGACATGATAAATTGGTGAGCATAGTGTATGGAACGCTGTCAAAAGTACAAAATGCAGACAAGTAACAAAGTTCATTACAGAAATTGCAGCTTCAATGAAAGGAGGTAAAATGGACTCCATCCTTGTTCTTCCAGCTGACATTGCAACTATACCAACCAATTCAGTGGCTCTTGCTCGTGAACAGAGGTCTTCATCATTGGTAAGCACCATGAAATTTTTCATCAACTCCAAAACTCGCTCAGCGTACGGAACAAATGCTTCTTCTGCTGCTGATGCAACTGAACCAATGGCAGACTGTGACAGCATACCGGACATAAGAAAACAGAAAAATGAGAGACCATACCAATACATATCAAAAAAATAAAAAATAAAATATTCACTTCCCTTCTTTTTATCTTCCAGAGTCAACTCTTCCTTTGCATCTGCCTACTCGAAATATATGCACATAAAAATATTTTGTTTCCCAATTTACCTTCTTTATACTATTAAATTTAGGGGTGGGCAAAAAAACCGAACCAGCATGGTACCATACCGGACCGTAATGGTACCAAACCGTTTATATTGTTTTTAAACGAGATTAATTTTTTTCATCACGAACCGAAACCGAACCGATATCAAACGGGATGGGACCGTGATACAAATAATAAAACCGATTATCATGGACCGAATCGTTCAAAGCTAAATAAGGAGTATCTCAAATAATTATTTGTCTACTTTATCTTACCGTATATGGAGTACTTTGTATGGTATTATTTATTTTTAAAATTCTTTCATTTAATATTGTTGAAATTATATTTATTATTACTATTACCATTATTTTTTTAGAGTTATTAATAGTCTGATATTGTATGAATTGAAAAAAAATCTATTTTAAAAAATTAAACTCATCATCTTTTTTTAATGTTTATGGTGCTTTTAAATTCGAAATCAATACTTTTATTTAACAAAATTGTGCTTTTGTATACAAAATTATGCTTTTATTTTGATATTTTTTTAGTGATGAATGTTTATTTTTTTAGCACGGTTTGGACATGGTTATGGTATTGTACCGTTCCGTTTCGAAACGGAATGGTACCGAATGGTTTTAGGGTTCATACCGTACCAATACCGAACCGTTTAAATAAGAGCGGTACGTGATATGTTCCGGTGATATCACGGACCGTCACGGACCGCGCCCACCCCTAATTAAATTCGCCTTTTTCCCAAGAAGAAGATTAATGGACGTGCCTTTAAATGATGGCATTTTAGGTAAATTACAAGTTTATTTAAATTATGACTGAAAATTTTTTCTTATACTGTGTGGTTTGGTCAACCTAGACAGAAGGGAGGGAGTAGTAACAATAACAACATTTTTAATACCATGCAAGTCTCCTGCAAGTTACGGGGGCTACTTTGTAGACAATGAAGCAACTTCACCATCAAAGGATCCAGAAAAGGAAGAATCTCCTCGCCCATGTTCTCACAGAATGATGCCAGAGCATAATATGACTTTTCCTACACGGAAATGTGTTCTTTTAAAACACATAATATAAATGGACAATATTGAATCAAACATACTTATTTGACAGAGAAACTTCAAACCTTAACTTCATCAGATACATCCTCTATGGCACTTAAAATACAAGGAAGAACGCTTTCATAGTGAGAAACTATCTCAGGTTGCAGGTGCTCAGCAAATTGACCCATTGCAAATGAAGCTGCACCTCTCACCATCTGCTCGGGGTCTCTGAGGCCCCCTAATACAACCTGAAGAATGGGGGCCAGATTACTTTTCATGAGCTCCGAACAACCCTCTGATATAATACCCAGAGATGTGAGTGAAGCTTCCCTAAACTTTGTATTGGCACTTTGGATACTCATAGAGGCAAACTCAAAAACAGGAGGGAAAACGTGTTTAGGCAGCGCGATAGCAACAGTATCAATAACTTCTGCAGCAGCTCGATCTGGAGCAAGATCATCTTCTTCGTCCCTGTTAGAGGACTCTGCAAGCAATGGACACATAACTTGCAAAATTGGCGTTACAAGCTTGTACTTCTTCAGAGAATTGTGCTTGTATTTTGCAAGCCATGAGATTATTTGAATTGCCTGATAAGAAAAAAGGATAAAAATCATACAACAATAAAAGGAAATTTGGTATGAAAGAGCTGGAGCAAATTAGCATAACCATGTCAAGTAATTTCAGAAAGATCCATGTACCGCCATATGTTTATGTTTAACAGCAAACGAGAATCTACCTGATGGCGCGTGTTGGATTCCAAATTGATGCTAGAGCAAACCTCCAGAGAGAACTGCACGATTGCCTTAACTGAATCTCCAAGAAGAGGTGCAGGAGATTCTATAAACTCATCAAAAATTTCAAATGCAAGTATGGCAACATCCTCATCACCAGAAGCAAGACACTGCCTTGAGACATTCAATATACTGGGAATGAATTCGCGGAACTTAACCTGACAGCAGTACATAGAGAGAACGAAGAATTAAGGTTCCATTGAAAAAAATGTCACATCTATAACACCCACCCCACCACATGGGCTCATAGAAACAAGGGAAAATGCATACAGATATTCACACATTGAAGAGGAAAGCTAGACAAGTATTTTACATAGATTATGTTACATATCAGTGCAACTCCTAGATAAGTGAATATTTATTTCTGGTACCAATTTCAATTTTCCTTGGAACAGTAGGGTGAAGTTGATATTAAAAAGGGATATGCCACAGGTGACATCAAATTTGGTAAGGCTGTATGTTCTCACCACTTCATCCTGATCATTGATGAACTCTAGAAAAGATCCAACTGCCCTGTCAAATAAAGTTAATTCCAGCAGGCATGAGATGCAAGACATATATAAGATGATAAATAACTAGTTGAAACTATCAGAGACTGCTTTTCATTTTTTCTTGTTTTAAGAAAAGAATTACTTCAGGGCAGCAACTCTAACACGGCTGCTAGCTTCATCTTGAAGGCATTTAAGTAGCAGCGACTGCAGCTCCGTGAAATATGGTTGAAATGAACTCCCTATTGTTTCAGTTAAGGAGCTAAAAAGTATCAATCCAACCTTCACAACGCATATACAAAGGATATGATGCATTAGTCTAGTGAAGTGGGTATTCATACAAGATAAGTATTCATGTCAAAGCATTAGATGATTGAAAACATACTTCTCTGTGATCTTCTTGATGACTTTGACTGCACTGGAATAAGAATGGCAATAGATCAGGCCATTCACCAGCAGGAACTGCATACTTTGCAATAATACTTACCACATTAGCACTTGCTCGTCTAACTGGTGCACTGCAAAAATGAAACACATGATATTGAAGGAGAATGATAAACAAAACAATCAAATCATATTGCCATTGAGGGTGATAATCATAGGCCCAGAAAGTATATTTGAATCAATGCAAGTGAATGGAATCAGTTCGAATTCCCCAAAAAAGCAAAGAAGTTGTTCAATAAATACTGGAAGTATGAAGCAGAATTCACCTGTGTTCCACAGTGATGCTTTCAATTAGAGACTGCTTGACGAGCTGCCGGAGCTGAGGAGTAAGTTTGCCCCAATGGCCGGTGATCTTCTTGCGGAGGAGCACGGCGGCGAGCTGGCGGACGTTGGGGGTCTTTGCAGTACGTAGGTGGTGGACTAGGGCGGGGACCACCTGCGGATCCTTCGCGAGCCGCTTAATCTGGTCCTCCGCCTGCCTCCTGGCGTCATTGTCCGGCATCAGGAACTGAATAAGCAAAAGCTCCAGTGACTGCGCCATCGCTACCCACTCACTCTCCGCCGGCGTCCTTTACTTTGTAAGGGTTCCCGATTTCGCCGGCGATCCTTTCAAGTTTTTACCTCCCAAACGGCGGCTGAATGGTGCGCAGGGTTTTGGGGGTTAATTGTGCCAGCAGTTATGTCTACACGCGTCACTCACGTGCGTGGATTGCCACTTTGACACCTATGGTTGCCAATAAAAATTAAAAAGAATTTAAATATTAAGTCAGTGTTAGAAAAAAATTGAAAAGAGTTGTAAGGAACTGCACAGAGTTGGAAGAGATGTATTCCTTAATGCAATCTTCATGTACTTCTTAAATCCATATATATTATATTAATCTTACAATAACAATATGTTATAACGAATAAAAAAATTTGTAAGGAACTATAAGGAGTTGTAACGAATAAAAAAAATTACTCCGTATTTGTAAAACTGATGAAAAATCTGAGAACATTTACATTTCTTATGTTCACCATGAAATCACGGAAGCAGTACAAAGCACAATTTTTATTTTTCCCTCCTCTCATTTGGAATTTGGAGTTAACTTCTTTATATTCCTTTTTTTTCTTATTTTACGAAAGTCATTAGCCAAAGTTGTTTGGCTGTTCACTTAATCAAAAAAGTCAAAATCAGTCAAAAACTATCCGAAAAGTTGTTTTCCAAACACTGTCATAGTACCAAGTATTTGATCTGAATAGAAGTTTACATTGTTGTCCTAAAAAAAGAAATTGACACACTACTACAAGTGATATTGCCATTGTCATTGCTGCACTGAATTCGTAGAGCACCATCGACCGCCATCATGAGTCATTGAAATGTCTTCCTATAGCCGTCAGAGCACCGCCACCGATCATCTCATCAGAGTTGACCAGTGATTTTTACCACAATATAGAAAAATAAAATTATGTTACTTATATTTGTTCTTTTCATGTCAATTTAATAGAAGGCCCCGTTTGATACACGGAATTCAATTCCAATTCTGTTGTTTGGTAGCACAAAAATTATGTGAATTTGGAATTGGTAGTGCAAAAAATGAATTAAAATTGATGAATTCAATTCTATGGAATTGAATTTTATGAAATTTCAATTCCAATTCAAATCCAATTCCATTAATTCCGTATACCAAACGGACCCTAAGTATATTTCTTTATTGAGGGGAAACTTTTCAATTAATATGATTATTAATAAAAATAGAAGGAAAAGTTTTAAATTGCTTGACCCTAAAAAGAAGATTAGAGATGGAGTGATCGATCTGCAGCTACCTATACGTGACTTTAAAGCAAAGTTTTCTTCTTCAATCTTCCACATTTTCATATTTCACCATCATCATCATATTTGGATCTGAAGCTCAGGTTTGATCTGGTTCAAACAAGCTTCAATTACAGTTGTGCATTTTTCTTTCTTTTTTCTTTCTGAAGCAATCTGTTGTTGCTGCTGCTGCTTGGAAGGGGAACGATGTCGTTTGAAGAGGACGAGGAGTCGTTCGAGCACACGCTCCTGGTGGTGCGCGAGGTGTCGGTGTTCAAAATCCCGCCGCGCCCCACCAGCGGCGGCTTCAAGTGCGGCGAGTGGCTTCAGTCCGACAAGATCTGGTCCGGCCGCCTCCGGGTCGTGTCCTGTAAGGACCGCTGCGAGATCCGCCTCGAGGATCCCAACTCCGGCGAGCTGTTCGCCGCGTGCTTCGTGCTTCCTGGCCAGCGGGAGGCCTCCGTCGAGTCGGTGCTCGACTCTTCCAGGTACTTCGTCCTGAAGATCGAGGATGGCCGCGGCAAGCACGCGTTCGTCGGGCTAGGGTTTAACGAGCGGAATGAGGCTTTTGATTTCAATGTCGCATTGTCCGATCACGATAAGTACGTCAAGAGAGATCATGAGAAGGAGGCCGGAGATGGTCAGATCAGCGATGCCGATGGCAGTCATATTGATATTCATCCTGCTGTAAATCATCGCTTAAAGGTCAGAAATCTTACAGCTTCCAGAATTTTCATTCCTTGCTCACACTGATTGTTTCCGTCCACTCGGCACTCTCCATAACTGTCAACTTGATGTTTGCTAGCTTTCAGAAGCCCAAGCAAAAGAGATGAAAATGAAATACCAAAATTTGACTTTTTTTTTTCTTTGTGTAAAATTGGGCGAAATTCGACAGCCAATTCACAATGAAATAGAGTTTTGAAAGCTTTTGCAAATAAATCTAATAAAATTATATTTCATTTAATGGATGATCAAAGTTCATCCGGTTAAATAATGTGTGGTGGAGGAAGTATATTATTATCAGCCCCTTTGTGTATCCAATTGTGAAATGTCTATGCGTGTATGTTTAATTGTTTACTATTTGTCAAAAAAAAAGTTTCTTTTCCAATTTCTATGTTATGGGAAACTGGTAACACACTGAGGGTGTCTTTCCTGAGCAAAACCTTTATGGGTTTAGATACCTCAGATATGGAGTTTCTAAACCTAGTGTTTGGTGAACAAAAAATATTGCATACGATGGTGTCTTTGGTGAACACTTTTGGGAATTCTCTATGTGATTATCTTATATAAGATGGTGTCTGGCCTGTTTAAATACTGCAGGTAGTGGCTCTGTTTTCTAGGGGTAAGACTTCGTACATTTTGACCCCCTTGGACCCCCACAGACTTGGGATTATATTGGGTTGTTGTTATAGTTATGTGGAAAAGTGTGTTCTTGATCTGCATTTGAGTAACAAATTCAATAGTTTTGTTCATAGGAAGGAGAAACAATAAGAATAAATGTGAAGAACAAACCTTCTAGTGGAGCAGGGATGCTTTCAGCTGCTGGGTTGTCTAGTGGGCTATCTGGAACTGGGAAAATCAACACACTAAGCATTGCACCACCACCAAGTGTGGCCGGAAAAATCAGATCTCCTCTTCCACCACCTCCAAATGACCCTGCCATTTCACGCAAGATTTCTTCCACTCAGGGTGTTGCAGACAAGGTGTCTATGGGCAGTGCAACCCGTTCCACCGATCCTTTATCAAATCTCTCTTCGATCAAGGTATTGTTTTGCCTTCATCGTTTTGTCTAGCTTTGGTTGTTTTTGTTTTGTAGTTCCACTTTGCCAATTAGAGTGTTGTGTGGAGTATATCTATAGATGTGTGTTTGAATAAGAAGAGCAAGATAAGTTTGCAGATAGTTGTGGTTCAAGGTGCCATGACTAGATGTGATATTGGCATTGCCCTAAAAGCCACTTGGGCTAGGGGGGAGGGACTTAGGTTATAGACATTTATTCGTAGATCTTTTACATGAAGCACTCCATAATTTGCACTGTTTTTATTAATTGAGTTACTAGGGGCGGGTGTTCGTGGGGGGATTAGGAGTTAGAAACCACTTTGCACTCCATAATTTGCACTGTTTTTATTAACATCTGTCCACAGTGTCTGTGTACAACACCAAGATTTGTACACCCAATGTACCACAGACACATACACAACAATAGTGTGTTTGGACATTTGCACAAGTGTGATCACAGACACACCACACAGAGACAATACTTGATGTACAAGTAGGATACACATCTTGATGTACCCTTAACACAACCCATAATAAAGGTGCTTTTATTTCCATTGATTCAATGGGGTATACAATTTTCCTTTTATGCTCTCTCCACATTCGTCATATTACTGTGATTTGTTTGGACAACTGCAGGAGAGCCTGCCATCGGAAACTGGATCGCGATCTAGCAAAGCAGCAACAACAGCGGCAGCGGCATCGGGATGGGCAGCATTTTGAGCATAGGGTGTGTTTGGCTGAAATATATGTTTTTAACGGTTGTACTAACTACGGAGTATTATCATGGCAAACTTTTGGGTAAAGGTAATTGAGCTGGAAAGTTTTCCCCCCTTTTAAATAGAGTATATCTGTATCTGTTTTCATTATGGTTGGTTGATGGTATATGATTATACAAAGTATAATTTTTTTATTATTTAAAAAATATGGATTGTGGACTTTCTGGTTCCACACCTACAGGCTATACTAGGAATGTTTAGTTTGGGTGAGGGAGATATGTATTTGTAATTGAACCCTGGCAACATATTTAGTCTCTCTAAAATAAGTAAATGAGTTAAGTGCACAGTTTACCCCGTACTCTTTAGAAATTGCATGTTTTACCCCTGAACTTTAAAAAGTGCATCCATTACCCTTGAACTCTTCGAAAATTGCACGATTTACCCCCGCAAACTAAAAATGCACCAAATACCCTTGAACAAATTAAAATGTTGCATCGTTGGTCGTAAACTATTAGATAGAGAGGGTGTTGCTTCCACGCACAAGAATTGTGAATATCATTCATCTGACCCTTGTGAATTTTCCAAAATATCTTTATCCAAAATTGTCATCTTTATTTAAATGTTAAGGAGTAAACCTTACAATTTTCGAAGAGTTCAGGGGTATTTGGTGCAATTTTTATTGTTCAGGGGTAAACCGTGCAATTTCTGAAGAATTCAGGGGTATTTGGTGCACTTTTTAATGTTCGGGGGTAAACCATGCAATTTTCAAAGAATTTAGGGGTAAACGGTGCACTTAACTCATAAGTAAATTATGTTTTTTTTTGCACGTCTAACCACTCTGTCGCCTACTCCTTGCCCGCGGCCACCACTTCGCGTTGAGCATCTCGGAATACTACCCCTGCACCTACTTTCTCATCTTTGAATATCCCACCCTGACTTCACTGATATTAAGAATTATTAGTGAAATAATTGCCAATTTTTTTTATAAAAGGAAATATTTTAGACCACGTATCATGTCTTAAAAACAAAAAAAATATACTAGTATATTTTGTGATGGGTAAGAAAAAAGCTTAAAAATTATGTAGGATAAAGGAGTCTAAAATAATTCTCCCTCTGAAACGTTCTAACCGCTGACATTTCATTAGTTAACGCTTTTTTAGCCAGTACAATATAAACAATTTATTTTTTATTTCTGTACCAATATTTATATTAAAATTTTTTTAAAAAACAAAACATTTTGCCTCAATTTTAAAATGTGATAAACATTTAGGGACTAGATATCGAGTATAGTTTAAAAATCATGTGCACTCCCCATTTTACCCATCCCCTATCGTCATTTAAAACCGCAAGTCTGCAGTAGATTTTAAATTAAAATCCATTTCTATTCTTCAGTCTATGCATACTCCTTATATAACTAATTTTTGACTTGTTTTTTAGCTAAAGGAGAATTAAAATTGATAAAAACAATCGCTCCGCTGGTTCCCTCACATGATGGTACAAAAAACACAGAAAAGAGTTAAATTAAACCAAATTTTATAGACATGAATATAATATCTCTCAATATTAGAATCTTTTCAATACCTTCATTTTAAATGTCAAAATCCAAACAGATTCTTACAAATTTTAAAACACATGTCATATTGTTCTTATTTCGCTGACGAAATAGGCCCTACAACAACAACAACATCCCAGTTAAATCTCACTACAGTAGGGTCTGGGGAGGGTGTGTGTACGCAGACCTTGCCCCTACTCGGAAGTAGGGAGGCTATTTCCAAGAGATCCCTGGCTCAACCTGCACAAAAATATGGAAGAGAACACAGTATAGCACGGGTAAAGCACCAAGTACAAGCAATAACAAAACATTCCAAACAAACACAACACACTACAAACAACCTCTACAGTACCGAGCTCCTATCCATCTACTCTAATCCTAGTTCTCCAAAGGTTCCTATCTAAGGCCATATCCTCAGTCAAGGTGAGAAGTCCTAAATCCTGCCTAATCACCTCCTTGCAATTCTTCCTAGGTCTACCCCTTCCGCCAGCATCCCGCCGTCTCACATGACCAAACCATCTCAACCTCGCTTCCCGCAACTTATCTTCAACTGGCGCCATGCCTACCTGACGTCGGATAACTTCGTTCGAAATCCTATCCAACCTAGTCTTCCCACACATCCATCGTAACATCCGCATCTCTACCGCATGCAGACGACGCACATGAGTCTTCTTAACCGCCCAACACTCTGCCCCATATAACATAGCAGGTAGGGATGGGCGTGAAATCCATTCCCGTTGGACCGTTCCGAAAAATCCCGGATCCGTTTTGTAATTGTACCGATATATTGGGACACATTTTTTTTATCCCGAACGCGTTCCGTCCCAATATCAAATGGGACATGAGCGGGACAACTAAAATTTATACCGATCCGTCCTGTTTGTCCCGTTTCATATACTCTACTAATATATAATATTAATTCTAGTTCAAAATCCAAATACACTCATTCTTTAATTAATTAGTTATTTAATTAAGTTAACTTCATAGGCTTGAAAGTTATTTGGACTCATTCCACTCATTGTTTTTTGTTGGATGGCTACATGTTTCTTTTTTTTTTGAATGAAATTTCATCATCTCCCCTTCTTATACTTGCGATTTAGGACAAAATAAGATGACCCGAATCTGCCCCGTTTTATTCCGATACCGAATTTTATGGGACAAACCAGGATAAGGTTGTAATCCGAACCGTTCCGAACCGTTTGTATATAACGGGACAAGACGTGGGACAACCTAAAACCCGAACCGTCCCGATCCGTGCCCACCCCTAATAGCAGGTCTGACTACGAATCGATAGAACTTGCCTTTCATCCTGGGCGAAATCTTCGGATCACACAACACTCCTGAAGCTAACCGCCATTTGGCCCAAGCCACTCCAACACGATGTCCAACATCCCCATCTAACTCCCCATCAGCCTGGATAACCAAGCCAAGATAACAAAACTTGTCTACCTTAGGTACTAGGTGAGAGTCAATCCTAACTTCCACTTCTGATTCTGTTTCCCAGCCGCTGAAACGACATTCCATGTATTTAGTCTTGTTACTACTTATTCTGAATCCTTTAGTCTCAAGGGCAAGGCGCCATAGTTCCAACTTATCGTTAAGTCCCTCACGTGTGTCGTCGATAAGCACAATATCATCCGCGAGAAGCATGCACCATGGGACCCCTTCTTGAACACCTTGGGTTAGGACGTCCATCACCAGGGCGAACAAAAAAGGGCTAAGGGCAGACCCTGGTGCAACCCCATCCCTACCGAGAAAGACTCAGAGTCACCCCCAGAAGTCCTTACCCTGGTCATAGCCCCATCGTACATATCCTTGATAGCGCGAGTGTACACGATGGGAACTCCTCTCGTCTCCAGGCACCTCTATAAGACCTCCCTTGGCACCCTATCGTACGTCTTCTCAAGGTCAATAAACACCATATGAAGGTCCTTCCTAGCCCTATACTCTTCTATTAACTTCCTCACGAGATGAATGGCCTCTGTAGTCGATCTGCCAGGCATGAAACCAAACTGGTTCTCAGAGATGCAAACCCCTTTCCGCACCCTATACTCAATGACACGCTCCCAAACCTTCATGGTGTGGCTAAGCAGTTTGATGCCTCTGTAATTCTCGCAGCTCTGAATGTCACATTTGCCTTTAAACAGAGGAACCAAGAGACTCTCCCTCCACTCATCAGGCATCTTTGCTGACGAAATAGGCCCTAAACCCCCTCAAATGTTCTTTTTCTTCTAACTCAATAGACAGCTAAACACTAATGTATCATAGAGAAGCAGTTTAAGCAAGGTTTCATGAAGCATTTTTTTAGTTATATTTACCAATGGAGCTAGAAAGTGTCATCATTAATATAGTTTATATTATAATTTAAACCAAAATGATACATTAAACTTAAGTACTCGTGCTTTCTTAGCTACAATATGTTAAGAATTTGCCAAAATCAGCTTTTTTTATATAGAGAGCTGATGAAGAATTATGCGCAGAGCAATCGGTTGTCAGTGTGGGTTCTTACCTTGGTCCATTCACTCGGTTTCGTAGCGCTTCAACGCATTGTTGAGTTTGTATGAGTACATAGCAAACTGCAAGCGCAATGACACATAAAGAAGGGAATTAAGAAGAGTCTATTTCATTGTAAGAGATTAGAATTTAAAAAAACATATAAATTGTAGTAAATGAAATGTGCACACTTGTTATAGTGGCCAAAGATGTGAAAAAACACAAGTTATTTATACCATTTACTCCATATGTGTGAGCAAAATTGAGTCTAAACATAGTAATTAATGAACGAATCAACAACGACAACCAGAACGTTAAAGAGAGGATGGTGGGTGGTTCCAACTAGTCTATCAAATTAGTTATAATTATCTTATGAGCGAGTCGAGTTACTCCTACTCTATCTTTAAATCTATAAACTCCTCTTTTCCAAACATGTTCCATGATAGAAATGAAATATGAGTACCTGTTTCTCGACCTCCTCGAGTTTAAGTTTCAACTGTTGGCACTTGGCTGCTCCACTCTCTCTCACTGAGTTAATCTTTGCATTCACAGCATCCCCCTAATTTGGGAAACGTTTATATTTTAGCCACCCTCTAATTCAAGTTTGATGACATACAAACATACATACATACGCACATACATGATACATCATACATGCATACACACATACAACAAAAAAACCTTGTAAAATCCACAACATTAGGGTCTAGGGAGGGTGTGGGTACATAGACCTTATGTCCTTATCCCTACTCGGAAGTAGACTCTAGGCTCAACATGGCATCACAAAAAAAGTAAACACAGTAGCACAAACAAATGAGAGGTCATAGGTTTGAATCTCAGTGGGAGTATTGACTTTTTGTGTTTTAGTAGGTTGAGAAAGTGTGTATGGACATATAATACAATGTAATAGAGTTAATAGTACACAAAAAAAGAAAGAGGTACCTCAGCAATGACCGTTTCAACCTGTTTTTGCCTCAGCTGAAGACCACGCCTAAACGACTCGACTTCAAACTTCACTTGGTTTAGCTCTTTCATAGCCTCCTCGCGGGCGTGTGCACATTCTTTCTCTACTTTCCTTTTCATTTCTTCCAAGTGGTCCACTTTCCCAACATCAAATAACATCATAAATCAGTGCAATAAAAACATAAAAACAATGATTCAAAGAATGGATTGGTGGAGCTACCTTTCCCTTGCATTTCAACCAGTTTAGCATCAAGTGATTTGTCTAACAATTTATCTTCACTCTGCTTAGCTTTGAGAGCCTTTATTTCCTTCTCAGATGATTTAACTGAATTCACCTAAATTTATACAGATGTGTAAACACTAAGATAATGTTTGGATCTCAAAAAATGCAAGGGTAATGGAATGAATTACTGAGGAAAGTTGTCATCATTGTTAATGACTTAATGTCTATAATAAATGCTTTTCCCTCTAAATTTTGTGTTAACTAAGTTCTTAAGAAAATAATCTCTATACAATATAAATGAAATAAAAAATGAGTTTGATCAAATATCTAAATAGAGTTATTGAGTTCAAATCCATTGTCTTCTACTCCATTATATCAATATTTGACTATATTAGTGTATTTTATTGTCTTTCAGTAACATTGACTCTATCTGTTAGGTACTGTAAAATCTGAGAAAATATACCCTCCCTAGACCCCATGTCCCCACGTGTGCGGCCTCCCAGAGCCAGTGTATGAAAAGTATGCCAACTAGAATGTATATTAAATAAGAACATGTAAATGGAAAAGCAAAATGGCACAAGAATGCCAACACACCTGCTCTTGTATAGCTAGCATCTGCTCCAACGATTTAGACATTTTCTTCTGAGCCTGGTGATGAGAGGGAAAAATAGAAAGGAGATGAAATATTGTGAAAATGCTGTGTCTTACGCACAGTTAGAGTATGAAGTATTTCCAATGGGATTTCAAAGTCAACTAGAACATAACCTCCTCATTCTTGTACTGTGTTTTGTTTCTTCAGGGACGGTTAAGACTCTTTGTTTGATGATAAAATCATTCACAGAGAATTCATGTAATATACAATACACTTGTTTGTGGGATTTTACTGGGTTGTTGTTTGAAGATGACATCGTATATGCAATGAACAATCCAACTTAGGAATCCTATTTAAAAACTGGAATTTCAACACAATTACAAGTACCTTTCACAATTTTACTATATGAGTCCATATAGCTAAAGTTTAAACATAATACTCCTTCCGTCCCAAAAGTATATGTACCCGCTTTACCTTTATGGACATCCTAAAAACACATCCAACTTTATTTTTATTTTTTGCAATGAACATATGATCCAGAGGATTTCTCTCTCGTCTAAACAAATTCTAAGCAAAACCTTTTCACTTTTTAACACGTTCCTTAAACTAAGTGAATGTCAAAACTCAAAATAGTTCGATTTTTTTCAGACGGATGGGAGTATGATTGATTTCAAAATCTAAATAGAGCTTTTAAAATAGCAAGAACAAATAGAACCCAGAGTCCCATGCTTCATGGCATTGTAAGTTTATGAAAAAACATGGTGGCATGATAGGTCGAGGGTTATATAAATTCTAACTCAAAATGTGCACTATTGTTGTTTTAAAGATGGGCTCTGGAAATTAAGCAGACATTTGTAAGAAAAACTAGTTTTGAACACATTTCTTCAAAAAAAGAGAAGAAGAAGTCATATTTAAATAATAAAAGTGCCTGAATGATTGCAAAGCATACCTTTGCATACATTTCAAGAATAGCATTCTTATCCTGTAAGGATTTCATTGCTGCCCTTTCTGCGTTGTTTGCCTCAGCTTGTTGAGACCTTTTTTATTCTAGGGCCCTCTATGAAATTGTAAAGTGAAGAAATAATGTTTTGGTCAAAAATTAAATATAAAATGAAGAAGTGGTTAGTGATATCAGATACTAAGCGATAAGTAGACATGTTGATACCTGAAGCTTGTCCGGAGATTGAACAATTTTGGACCGTAACTCCGCATTTTCACGAGCACTTTCCAACAAAGCGAAATCAGCACTAGAAATCTTTGGAATAAAAGATGAAGCATATCAAGACAGAAAATTAAATGTAGTAATCCAAACTATAGCACATTATAGTAGAACAAAAAAACAGAATATTCACCCTTGATGTTGCAGATTTTAAGAAGGTTAAGATGGTTTGAACATATTTAACTTCAGACAAGGTCTACTGACTCCTTGGCTGGAAGGTGTTATAACTGATTTTACATTGACATAGGAGTACCCGAGGAGGTGAAAGGAGACAGAGTAAAAGTGTTATGACCGGTTTAGCATCATGAAAACTATAGCCCTTAGATTCATTTTGATTAGTGGTGTTAAGGTCTGGTAGAGTTGTAGCCTTAGAAACACAACAAACAATAAACAAAACATCTGCAAACCTGCTCATCCAACTCATGTGCTTTCTCCTTCATCTTCTTTGTTTCAGACTTTAAGGTCAGCTGATGGTTGTTAAGACCGGAGATAGCCTGCTTCAATCCCCTAACTTTAGCATCCTCTTCTTGCACAAAAGGTGTTTCCTTCTCCCTCGATTCATTGCATTCAGCAATCTTTGCACTCAACTGTGGGAGGGTGGATCAGTAACTTCACACCTTAAGTCTTAACATGTTTGTTTCCATTTTCCTCAAACTAATTCTATATGAAGATTGAAGATAAACCTGGGATATTTTCTCCTCTAGAGCTTCTTTTTGCTCAAAGAAAGCATTCAACTCATCTGCTAATGATGTCAGTTCATCCATTTTGACTTTCCTAAGAGTTAATACAATACAACAACAACAGAACCATTAAAGTCCCTACTTGATATTAGAGAGATTATTTCCAAAACACATCAGCTCAAACACAAAAGCATAAGCAAATAGGCAAACATATGTTACAAAGAACATTAACACAAAAAAAGTAATAACACTCACTAAGGAATCTCTCATACCAACACTGCAGACCCAAAGCACATAAAGCACAAGAGCACAAACTAAGGCCCATAAGTTTACCCAAATACTCTAATCTTAGACCTCCCATGGAATCATATACCCTTCTCATGCTCACTGCTGTAAGCCTCTTGGAATGTAATACCAGAAAATAAGCAAGGGTGCTTGAATTTATTCATCACAAGAAAATTCAAATCTATTTAATACTCTAGAGAGAGTTGCAGCACAGACATGACAAATGTACCTGTGCATGCAGAAGTTAAGAATAGAACCAAGAAAGAGCTTGGTGCGATCCGGATCGGGATTAATCAAATCCCTAAGTGTAAACCTCTCGGGGCACTCGATAGCACCCAACAACCCTCTTACCTTCTGATAAAAATTCATCATTGGGATAGCAGAAGCATGGAGCTCCGGGTTGTCGAAGACCTGTAAGGCACCAAATGCAGCCTGCCCGTCATCCTCCCTGCCAAACACAAAAGCTCAAGAATTTCACACGCAAATTGAATCTGAAACAGCAACTCCGGTGGACTAATGAAAAACACAGAATATGGCGTTTACTGGAGCAAATCCAAGTAGCCGAGAAGGAAGGTGTAGAGATTTTCAACCAGTTCTCGAGCGGGATTGAGAAGATCATGCTCGCCTATGGGGATGTCGAATCCGAAAAGAGCTAGATAGCCGACGATCTCTGCCCGGGTGATGTCTGGGTACTTAAAAGACGACATTTTCTCCGCCGCCCGAAAGTTTTGTTACCTGCGGAAAGCAAAGGCAAGTTGCAGACCAACTGTTTGCTCTCGGATTCAAAGTTTGATGAACCCACCGCCGGAATGACAAACTGTTTCACCGGCCAACTGGCCGACTGTTCGCAGACAGACCAGCTGTTTCTCCGGCCAATTTCGTGATTTCGTTTTTGCCTGCAAAGGGGAAGGAGAAGAGAGCCAAATGCTTGGTTCAAAATTCAAATATTTGGATGAAGGCGAGCCGCCATTGTTTTTTTTCCAATAAATTTGGGAAAAAAGTATCTAAATAAAAATTTAGATACTCCACTTTTTATTGCACATAAATTATGAATAAAAATTTAATACACATCATTCTCAAATAAATTATCAAGAAAGTACCTAAATAAAAATTTTATATTTTTATTCTTAAAATAAAAGTTTACACGATAGGAATCTGGTAGATTTTATATTGACATTCGTACTTCCTCCGTCCCCAATTTGATTACAATTTTTTCCTCACCTCTCGATAACGTTTGTTTATTTACGCGATTTCATTTAATATTTGATAAAATAAAATATTCTTGTCACCTCTTGTTCTGTAGAATTTTTGACGTAGTTTTTTAATATGTAATTTTTATTTCTTATCGATATACCAATTTGTAAATAAAATAATTTCAAAAAGTGAGATATTTTTCCACGTAAACCCCAATTTGTAATCAAATTAGGGAAGGAGGGAGTAATATTTTTGGTATTTATGCTTACATCATTAGCGTTGTATTGGTATTTTAATTCTTATTTAAGAAACAAGGTCATGTTCTCTTTAACGGATCTATTTGGAATATGTTCTAATTTGATTTGATATTGGTATTAAGTAGTTATATTTAAAGTTATTTCTGATCTGGTATGGTCTGATTTGATACTCCTCCATTTTGGACAATATCGATGCTCCGTTTACAAAATTGATGGTTCCAATTTGTTCTAACTACCCCCTAAACCTCTTACCCCAGCCTCCCTCATCCTAGTCCTCATACTCTAAACCTCATTCCAGGAATGCATAATAGTCACACATTTAGATGATGCATAGGGGAGGGAAGGGGCTATGGTGGGGGCTGGAGTGGAGGTGTGATAAGAGATTTCATTTAGGAGATATGAATCATCAATTTTACAAACGGAACACCCAAAGTTCTTCAAAATGATAGTGGCACCGAAGTGTCAACCTAACAATGGAACCTCACCGTTAAAAAATTTAAGTTTTCCTAATTGTTTTAAGTGTGTGAGAGGCTTCCCAATCCGGCTCGGCCCAGCCCATCACTTATCCCACCAGGCGTATTTATTCATCAAGTCCCCTTCTTCGTCTTCAAATCTCCCGTCCTTCTTTGTCTTCAACTCATCAGATCCCGTCGTCTTCTGCAAGTCTTCGAATCCACCCGACCGACCTTTGAAGATCTTCTACGGTATGGCCTCTTCTTATTCTTCGTCTTCTTCTTTGTTCTGGTATTTGTTCTCAATTTTACTCCGCGAGCACTTTTCTAGGCAGTAATGGCGTTTTTTCTCTGTTGAAATTTCCTTTTTTTCTTCTCTATTTCACTATTTGTTCCCAACTTTGTGCAGCACGCACTTGATTAAACCTGTGTTCTCTATAAACATGCTGTAATTGAATTTTTTTCCTCTTTGTTTTACTGCTCCCTATTTGTTCCCAAATTTTTGCCGATTAAACCTAAAATAATGCATATTCATCTCACGGATTCGATGTTTATTCGCTCCTTGGACTATCTTGTTATATTTTTCTGGAAATCACAGTTTTTTAAGGAGAAAATCTGGCCATTTCTGTTGTCTTAAGAGGAACAAAGTCACCTTTTAGTATTAGATGATCTGAGTGTTGGTTTTAAATGTTTTAGATGAGTATCATGCACGAGATTGTGAAAGAATCGCAGGCAGTAATGAATGAACTTCATAAGATACAAGGGGCACTGGTTCAGAGGCAGTACCTCTTGAAGAAGAATCTGGCTCTAACCAGATTTGGATGCTGTGGTGAGTAACATAATATTGAAACAACATACATTTCAATTGTGTACGTTAAAAAAATATTGTAAAATAGTATGTCCTTAGTATGAAACTAATGTAATTTTTTTTCTAGTGTGTGCTCTGGCCACTGGGACAGCCGTTTTTGTCCATTTGAGCTCTAGAGTGTCCACTGCCCCTGCAGGCGTTGCTGCCCGTGCCCCTGCTGCCCCTGGGACGGTCTAGGACTCTAGGTACTATGAATGACTAGAATAACTTTCAGCCTTGAAAGCCTGAACTTAATTAACTACTGTTAAGTACTAATGATGCTTATGACTACATGAAATTTTACTTGGTAGTAAAAATTACTTGCTGAAATAGTATTTTGAAAATCCGATTGAACCGCAGAGGTTTGCACAATGCACTAGTGACGCACTTGGTTCAATCACTGTTTTGATTTCGAAAACTACAAATGTCGCACTTGTCTGTAAAACGGGCATGTAGTGTCGTGTTCACTCCTTTGTATGTGAGAAGGTGGATTGAAAATGAAGCGCCTTTAATATTTTTCGTAGCATTTTAGTTATAAATGTTACAAAATTGATCTAGCTGATTAGAACAGAAATGGGTGAATCGGGCATTAGATCAGTCCGGTTGGAAGCAATGGTATGAGCTTGAGTCGATTTTGAGTTGTTTTGTTGTTAAGTAATCTGGCTAAATGTACCTATTGTCTCCGAACTAATTTTGACGAAAAAAAAGTCACAAGTGAACAAAAATTCAAGGGCAGAGGGAGTGTACCATTAAGTTGAGAAACAAAAATGATATTGTAACACAGCTCTTTTGAGATACTCCGTAAAAAACATTGAGTTTTTAGGCCCATATGAATGGCACGGTCCGATTAATTAATTTGTAACATAGAGTTTTTTGGGCCATAATTTTTTGCAATTTGATATACGGAGTATTATCTTTTTTTTTGTTGTCAACTACACATAAAAATTGTCTAAGTCATCATTTAAAATGACTTGTATATCGCTTAGGTGGGAGGTAAAATTAAGTACTCTCCCATTTCATTTTAAATCACTTGTTTCGGTTTACGATATTAGGCTAAGGTTATTTTTAAATTATTTTTTGTAAAAAATGTTGTAGAATTAAAAAACAATAAAAAATCTATAAAATTAGTGATGACATGATTATATTATTTTATCAAATAGCTAATGAAAGCATGATAATAAAGTAAATATCACACAATCATTAGAATTAGAAGTGGATCTTGGTTTGTACTTGAAGTCACTTGGCCCAATACATCCATCACTAATAATGAGAAAGAATCCTATGCAATATTTTTTCAACCTGTGAACTTCTTTTATGGAGGGCATTTGTGTAACTCCCCACCACAGAATCCTATGCAATATTTGCCCAAGCATTTCATAAACCACATTTAAAGTGCACACAATCCCAACACAAAGCTTCTTGTTCAACCATAACAGCAATTCACAGGAAAAGCTTCATGTTCATTAAAGGAAGAAGATGAAAAAGCTTCAAATGATTCATTCATTCATTCATATGATGAAAAGATACATATGGAGCCTGCAATCATCATCTTCTTCCACACATTATTCATTCATTCATTCAGTCTCACTTCCAATTAAGCCTTTCTATCACAGTGATAAGCCCTTGAGTCCCAAGCTTCCCATCTCCATTGGCCACCATTCCTGCAAACATCTGTTTCCCCAATGCTGCACCAGGCAACACCACCACCATATCCTCCTCCGCCGCCCCCCCCATCCCCATGTCCTTCACCATGTACTCCGCAAACCCGCCGGCCCTAAAGTCCCTCTCCACCATCCTCTTCCCAAACAACTCCATTACAATCGACCCCGCCGCCCCACCCCTAATCGCCTCCAAGAACTTGCCTTTATCGATCCCAGCCTTCTCAGCGAAAACCAAACCCTCACTCAACCCTAACAGGTTTGCTCCCACCGTGATCTGATTCGCAATCTTGCAGCTCTGCCCCTTTCCGGGACCGCCCATGTATGTCACATCCCCCATCAAGTCGAACAACGGCTTCAACCAGTTCACGACACCTTCGTTCCCCGCGGCGAAGATGGCCAATTTCCCCTCTTTCGCTCCGGTGTCGCCGCCGGAAACGGGCGCATCGACCGCCCAGCAGTTGATCTCGCGGGCGGAATGGGCAATTCGCCTGGCGAGCTTCGGGTCACTGCTGGTGTGATCGACCATGACGCCGTTAGGGTTGAGGGAGGAGAGGATGCAGTCCGGTCCCTCTAAGACAATTCGTCGAACATCTGAGGGGTGTCCGAGGACGGTGAATACAACGTTGCAGCTCCGCGCGACCTCCGCCGGAGAACCGGCTAATCGCGCGCCTAGGGTTTGCAGAGTGGAAGCCTTAGAGGGCGTGCGAGCGTAGAGAGTGACGCCGTAGCCGGCGGATAAGAGGCGGGACGCCATAGCTCCGCCCATCACGCCGATGCCTATCCATCCTATTCGAGTTTTGCTCGGAGATATGGGTTCCGGGTAGCTACGGTTCGTCTTGTTCATGGTTTCCCGGCCCGGAATGGATTCGGATTTGCTCCGAGATATCCAAATTCCAAATCCTAACAGTAACGAGGGGAATGGTACCTGAACTTTAGCTGGAATTTCGAAGTAGTACCTGAACTTCAAATCCTTTCACAAAAATCCCTGAACTTACACAATCCTTTCACTAATGAGCCATTAGCCCGTTTCTAGGTTAACTTCCGGTCATTAGGGCCAAATTCGAATTTTATATATTTTAAAATTTTCAATTTGACCCCATTTCTTCTTTTCTTTTCTTCCACGCCCCGCCGCCGCCGCCCGCCGGTAAAAGTCGCCGGAAAATGAACTTTTTCCGATTTCGGCGGGACCAATGTCATTCTCTTCGTCTTGAGACGAGGATCCATAATATCCAAACCATTTTGTCTAATTTGGCCTGTAACTTCTCGAATCTAAATTTTTCTACTCGAAAAAACCCTAAAATTCGAAATTGGATCCAAAATTGGGGGTTTTGCAAATCTTCATCAAATCTTGCAATTGAGGGGTCCTTGGAGGTCGCCCGGATGCCACGACCGCATTGGAGTTGGTGCCCGCCGTCAATTTCGCCGGATTTAGCCGGAAAACGCCGTCAATTTCGCCGGATTTAACCAATGAAATATTTTTGTTCAAAAAAATTAAATTAAGATTTTTTTTTAAATTTTCTACTTGCATCATTTCTTTTTTAAAAAAAAACTAGTATTCTAACCCGTGCCATGCACGGGGTCGAAAGAAATTTATGTCGATTCTAAATCATTTCAATGAAATTTATTTTTTAGAATAAAGAAAATATATTGCTTACATGATTTTTAATACTACAAATGAAAAAGGACAAAGTAAAATAAAAAAATATTTGACGTACAGAATGTAGAGTTAAGAATGTTTATTTTAATACCAAATTTTCTAGAAAGACTCGAATGGATACAACATTTTTGGTATGGTTGCAAGGGTTTCGATTGTCATCTAGAACTAATATTTTTAATCCTGTCTTTGTCTACACTCGTTAAACAGCAACATATAGTTAACCATGTGTAAACACTGACTAATTGATGATGATTAAAAGTACTACATTGAGAAATGAAAAACATATGTTGCTATGCAGGGAAAGTCATTATGCTTTAGAGTTATCTAGGTAAATTTCTCTGACTATGAATATATTTATGGAGTATCAATTATTTCAGTTGAACACAACTTAGTTGCCATTGTGATAAATGAATTACATGTTAGATATAATTAAGTAAATTTTCCAATTTAAAAATTATATTTGAACTTTGAATTATTTACATTGATCATTCCGTATCAATGCCTAAAATTTTTTTCCTCACATGCATATCATTTTATTTTAAAATATGTACTCACATTTTTTATATTCACCCATTTCATATCAAATTTATTGCAAAGTTTTGAATTTTTTTAAAGATTTTTAAATATAAATATATTTTTACTCAACTTTGTTAATATTCGTCCATTCAATTGTTTAAAATATTCACATGGAGAATTTGTTAAATCCTTCTAAAATGGACATCTAATTTTAAATTTTGTATGAAACTTTGTTTATTTAACATAAATTAAATTATCTATACTAACGATTTAGATATGAAGATAAGAAAGTTTTTCAATGCTCATTAAAAAGCAACCATATAGATTTTAAATACAAAAATTCTGGTCACTAAAATATCCCGTTTGATTTTGTTATTTTAAGAAATTCAAAAATGTTATGTACGGAGTATCAAATTAGCTTAAAACAATAAAACAAAATTAAATATATTAAGATATAACAATATTAAAAGTACGTACATTTTCTATGTCCTTTTTTAATTGAAGTATTCCTTTTTCTCCTTTCTCTTGCATCTCTAGCTGATCTCGTCCATGTATCGTCAACTTGATCTTCCATGGCCAAAAATGAAATTGAAAATAGGAAGCTCCTACTACCAATCCTTTTAAAAACAAAAGGCTGAAATTGAATTAACGATTCTCCGCTTCTTTATTGCATAATTGATTCTGAATGCTTATGTATTGAAATAGAAAATGAAAATGGGTGGTGGATGTCACATTTCAACTCATCATATATCTCTTTTTATAATAGGATTTTGACCAAGTATATATAAGAGTTTCCATAAATTTAGATATAAAAGTGAGAAATTTAACACATTGCCAATTAGATATATAAGTAAGGAATTCAAAGTAATATTGTGTTCATTCTAGATATAACGAATGTCTTACTAAAAATAAACAAATCCAGAATAATATTGTTAATAATCTAGGATACATAATTAAGGATTGCCATATATAAGTAAAGGGATCCAAAATAATATTAGTATTATCCAACATGCATAATATAAATAAGGTGATGAATAATATACTCGTGATCATAATTTTCAAATTTAGTACTATTTAGGATTGTTTCTTAATAATAGTTTTCGTAAATTTTGTCAATCACCATATGTTAAGGAAATAATCTATTCTTGGAAATCATATCATACCATTCATGGCTATTCATGAATCATTTTCCAACGCACGACCCTATTAGAAGAGTTTCACATTTAATTATTTAAGGGTTGCCATATATAATTAAAGAGATCGAAAAAAATATTAGTATTATCTAATATACATAATATAAGTAAGGTGATGAATAATTTATAATTTACAAATATAGTATTATTTAGGATTGTTTTTTAATAAGATTTTCTGTAAATTTTGTTAATGACCATATATAAGTAAGGTGATCAATAATATATATACTCATGGAAGTAAGACAAATAAGTAACGAATCAAAAATAGTATTGCAATTTCTATTAGTATAGATATTCTATTGATTTCAACCTATATATTCACGAATTTTCATTAATAAATCTTTGTTACTTATTAATTTAAGTATGAAATCTATAAATATGGAAGTACGATAAAAGATTAATATATGTAGGGTGGTTCTAAAATTCTATTTAAGTTAAATGAAAATTATTATATTTCTTTTTTATTTTTTAAATAGTATTATATTTTTT